TTGTGGTTGATCAAGAATAGGTGTTACATGCACACGTGTATCTTCAAACAATCTATTACGTGGAACTGCGTACCACCCTCGTTTCATTAAACATATCAAACAAATTTGACACGTATCGTTCTTTTTTACATTAGCATGTAACTTGGAAACGTTTCGTATTGATTAGCGAGAAATATTTTTTTAGAAAAAAATGTACCGGACGGAAACTTATGCATGTGATGCAATTTGAACAGACTTTTTACGTCAGGTGCTAATGTCTGAATATCGTCTTCCGGTTGTTTACTCGACTAATCTCAAGATATGTTATATAGCTTAGAATTCATTTTTTCACAGCTGATCGCCAATCAATGATGTAAACAAGAAAATGACGACACTTGCGAAAGTTAGCAGCATTCAGTGGAATCGTTCGTATATCGACAGTATCACATAAAATCCAGTAAACTTAAACACATTTTTCTGATTATAATGATCTCAACAAGAATTTCAATGGAGAGACAGTGGATTTCAGTTTTTCATGTGTTGAAAGATCCTGAAGATGTCGTTAGATCTCATTCAATCAGAATGAATTTAAAAAAAACATAAACATGTAGATTGTAAGATTGTACATGAGAAAAACAATGATGTTTTGTAATTCAATAAGCTGTTAGCAGCTGAAATTGAAATAATCGGTAGTATCCATTCGTCAATTTTCAATCCACGAATCACCAATATCCTATCACATCGCATTGTACTTGTATAGAGTAAACCGGCATAATTTCGAAAAACAATATTGCAATGATCGACATCATTTAATCTGATGCAATTGAAAAACATCTCCTTGCAGTTTTAGATATGTCTGATCGAGGACGCGGTCGTGGAGCTGGTTCCAAGTCTGATGACAGATCAGCATCTTCATCACGCAGTCCCTCAGTAACACGACCGTCTACTTCGTCGAGTATTCAAGACTCCGACAGATTGATGAAGCAACTAGCGACTAAATTAGGTGCTAGCAATACATCCGGTCTTGCTGCAGCTGCGCGTTCGGCACCAAAATTCACGCCAAATTTAGGTGTCTCTAAAAAGAAGAAAGAGGAAGGTGATACTCCAACCGATATATCCTTGTCTAATTCCAATAAAGATTCATCAACAACAAATAAGCGAGATACAACGAATGGTGATAGATCACAATCGTTTCGCGGTGGACGTGGAAATTATCGTGGGGGTCATAATCGGGGAAACTACGTGCAAATGGAAGGTTTCTTTCAAGGCAATGCTCAAATACCTGTCTCATCTACGGCATCCTTTTCGTCTTCGCGAGGATCATCAATTAAACGTGAAAGTTCTGCATCGAATCCGAAAATACTCAACATAAAGAAACTCGGTCAAAGAAAAACAACTGTGATCGGTGATGTCGATGGTTTGGAGTATGAAATTGAAGAAGAGTACGAACCACGACAAATTCCCATTGCCGAACGTAAATCTGTATTTGATGTAAAAAAAGAGCCAAATGTGACTCAAAAAACTAAAGAACCGATTTCAACATCTTCTGAACACGTCGATTCCTTCATTCATTTATTTTCTAAACAAAAACTTCAACCGACAACAAATCCGATTGTTAAAGAAGAACCCATGATATCAACAGATATGCCGAAACCAGAAGAATCTCTCCATGATCCAACTCAACTCATTCTCATGCAATTTCCTGATGTTTTACCATGTCCACGTTCATCAACATCCACAACGACAACAAAACCTGAATTAGCATCATTAAGTGATTTACCCGATGGTTTTCTTGGTAAACTTCAAATATATAAATCTGGCAAATGTCGACTAAAACTCAACGACGATACTTATCTGGATGTTGACATCGCACAACCAGCATCATTTCTTCAAAATGTCATGGTGACGGAAATGGCTACATCGACGAATACCAATGAACATGGAGCAAATAATGATATGAATAAACTCGTTTGTCTCGGCGATATTAAACATAAACTTATTGTTTCTCTTGATGTTGATCATGTTCTTCAAGATACTAGACAATAATAATATATATACAGGAAAGAAATAGAAATATTGAGATATATACATATTATTTGAGCGAAAAATTAGAAGCAAAGGTCAATTTTTTAATGATTTTCTCGTGTTTTGATCAATTTTCAATATAAAAAGACAATAAACGAACTGGCCGTTTTTGTGATTTTCACGTTTTTTAGTTGTATGGGATCGAGTAGAGGCAGATTTTTTGGCAAACTTTAGATTAGTTGGTTGATTCGTTACATTATTCGGCACCACTATAATTTTTCTATTTCTTTCAAGGTTCTTTTCATTGATTCGAATCAAAGCTTCACTATTTAGTTAAACACGCCACTTTAACACCCCGATTTCCTTCGCACTATAATCATAGACAAAATCTTTGCACTCCTATCAATACAAGCTGAGTAAATAGTTACATTCGATTCATTTTGAACCAATGATTCTATTGGGAACTTGAAGTTTGATAAAAAGATGTTTTTTCTTTTTATTTTAGATGAATGATACCTTACTTTCTCGTGTTTTATCTAGTATTCAATACAATCAATTTCTTGCTGGTCTTAGTGGTGGTGTTGTTTCATCATTAATTCTGCATCCATTCGATTTAGTTAAAGTTCGTTTTCAAGTCACAGAAACCAAATTTGTTGTTCCAAATTCATCATTACCATACCGGCCGCATTATACAAGCCTATTCGATGCCTTCCGTACGATCTATCGTGAGAAAGGACTCATGCATGGTTTATATCAAGGTGTAGCGCCAAACGTTCTTGGAAATGGCATATCTTGGGGTCTTTATCTATTTCTTTACAATACCGTTGATATTCTTAACAACAAAGAAAGACAAAACGTCACATTAAAGGATCGTCTCGTCTATTCGACTGTAGCTGGTGTAACAACAATAAGCATAACGAATCCAATATGGGTACTTAAAACACGAATGTGTTTACAATACGCTGATTATCGAAAAGACACGTACTACAAAAACATGTTTGATTGTATTCGGAAAATCTATCGATCAGAAGGTATCAAAGCATTCTACAAAGGTCTTACACCTGGCATATTTGGCACAATTCATGGTACAATTCAATTTGTTACCTATGAACAAATGAAAGATTTCTACAGTAGAAATTTTCACACGACTCACCTCTCAACTTCGATTATTTTAACATTCTCCGCCACATCGAAGTTACTGGCAGCGAGCATAACCTATCCTTATCAAGTTGTTCGGACGCGTTTACAAGATCAACATCAACAATACAACGGGGTAGTTGATGTAATTAGACGCACATATTCTCGAGAAGGCATCGGTGGGTTTTATAAAGGCTTGGTACCAGCACTCTATCGGGTAGTACCAGCTTGTTGTATAACATTTGTTGTTTATGAATTTGTTTTGAGAGAATTAAAACGTTAACGGAATATTTTTTTAGATTGTTTTATAGATTTAACACATTCTACTACCGACAACGATGCCAAAGTCAAAAGAATTTATCGATAGTTCTGATTCAGCTAGTGATCAAGACTCCGGTGCGGTTTCAACGACGAAAAAACCCAAAACCAAAGAAACGACCAGCAAAGATGATGTAAATAAATCATCTTTGATCTGAATTGACTTCTCATTCATATTTATATAGTCAGCAAACAAACGATTGAAAACATCGACTGATGGAGCACAGGGAGAAGTAGCTTCGAAACGAGGAGCAAATGGTGAACGGCTCTATGAAGTAAACTAGTTTTTTTTTCTCTGTGCATTTTCTGAACTTTGATTTTGGATATTTTTCTGTCTAGCTTGGTAAATTACGTTACGTGTCAGTGAGTGAATTTCGAGGTAAACCATATATCAACATTCGTGAATATTACGATGATAAAGGTGTCGAAAAACCAGGCAAAAAAGGTAGAAAATGGAATGTGTTTCGCATCAATTTGATGAATAATCTTCGTTTTTAACATTAAGGTATTAGTTTAACTATTGATCAATGGGAAACATTGAAAACACTTATCAGTCAAGTCGACAAAGATGTTAAACAATCCAAATAGAATTGTGATCCAAGACATAACTTGAAACTCATTGACATTGTCAGATTTTCTTACTTATCTTCATAGCAATTTGTGAAAATTCAACTATTATTTAATGTTCATTTTCTTATTATTCTAATAAACATGTCTATTCATCTTCTATACATAAAACTTTCTTGATATACGAATCATCACAGGAAAAGAAAAGACTACTACAACCGAAATACCAATATTCATAGTATATTTCATCAAGGTTCCCTATTAATTCACATTTTCTGGCGGCATCTATATAAATCAACCATGCAAACCAGTTATTTGCTATTGCTTATGTATCGATAACAAAATTCTCAACACAGGTAGTCATAAATATATTTATACACACCTAAACTCTTTTCTTATGTATCTACTTCCTTCTCGTGCAATGTAAAAACGCTTTTCGGGACTAAGTACTTGCAATTTGATTTATACGCTAGATGTATCAAAGTCTATTTATAAAGATAATACTTGATAAAGTTCGCGCTCTTGTTATCTAACATACTGTGAGGAAAAAAGCAAGCATAGATAATAAAAAGGGAATTCGTAAACACTCCAGTGTTTTCTTTTGAATAGAGATTTATTTTAAAAGTCGCGTTCCACATATTAAAAGAATAAATACGAAGCATTTCTTTTTGCTCTACTAAGACTACCTTAATAGATATCTTTTCACTTGCTTCATTCTTCTTCCATCAACTTGAGGCGTCCAGGTTACTACGCTCTCTGTGAACTAAGAACTTTCAGTACTTCGATTTTTTGTTTAACTTCAGATTTAACCATAATCTGATGTCTGCAGTTGCATTAATTCTTGAGTATATTAAACTCTTCTATGTTTTATTCAAACATTGGTTTCGTGATTTATTCCATTCATTATACGTTGGGCCAAAATTTAAAGATCTCTCGTCAGAAACTGTGCTTATCACCGGTGCTGCAAGTGGTCTTGGAAAAGGTGTAGCAGAACGGTTAGCTCAATTTGGCTGTACACTTGTTCTTTGGGATGTAAACGAAACTGACAATGCTCGTGTCGCTGAAGAGCTGAACAGCATGACAAAGTCTAATCGTGTTCACGCAATGAGATGTGACTTGACTAGTCGAGAAAGCATCTATGAATGTGCTAAAAAAGTAAACTAAAAGTGATCAATATATATACATATATATCGATTGATGAGCGAATTTCCGATTAAGGTCCAAGAAACCGTTGGTAATGTGACCATGGTTATTAACAATGCTGGTGTTGTATCGGGTAAAACACTGGTCAATTGTAGTGATGCATCCATCCAACGGACATTCGATGTGAATGTTCTTGCTCACTTTTGGGTTCGTGGTTGTTATCGATTTACCATCTAGCGTTTGATTGTTCTAATCTACAGATATTGAAAGCATTTTTACCGTCAATGTTAGAAAAAAATCATGGCCATATTGTTACAATTGCTAGTGGTGCTGGTTTAACAGGTGCAGCAGGTCTAGTTGACTATTGCTCGTCAAAATTTGCGGCTGTTGGTTTACACGAGTCATTAACGTAGGAGATCTTTGGTATTCAAATCTACTAGAAATTCCAATGAATTTACTGTAGGCATGAATTACACGCTTTAAAACGAACGGGTATTAAAACAACCGTTGTTTGTCCAAGTTTCATCGACACGGGCATGTTTGAAGGTGTTAAAACAGGGTAAAATCAGCGACAAAAGCTATCTAATAAATGACTGCTATTTATTTTTAGTATATTATTTCCATTGTTGAAATCAGAAAATGTGTGCGACTTAATCGTGGAAGCTATTCGAACAGAACAACATATGTTGTTGATACCTAAAGTGCTAAAATTGGGACTTATTATAAAAAGGTATGACGAGCAAAGAAGAATCGTTCTCATTTCATTGAACTACTAGCTATCGTTTCTTTTGTTTTTGTATAGCTTATCAACAACAGCAGCACAAATCGAAGCGCAAGGTGCCACCGGTCTTCATCATTCTATGGACACATTTGTTGGCCGTCGCTGATTATATTTACTTTCCTCTGTGAAAGTTGCCAAATCACTTTTTCATACTACTCTATTTTTTCTAAATTGTGACACTTAATTGTTTTTCAAGTTATGATTATTTTGATAAAGACAATAGTACTGCTATGTTTATACGACTAAGCTCACCATACACTTATGAGAATCTTTTCCAGATCTGATTAAGTCATGATTACAATACGTGTTGCTCAACAATATCTCATGGTGCTTCTCATATTAGTTAAGCACTGGTTTTATGCTCTTCGCAATCTCATTATTGGTGGACCACCACTTAAAGATCTCTCGTCGGAAACTGTCCTGATCACCGGTGCTGCAAGTGGTCTTGGAAAAGGTGTAGCAGAACGGTTAGCTCAATTTGGCTGTACACTTGTTCTTTGGGATGTAAACGAAACTGACAATGCTCGTGTCGCGGAAGAATTGAACAGCATGACAAAGTCTAATCGTGTTCACGCAATGAGATGTGACTTGACTAGTCGAGAAAGCATCTATGAATGTGCTAAAAAGGTAAACGCTTATTTTAATGTAAGTTAGAAACAGAAGACTTTTAAAATTGGTAATGTAGGTTCAAGAGGCAGTTGGTAACGTGACCATGGTTATTAACAATGCTGGTGTTGTATCGGGTAAAACACTGGTCAATTGTAGCGATGCATCCATCCAGCGGACATTCGATGTGAATGTTCTTGCTCACTTTTGGGTATAAGAAAGTATATGTATCTGTCCAGATGATCTAGCAATCTCTGTCGTAGATATTGAAAGCATTCTTACCGTCAATGTTAGAAAAAAATCATGGCCATATTGTGACCATTGCTAGTGCAGCAGGTCTGAATGGTGTCTCTGGTCTAGTTGATTATTGCTCATCGAAATTTGCTGCTGTTGGTTTACATCAAGCATTAACGTAGAAAGCCTTCTTTTCCGATATAGCATACATCGTTCTTATTTGTATTTCTTTTAGACATGAATTGTATGCCTTAAAAAAAGATGGGATCAAAACAACAGTTGTTTGTCCGACTTTCATCAATACAGGAATGTTCGATGGCGCTCGTACAAAGTAAGTCGAAATGATTTCTATGAACTACATTCCATTTGATTATCAGCGATTTGACACCTCTACTAAAACAAGAAGAAGTCTGCGACCGCATCGTGAAAGCAATTCGTCAAAATCAAAATTTATTGCTTTTACCGAAATCCTTAATACTTTCAGTTGCATTATCCAGGTTTGAATGAACCTGAGCACAAAAGTGACAACACTCCTACGTTCGTTCTCATTCTTTTTAGTATCGCACCGATCGCAGCTGAACTTGAAGCACATGAAATGATCGGCTTACATTCGACAATGGATTCGTTTGTTGGGCACGCAAAGAAATCAACATAAATGCATTTATCTTTTACTACTGCCTTTCAATCCTATATTGATAATAAAATTTAATCTCGCATTAAGATTTTCCTTCTGCAAACATCTGTGCGCATATGAACGATTTTGTTCTAGTTTCTTTCTGCATGAAAATATGAGTGAGTGGAACGCAAACATCTGTTTCAAAAGCAATACAACAATTCACTCATTTTGACTGATTTTCTCCGCTTGCTCTTCGACAATTGTCTATCCACAGCTATCTAAATCATCACTTGAACTGATTAACAGAATTGTTCATTTCGCTTTTTTTCGTCTGTTTATTCAACAAGAATATCACTATGTACAAAAAATACTGCGGACATCGAATAAAAAACAACCACGAGATTTGTCAATCTATCTAGATTCCATGAGGAAAATTGGATGTTGAGGAAAATTGTTGCCACATAGTCATTGCTGCAGTTGCATTGGATACTTGGTTTTTTGGATGAATTTTTTCTCGAGAACGTTTGTTTTGAAACCAAACGCGAATGACTTTCTCTTCGAGGGATAGTAAACGTGACAATGTTTCCATTTGGGTAGGATCTGGATAACGATTTGTAGCATAGAAGCGATCCAGACTTAATTTCTGATGATCGGTGAAAGCAGTGCGAATCTTTTTCGATTTGTTATTCTTCTAAACAAAATCAATAATTTTTGCGTTAACAAATCATTAGACGAACTTACCGATTCAGTGCTTTGCTTTTTCATATCAACAATTGGTGATGATGAGCTTGTTGGCTTGACATTCTCGAAATCATCTTCGTTTTCATGAGAATCGATCGATTCGCGACTTTGTCGTAATGAAAGCGACGAACCAGACAACAATTGTGAACTGTAACCGGTATCATCTAAACGATAGGAATATAATATCAAAATGTTTCAAGACGATTCAGAGAAATGAAAACTGATTACGTGTTTACTTACGAACGTTCGTCTAAATAGCAGCAAAGAAATATAGAAAATGCTCTTACCATTTCGTTGCGAGGGAGTCGAACAAAAAGAATTAGGGATAGGGGAAAGAAGTTCATCGATACTCTTGAAATTATGTCGAACCATCGGTGTTGTCGAACGTGTAGGTTGTTGAAATGACATTGAATTAAACATTGGTGAATTCCGTATTGGTGTAAATGGAAACCAAAGTGGACTAGATGATAAATAAGAAAAAAAAACTAGATTCAACTTGATGGAATACAAGATCCACTTACTTGAACATTGGTTGATAAAATCGAATTTCTTGTTGATCCATATCATGTTCGTTGTGACTGGAGACACTGCTTGCTGGGCTAAGACTACGATCGTCTTCCATGTTGGTGAATGAGTTGAAGTGAACAGTAGAAATGTTGTCAATCGAATGATGAAATTGCACCAGATGCAAAATCTATTTGTAGTTGATGAATTTTTTCTCTCGCCTCGACTTTGACCAATAGGAAAGTGAGAGAGTGGTGAATGTCGATTTTATTGGAGCAAATCAATTGATAGATTAGAAGAGGAAGAAAAATGCCAAGCCTATTTGATACGCTAATTGATTTACACTAATTGGTTAAACAATAACACTATAGGCGACTAATTGATGGACTCATTGGAAAACAACAGCTAAATTGTAATTCTTCTGCATACTGTAGTCGAAGTATTATCCTTTTACTGGCATGGGGATGTTTAGAACTTGGAAATAGATAAAAACTTCTCCATCACATAGTTAACGTAGGTTCCTTAGTTCAGTTTCGAATAAGATGAGCGGTAAATCTTTCACTTTGATGAAAGTATTGACTTTTGCCTTTATCGATTATATTGAAAAACAAAATATTACATTGTGAATTGATATCATAGATGTGTGAAGATCTGCATATGTATACGGTAAACATAGACGAGAAAAAATAACGTCATATACAACTAATCATGTAATCATGTAATCAATCAATCAATCAGTCAAGTAAGAACTAAATGGGAAAAGACACTCGAAACGAATCAAGATGGTCGATATGTAACCATAGAAGTATGAAGAGATCTGTGAATTTCGTTTTCTTTCTCAACAGTAAAATTCCATTACAAAATCGATATTTCGATGCTTATCGATCAATCGTCAGAGGTGTGAGGATCAACATAATGAATATTTTATTTGTTGTTCAATTTCGATCCTTTAATCGTTGCCAGAAAATATATTCATCGATGTAACTTATAGAAATCGTTCATAATCTAATTGACCTACCGGTGAGAAGAAGAGAGGTGGAAAGATAAACATATTGCCGACACACATTTCTTTATGCTCAATAAGAAGACATGCAACGGTGTGCACACATTCTTCTCAAATTAAGATGATAGCTTGATACGTCTTCGTACTAGGCATAACGTCAATCATTGGTTTATCAGCTCACAAGTTCAATGAATTTTTGCAAGAAAGATGTAGGCGTGTTTCTTTTTATTTCGAGAATATGCAGGAATGTTTTAGAATTCTAGAAAAAAACAATAAGTAGAGTGAGTTTTTGACATTTTCGATCTTATGATTTGGTTTTCTGTCGAATTCTCTCTAATTTTTGTCGGAAGTTTTTCAGGCGGCATAGTTTGTCATCCAACAAAGTTGGTTGTGCGATAAGACTTGAATTAGGCGATGATTTTGATACGCTTTTCTTCCCATCGTAGATTTGATCAATATTTGTATAAACTGTTGACAAAGTCGCAGGAGTTTTTCCAGCAGTATCTGCTTGTGCTTGAAGAAGCCGATCATAAAACATGGAGGCTTTAGATTGTTCACCCATGATTTGATACACTTGACAGATATTACCGTAGCAGGCAATTAAATCTGGATGATTCGATGGTAATATCCGTTGTCGAATATCCAAGGCTTTTTCATAGAATGACAGTGCTTGTTGGTATTCGTGCATTTTCTGATGAGTCAAACCGATACTATTATAAGAATTGGCAAGGTCAGGATGATTTGAAGGAAGTGCTTTTTGATAGATTTCAAGTGCTTTCTCATGTGAAGAAAGTGCTTGAGCAGAGTCATCTAAATGGTCGTATATTAAACCTATATTATTATACGTTGTTGCTAGGTCAGGATGATTTGATGGAAGAATCTTTTGTTCGATTTCTAACGTCTTTTGGTAGTAAATTAATGCTGTTTTATGATCGCCCATGTCATCATGTACAGAGCCGATGTTATTGTACAGAATTGCTAACATCGGATGTTCAGGAGAGAGAGTTTTCTGGCAAATATCCAATGCTTTTTCATGAGAGGTAAGCGCTTGTGCATATTGTCCCATATTATCATAGATCATACCAATATTACTGTAGGAAATCGCTAGAGATGGATGCTCGGGTGGAAGTGATTTCATTTCGATCTCTAATGCTTTCTCACAGAAACTTAACGCTTTGGTATATTCACCCATGTTTTTATAAACGGAACCAATATTATTGAAAAACATGGCAAAATCAGGATGATAAGATGGAAGAATTTTTTGATAAATTTCAAGTGTTTGCTCATAATACGAAAGTGCTTTGGAATATTCTCCCATGTTATCGTACAATAAACCGATATTATTATACGAAATGGCTAATGATGGATGGTTAGTTGGTAATGTCTTTTGTTCGATTTCTAATGCTTTTTCGTGTGATGATAATGCTTTCGAATACTCACCGATACTTTTATAAACTAATCCAATATTTTTATACGAGGTAGCTAACGATGGATGATTAGGCGGTAAGGTTTTTTGCTCAATTTCTAATGCTGTCTCGTGAGATTTAAGCGCTTGAGTATAATCACCAAGATTTTTATAGACTAAACCGATATTGTTGTGCGAAACGGCTAAGGAAGAATGGTTTTCCGGTAGAATTTTTTCATAAATTCTTAATGATTTCTTATAGTGTGCAAGTGCTTCGGAATAGTTACCCATATTATTATGCACTTGACCAATGTTGTTGTACGTTGTCGCGAGATCCATATGATCTTCGGGTCGGATTTTCTGATAAATCTCCAAAGCTTGTTGATAGAATGTCAATGCTTTCACATAATCGCCTTGATTTCGTTTAATTAGTCCGAATTGATGGAGAAGCAATGCTTTTTCATTGTCTTCATTGGTCTGTTCGAACAATGTTCGATAGACTTGCTCCGCTTCGTCATATTTTCCTAATTTAATTAATAACATTCCCAGCCGATACCAACCCGTCGCGCCAGCGGTTTCTTCACGAAGTAGCTCGGTTAGAGAGCTCAATTGTTTGTTTTTACCATTTGTCAAGGTTAAAATCACTTGATAAAGTCGATTATTCTTTTGAACTTGTTTGACTTCTCCAATACGAAACACAGTCTGCATTGAGAAAAGAACTTCTTCTTCATTTTTAAAATAACATTCAGCATCCTTGATTAATACGTACGGCGTAGCTAACTCCGATGGATCAATAACCATTTTGAAAAGAACACCGACTAAGTCAATGTCATTCAATGCATCCTGAGCAAATTCCAAGGATATTTCACGTTTTTTACTCGTCGAAAGGAAGTTATTAAATGACATTAATCCACCTTTTGCATTGCACAACTTTTCAAAATCTTTTTTAGATAGTCCTTGTCCACGATAAACAATAAACGAAGTTTTTTCCTGTCCAGCTGTTTGCTGTTTGTAAAGTTTCTCGATTTCTTTATATAAATCGTCTATAAAAAATCCCATTTTGATAATCGTATCGATCTCATGCGTACGCAAAGCTCGATTAAGTACCGAATAAACACAACCTGGATGTGTATACCAATAAATAGGTGAATGTTTTCGATAAGTATTCTCAAATTCTTTGAGAAAGACCAGTTCATTTGGGTCATTTCGATATTGATTCCGGCAAAATGCGAGGAAATCTTTCATACTTTGGTCGTTATATTCAATATCTAGGAGAATTTCTTTGAGAATTTGGGTATACATAAATGATTGGTCGAGTTGATCAAGGTTTTGCTCAACAATGTCTGTTGGAGCGACAAAACTCAATGAAATAAAATTTTGTTCATAATGTTGAAGTGTTTGCTTCAGCGAATCACAAATTGGACCGATTTGAGTGAAAACACCTTTGATTTTCGGCCATTCTTGTACCCATTTATCATGCTTAGATTTGACGCCACAGAACACGTAAATCGAATCTAATTTTGCTATATCATGTATATGAGGAATCGTATGCTGACCCATTTGGCCAGAAACGATCATGAAGATCTTCTCGCGTTTGATCTCGCGAAGAAATTGGGCACATTCATTCACATCACTAAAGATATGTACAGCATTGATGACAGCTTCAACTTGATTGACAACACCACGATGTTCTTCATCGATCGAATCGGCTTGCAAGTTTGGATCTAACCAAACAAGAACGAAATTTTGTGTCAGGCGAGAATGCTGACGAAAACGAGAGGAAGTCGTTGTCTTTGGATTAGTTTCTGTTTGTTCCATACAGAATTTTGAAGTGTTATGTAGGAAGAAACTTTCAAGCACTCTTTTTTTTTGTGAACGAGTCTTAGGATGTTGTGGTGGTAAAACCGATAAAAATACTCATTGGCAACCAACGAACGAACGAGAAGAAAGACAAAAAAAGGGGGAGTAGAGTGTCGATTTTATGTTGACAAAATAGAACGTTGTCTATACCTGTAAGTAATCGAATCTACACGAATGATGAAGGCCAACAGGGTTTCAAGTGAAATCAGATTTTTGAGAATGATTCAAATAATGTTGATGAAAATAGCTTGATCAAGAGAGAATTTCGAATCATTAATATCATTTGAAAAAGAAAGATTCTAGTTTATTCAATTACATTTCTTGCAGTGCACATGTTGAAAAATAACAAAATCTGTTATGAAAACGAAAAAAAAACAACAACAACAATCTGTTATCAGTCTTATCAGTATCATCTGTCTTTATTGTCCCATTGCATTAGAACAGACACAATCATTTCTTCTCGTGATCTTGAAAGTGAATGCTAACAACGATGCAACTAACCTTTGCTCTCATGTGTATCGTAGCATCTTTATCTGTCGTTCAATCGTCGACAGAAAAATCTGGCCATAAGACAAAGGAAGACTGTCTTGAAGAACTACTGACCAAAGAACTTTCCAATTCATACAATTATCTACAATTATCATCGAAAGTCGGTACAACACAAGGTTTCGCCGGCTTCTCGAGTTTATACCTCAAATTGAGCGACGATGGTGTATCAAAAGCTCATGATCTCGCCAAATTTCTAGTTCTACGTCAATTTGATTCTCTGGATTTAATCGATAAGAGCGGAATCGAAATTCACAGCGGCATACACAACTTAGCAAACGATATCGTTTTCGGAAGTTTAGAGCAAGCCAAACTTCAAAATGATCAAACACTGGAAAAAGTTCATGCTTGCCATAAATTAGGAGATGCAAATGTACAAGATTATCTCGAATCCAACGTTTTAGATTATCACATCGAAATCGATAAATTCTTACAAGATTTGAAAGAACGACTTGCTTCAACCACAGACAAAGAACTCACGAAGTATATGGTTGATGAAGAACTTTTGAATACGTACGGTGATTATCGAAAAGAAGTTTTTTCTTGAACTTGAAATAAATGAATTCGAGACACATTTTTTTTACATCCGTATATGTATTTTTTGTTTTCTTGAATGTCATGGCAAATGAAGAAAAGAAAAACCAAAACAAGGAAAAGAATGAAAATCAACAGCAACAAAAAAGAAGAAAGAAATGTACAAACCAGAAGAGAAATAAATGCCAGAAAAAGAGAACGAGAAAGATTGTCTTGTTCGATCAGGTGAGCTCGTGAGCTTGTTGAGCAACATGTACAAAAAAATCGTATTTATTCGCTTTTTGTTCACCACATTGTGCACAACGAAATGGATTGTCAGGTGAGTAATGCAATTGCTTATGTGTACAGTACATTGCGAAATCTTTGAAAATGATCTCACAATGAAAACATTCGAATAAACGTTTGATTTGACATTCATCGACTTGAGTCTGTTGATCATGACGATTGATTAATTCTGTTGCATAACTATCATTGCTACCGTCCGATGAGTATTTCAAAGCTGATACTTGTTCTTTTCGTTGTCGTTTTAAGCTTGTGTCGTTGGATTTCGATAGCGGAAGATAATTTTCATTCGATTCGGTTTTAATACATGAAGACAATAATGAATAACCACCGTTGAGGAGCGACGGTGGAGGTGGAGCATGATTGTTATTACTATCGAGATGATAGGAATGAACACCAGTAGGTGTCGAAGATAATGAACTTGCAGAGGACAAATGGGATTGGATCTGTTGTGTAAGAAATTGTTGATATGGAGCGATGAAATCATTAAGCTAGAATAGAGAGTCAAGACAGAATGAAAATGTTCTCTTAGGAAGTACGATGTTTTATCGGTAGATTTCATACCTGTCCATTGCTGAACGGTCCGATTTTTCCATTGAATAATTCCATTAATTTCGTTGCAGGATCAATGGCTGCGCCTGCTAGTAACGATCGATTCAATAGATCACTTTTTTTGCATGCATGCTGGAATAAATGTACACCAAGACCCTCTTTAGACACCGCAACGTAATCACATAAAGTACAGACTAGCGGTGTTGATGGCACAGTTGATGGTACTACTGTTGTTGATGTGGACGATGAATCCATTTGATGTTCATCATTAGATATTGGTGACATGGCTGCAGCTGATGAACCAATCGATGATGTTGAAGAAGTACGTTTGACTACAGGTGCTGTTGCTGTGGGTGCTGCTTTTCGTTTCTTCGAAGCTGATGGACGAGTGTTATTCTTCGCTGATGATCCTGCTGTCATGGTTGGTGGTGGTGAGTTACTATTGGTGTTATTGTTCATGATTCCATTAGAATATTCTTTTAGGAATTCTTCGATATTTTCATCGACATAAGGCTCATGTCCTTCAATTTGAAGATGTTCTTGTAATATTTGATACTGTTTAGATTCAAAGGAACAATTGGAACATTTAAATAAAAGATGACGATAATGAGATTTCTTGTGCGAACGTAACATCGATAAATTAACACATGCATAGTCACACCTAGAAGATGAGAAAAGATATTTTCAGTTGCAACAATCAGATGAATTGAAAAAACTCGTATTTACTTTGAACATTTGAATGGTTTAGAGCCGAGATGGTTACGTAAATGATATTCAAGATGATGTTTATATTCAGTTACAAATGGACAACTTGGACATTCAAGTATCTTATCAGCTCGTATGTGTACTCGATGATGTGCCCAATAATCCTCCTATAAAATCAAGATTATTTGTGTGAGAGACATTTCAAGGCATACCTTCACACTGGAAATGAATGAACATTGTCGACATCGATGAACCTTGGCTTTACTAGGTGGAGTCGATTTTTCACTGTTGTTATTCGTAGATGAACCATTTAGTAATTCTGATGATTTAATTGAAGTTGATGAAGAAATGGATGGCTGTTCAGCTGTTAACTTTGCAAAAGTGTTCGGTGAATGTGTTCGATTATGTTCATCAAGACTCGCCGATGAATCACAATAAAATCTATTCAAAAGAATATAGTTTGATGTGTTATGTTGCCTTTTTTTTCCTAGACAAAACAATCGAACGATAAAAAGAACAGAAGACTCAACAGGACAGAAGATAGCTAGATTCGTTCTTACCAGTACTTTCATAGAGATTCTGAATTATACAATATCTCGCAATCACAGATGATTCTAGAAAGAAAATTCGTACTTACCCGCATGAATAGCACTTGTATGGATAGTGAACAGATACATGTTCAAGTAAATTATCTTGATTCGCATTTGAACCACATCGAATACATTGGACAGAACCATCTGCTTCGACGCGATATAATTTAAGGATTTCTTCAATTGTTGATAAACATTTTGGCCATTCAATACCGTGCTCATCACTTTCCTCTTGATTACTATTTGTTGTTTCGTGATTCACAGGTGAATATTTCATTTCCTATCGAATCGACACAATCGATTCAACAACTACAATACTAATGAATGCTTCTTACCGTTTTGTTATCTTCCTCCTCGTCGCTAATTGGCTCAATCGAATGATTGACATCATGATTCTAGAAGACACCGGAATGTACGAAACTCGTCTTTCATTTATTATTTAACATACCGAATTTGGTCTTTCACCACGTGCTGATAATGACCAAGGTCGAAGAGGTTTACGACGCTAGATGAAATCGAAATAAAAAACATCGTATCGATAATTTCATTCACTCTTACTCGACTGGCGCTTTTGACAGATTCATTCTCATTGATTGATAAAGTTGTACTAGACGGCTTGATTAACTGCAAAATAGTTGCATTGTATATCAAGATTATTTTCTCCAAGAATACGATGAACAACTTACAGATATTGGATTTGTGATCGTCTCATTTGACAAGTTGACATCTGCCGTGGAATTTTTTGATGTATTGTCAAATATCGCTAGTTTCTTCTTAAGTAACAACGATGAATATTGCGTGTCATTCGACGTTGAACTATCGCCGATTGTATTTGTTGACATGGGTAAAATTTGAAAATTTTCTATTAATGGTGAAGTCGTTGAAGATGTATGTTGCATATTTGAATTCTACAAAAATGTCGGATAAAACGTGCAATTCTTGTCTAAAATGATCTATACACAATGATCTAGCCCCGTTCATGGGTGGCGTGTGTGTTTTTGTTCGTCGTCGTGTCCTCTCTCTCTCATTTGTTTTTGTGATCGCTCTTTTTCTTTCTTTCTCTTTCTCTCGTGCTTATATTCTCTTTTTTCCTCTCTTAGTTCGTGTACAAGCAAGACTTCTTTTTCTTCGTCTTCTTCTTCTCTCTCTCTCTCTCTCTCTCTCTCTCTCTTTTTTCTTTTTGTATAGTTATGGCAGGTTCAGAAATGGCTTTTTCGAGGTGGACGCGACGGCGCGCAAAGCAGAAAAGAAGAACAACATCTTTTCCTTTTCTTTTCCTTCTTCATAAATGAAAGAATATATGCTCTCACATAGGACTCGCTTAGATTTTTTTTTGTACATATACATCTGGGCATGCATACATTTGTCTAATTGTATTTCTCGCCGGGACGACTTGACCATCGGTCGACGATGAACGATGACGACGCCATTTTTTCTCTTCTTTCTTCTTTTTCGACTGTACTATGGAGTTTTTTTTTGCTATGCATATTCTTCACCGATGTGAGTCATGAGTCCAGTGTGTATACAAAATAAATATAGCAGAATGTCTACCGAAAGAGAACGACCCGAATTATGATGATTTTTTTCCTTCTCGTCTTCTCATGTTCAAATACACCAAAAGAAGATGCCTTTCTCTTTGTGTTCTTCTCTAATGAAGATAGAGCAGTTGAACGTCGATGCACAAGCAAAAAATTGTGCATGAAACAGTTATTAGACGAAAGCGAAACTGACGTTGATTGTTTGCTTGTGAGTAGTAATGTCAACTCAATGAACCTTGATCTTTGTGTACCGCATGAACTGATCGAAAATCTCGAATACATCGATTGCTATTGTTTACGTATTGTCATCGATAATGTCAATTTAAAGTTTTGTTCAATGTTTAACTACTCGTTGTAAGGTGTGTGCGAATGAACAATCGGTTAGAAATAAAAAGCAATCTCGAAACGTCTTTTTATGCGTGATTAATGTATGCCTTGGAAAAAGAAAGAGTAAAGTTCATTTTTTTTTTGTATTTCTCTCTTCAGTTCGTTCAATGGGATGTTATTGTGCTTTCGGTCGCTTGGACGAAAATAAACGATTGAAGCCTTTTGAACAGAAGCAAAAGAAACAAGTTTGAAGGTTATTTTTGCAAATAAGTAAAGAACGGGAAAGAAAAAACGACTGCTCGATAAAGAGTGTATATCAACACCTAACTACTCTTATGTCCACATTTAATCCATTCAATAAACAGTGTGGAGTATCCAGCTCATTTTTTGTCAATCATTTTCTCTTTCTTTGTACGTGTCTGTTGTTCAAATATGACTAAAAAGCTCTTTTCATTGTGCTTTTTTCTGTCCAATGTCCGCTGGCTACTGACATGAAATAAATTCTTTCTTTCATCAGATTGAACACGTTCGTTTGTCTCGTATATTGAACAAAACACACTTGATTTTAAACGAGCGCGTTTTTTTCCTCTTCTTCTTCTACACTCACCGCTATTCACATCGAAAAAGACTTTCTATGGCTCTTAGTAAAAAATAACAAAATGATTCGCTCTTAGAAGTCTATTCAAAACAAAATTGAACGTTTAATAGTCGCCAAAAAAAGAGAGAAATTTTCTAACTCAATCTAACAAACACCCATGGCAACTATACTTCACTAGTAATTACAATAGTGAGCAATTTTCAAGAGCTATTCAACAGTTCGTGGCATTTTCCTCGGCATGAAAACAATACACTGATCAATTAGAAGGAAATGATTATAGCTTAAACAAATGAGACTCTTTCTTATTGTGAAAGAAGAAACGTGTAGGCGAAGATTTTCTTTTGAATGATGAGTCATTTTATGCAAATATTATCTTGAAATTTGATAAGAAACTGTGTGTGATGATGTGATACATACATTCGTAAGTTGTGATTTTGCGGTGATGAATTTTCGAACGTTGAAGTCGAAATCAAAAGTAGCAGAACATGTAAATAACGATTTTGTTTTAATGAAGTTTTTCATTTTATCTTTCGTCTTTCTTTGACAGAAATCAACTGGTATTCATTTAGAAAGATTATCTGAGATACTGAGTGATGATCAACGAAATTCTCAGTTCGAAAAATTACAAAATGAGATCAAACATAAAGAACAAACGTTAGATTTGTTTATCAAACATGTTTCGATTACTCTCAATGCAAATATCGATGATATGAGATCATTACTAGACAAAAAAACACCGACGTACAAAGCCTATACACACGCCATCTGTGGACTTTGGCTACAACTGAAAACCATAGAAGACATGGAATCATTACCGTTAGTCATCTTCCTACGTACATGTCAATTACAACGAGCAGAAATGAAATTTCAAGATAATAGTGATGATTCGACTGAGAATGCACAAGAATTTCTAATCAATCGTCGACGTTCTCGTCTAACGCATTTTCATATATGTACAGGCTCCGATGGATTCAATACGAACATCGATTCTTACGTTGGATTACTTGTATTTTCCTACGATAATCAATCAAAGTTCATCCTGAATGGACATCATTGTCAACGAGGTGATATTGTCATCAAACAAATGCAGAACCTTCATCATGTATCTTCACGAGGAGTGTATGATGCTTTATTCAAATGGTATTTCAATCGTTCACTTGACGAGAAGTTTTTTGGGATAGGTTTCTTGTATTCAAATAGAAAATGGCGTTTTGATGTACTTTCACACGATCGAAAAGATATTCTACCGTTTGAATATCGAATATTCGATATGTATCTATTAACACAATGGTTAACACATGACAATTTACCACATAATGTTCAAGAAATGGAACTAGATGCAAAAGGATTATTGATGAAGCAATTTGAGATTGTCAAGAATAAATTAAATGATGAACAAAATATAGGTTTAAGTGAGAGTTGGAATGAATTTATCGGTAGTGACGTAAAAGATTTACATATGGCAATGAAATTATTTCTTCAAACTACGGAAAAACAAATTGAGACGATTTTTAAACAAACAGAAGAAAGAAAACCAAGAGATTCAGATCAATTGGCCAACGAATTGCACAAATGATTTAGATACCAAAATCGATTCTCTTCAACTAGGAACCATGCAACAAGAAATGTGATCTATTTTTCTCAGATACAAACAATAATAAACATCCAATTTCACTTTCTGTTCTTTGTTGTTATATCAAAGAGCAGTACATATCATTTTATTGGCCTTTGAACCTGCCTTTTATTGTCTTCCACGAAAGATGAACAGTACTATATTGATTTACATTCAATAGACTGATCTCTTTGTCTGGATGACACGTTGAGAAATTGTATTATGAGTTATGATAGGTTATACATGTCGACCATCCATAGTCTTTGTTACTGATAACTTAGGGATTACAGTGGATAGAAGAAAAATATGCATTTTATCTGCAGAAATGATTCTAGTAGTGTTGTAAATCTGTGAATACGACATTGTACATGTATTCCATGATTCAATACATGACGGTCAACAAAAGTAGTTCACAAAAGCGAATGTAGTTTGTAGATTTCGTACGTACATGAAGAAAAAAAAGGATAGATATGAATAATTTGTATTTTCTTTATTTAGTAAAATGTATTGTATACAGACAAGTAAAATATTTTAAAAAGTAAAATTAGATCAAAGATGATCAGCGAACAGTATTAGATACTATTTTGTTTTCTATCATTGACAAAAGATTACTGCGAATAGTGATATCGTGTCATAATTGTTTCTCTGAGCTTATCATACACTTCCTTGCGCTCCATCTCCGTCGCCATTCGCATGTCATCATCTAATGAATCAATGGTTGGTGACGAACTCAGCACGCACATTTTTTGCAGGAACGAGCATTTTCGTTTTGTGAGGAAGGTCAGCACTCGTTTATCGTCAGTGTTATCTCCTTCTTTAGCGTTAATGGAATGAAATAATCCCGTATCGACGTGCAGAATATTGTTTGGGAAATGATGTCTCGATCTTACGTGACAAAGACGACCGGATATCTTCTTCGGTTCATCAAAAGTATTATCAGATCGCCGAAGAAATTCATAAATGATCGAATCATCCTGCACTACTTCCCAAATGTTTTCAGTATATTCACCTTCCAAACATAACGAGTCGAAGGAATGGCGATGATTATGTATGAATGTTTCTACACAGTTCATAAACCAATTGATCTGATATTCGATGGCGGGATCGTTTTCATCGTTACCACATCGCACTTGATACATCACATTGGGTACTGTTCGAACATCAGCATCTGGCCAATTAGCCAAAACTTTCGACATTCGTTTCAAACATTCTTGGTTCATATTCATGAAATCTAAACGATCAAGGAAACGATTAACTTCCAAATGACCAATCATTAACTCACCTTGTTTTACATTCATTTCGGATTGTTTCACGTATTTCAATGTTGAAGATGGGGTGGACAATGTATTTATACCTAATTCAGATCATGAGTAATGTTAAAAGAAACACTAAAAACCCAGCCTAGGTTGGCAGATAACAAATGCCTTCGGGGAATAATTGACAAATAGTTTCGAATCATATATGACAATATGAGTCAGAAAGCAAACACAGTCGTCACTTTTTGTCGCTCTCACGCACGTTGTCACACAATATTGCATAGTGAATGGATATACAGTGGGAATTTTTGAGAAATTTCATTTGAAAATAAGCAAAGACGGTGTGTCTTTGTGATCAGTTTCGGAATCAACGATGGTAGATCACTGTAGTTGGAATTTTTCTTTCATCTTAATTATGTGAATATTACTGGACACGTAGTTTTGAATAAAAGACGAGACGGTCTTTGAATTCAGTTCACAAAAAAGTCTATTATAATAGCGAGCAACATGGTAACAAAACACTAAAAGCGTGGATACATTGACAGTCAGTTTCAACTGTCTTTATGAATACTCGCATTACCATTTCAATTCATGTTCGTCATAATCAAATACGATGTGATTTAATTCTTTCATTAGGTCATCTAAGGCGTTATTCGTATAAACGATCGAAAAGCAACGTGAAAGAAAAGAAACGAAAAACAACAAACAACTACCGTTAGAAGATACATGATAGATTGTAACGAAGTAACGCTTTCTTTTCTGTCATATATAAGTGATGTGTGTCCACCTCTTGATTTATTTTAAATCGTTTCTATAGTCCTCTATTCGCTCTATCTAAAAACTTCTTTTCGTCTATTTTAGCAAAATTCGTTCATCGGTGACCATTTTGTACTCACACCATGCCTTACTATCCACGAAACATGCACGGATATGGACAACATCCTCCACATCCACATTGGCCTAACGATGCTCACATTGCCGTGCAGTTCGTTCTCAACTACGAAGAAGGTGGCGAAAATAACATTCTCCACGGAGATGCCGCTTCTGAAGCCTTCCTCTCCGAGATCGTCGGTGCTGCACAATGGCCTGGCCAACGACACTGGAACATGGAGTCTATCTATGAATATGGTGCTCGAGCTGGATTCTGGCGACTTCATCGACTCTTCACTGACAAGAACGTCCCTGTCACCGTCTATGCTGTTGCCACTGCTCTCATGCGATCACCTGCACAAGTCAATGCAATGAAACAAGCTGGATGGGAGATCGCATCACACGGATACAAGTGGGTCGAACACAAAGATATGTCACAAGACGTCGAACGACAACAGATACAAGAAGCCATTCGTCTTCATACTCTTGCAACCGGTGAACCACCACGAGGATGGTACACTGGTCGATGTTCTGTCAACACTGTCGACCTCGTCAGTGAACAAGGTGGAATGGAATACATTTCCGACACCTACGACGATGATCTTCCTTATTGGCGTGAACACAATAATAAACCACAGCTCATCATTCCCTACACACTGGATGCCAACGACATGCGATTCGCAACGCCACAAGGCTTCAACTGTGGTGATCAGTTCTTCACTTATCTCAAAGATGCTTTCGACACTCTCTACGAAGAAGGCAAAAGTGGCATGCCGAAAATGATGACCGTCGGACTGCACTGTCGACTGATCGGTCGACCAGGCAGAATCGCATCGCTCGTCCGATTCATCGACTATATCCAAAGTCACGAAAAGGTGTGGATTCCAACTCGGCTGCAGATTGCCGAGCATTGGAAGAATACACATGCGTTCGTCAAGCGAGACCTTGTTCCATCACAGTTAGATCGACAGACGTTCATCGAACGGTTCGGATCGATCTTCGAACACTCAGCCTGGATAGCTGAACGAGCACTCGATGGTGAACTCGCTCCTGCAAATGACACAGCTGTAGGTCTTCACTTTGCACTTCGAACTCAGTTTCGAGCTGCGTCTGATGAAGAACGACTGCAAGTACTGCTCGCACATCCTGATCTAGCAGGTAAACTAGCCATGGCGAAACGATTGACCAGTGAATCGACGAATGAACAAGCATCAGCTGGTCTCGATCTGCTGACCGATGAAGAGCGAGTGCTGTTCACTGATCTCAATCGACAGTATACGACGAAGTTTGGTTTTCCATTCATCATTGCGGTGAAAGACAACACGAAAGAAAGTATCATCGAAGCATTTCGACGTCGATTACAGAACGATCGTGAAAGTGAATTCGTGACAGCATGTGGTCAGGTGGAACGAATCGCGGAACTTCGACTAAAAGCCATTTTACCCAACTAGAGTTTTTAAGATTTGTTACTTGATAACAATAGGTTGTTTACGAGTATGTTTTGAAAAGAAATAAAGCACGAGAGATTTCATTTTTACAATTGTGATAGCAACTTTTGTGGACGGAACAGTAATATAGATGAAAAACGGTAGAAAGATGGATGTGTCTTTCATTGAGCAGATTTAAGAGAACAATAAGGATTTTATTGTACTAGATGGAAGTTTTGACTGAATTATAAATGTGGAGAAACAATGCACATTGATGAGTAGAAATTAATAGAACAATGTCGTGACGTCAAGATTAAATGTTTGATTGAGTGTTTCGTACACCATACTTTATAAAACCCTTATTCGCTCAGAGTCATAGAAACTACGATTTTAAAACTTGAGAATCTTATGTTCCTACTTGTGGATTTTATTGCTACATCCATAAAATCTATCGTGTCATTTCTTCTAAATATATATAAGGCACAATTTTCGTTCGAACAAATTCATTTGACGAAGTCTATCAGTTACCGAATTCGACCATGAAAAATCATCTGTTCGTTCTCATATCACTTATGTCGAGTGAGTATCGATGAAAATGTAGATGAACCCATCAGTTAAATTAGATATTTAAAGAAGAAAAACATTGAGTTTGATTATAACTAAATTGGTGCAAATTATTCGCTTATTCTCTAATTTTTATTGAAATAGGTATTGTGGTGATTAATGGATACCAATGTTATTCATGTCAATTGAGTGATAATTGTAACGATCCATTCAACTCGAAGGGAATTACAATCGTAAATGCCACAGAAAACGAACGTTGTTGGGTACGTATTTTGTTAAGTGAAGAAAATAAATTATATTTAAAACAAAATACATTATTACTTGCGTCTTATTGTAGAAAAGTAAAATCTCGGGCACCGTTGTTCGTAGCGTTATAGCGGTAGATGTCTGTAAACAAGGGGAAAACAGTTGTATTGATACAAGCTCCATTGGAGTTGATGCCGCTACGTGTTGTTGTAATTCAGATCTTTGCAACAATGTGCGATCTCTTCGATACGATTCAATCATGCTTATTCTGTTTCTTACAATATCATTCATCTATTATTCATGTTAAATTCAATCAAGAATGAGCGAAAATTCTTTTTTTTTCAATTTTGCGGTATGATTTCATGAGAATGTCTGTATGGGGTTCATCTTTCATTCAGCGTACAATAAAATTCATTATTTTATTTTTTCGGATGGAAACTAAAATTTGATAAGTGAATCAATTTGAAATTAGAGTGTTCCGTGGCAAGACAAACGTATACGTCGTCGTTGTCGAAGTATAGAGACAACAGTCGTGACGATAGTGCAATATCACTGTATAACATAACAGAAAGTTTAAAACAAAAGCAATGACATCAGAATAAATGCAACTTTGTTGTATCCCTATTGATCACAAAGATCTGCATTTGATCGTGCTGTTTCAACTTAATTCATCAAAAATACTCAACCATGAATGAATAGATTTTCTCGATTATATATGTGAGTTGTTCGATCACCAAATTCAGAATATCTTCTATCTATATCTCGGAAATAAGCTTGATTGCAAGACTGAAAGCTGCCGTTCTCAATTTTGAAAGTACCGGACTTTATACTCTGATTTGCAAACCTATCTATTTGTTTTAAAATTTTGTTTCGTTTCTAGAAGAATCAGTTTCGATTAACATGCGAACCTAATAGTGAAGTTCTTTTATAAATAGCATCATGCTATAGTACATGAAATCATTGCTCTATCCGATTCAGTCTCATTTTTAAAGTAGATCAGTTACTACTCTAAGTTTTATAAGAACTCCATCAGTAAGAAACTATCGATCTGTTTAATCAAGCTAACTTTCACTCAATTGAACTGAAGTTCCAATAATGCCTTGTAAAAACTGAATGTAACAAAACGTATAAACATATACCAAAGCATACACTAATTGAAACAAAGTATACGAAACAATCTACGCTTTCGCCTTATCAACAATCAGCCCATATTTCATTTGCACATGACGTCAGAAATGTATGGGTTTCATCTACTGTACTTCACTTCTGTTTCGTTATACATGTAAAATCGAAATAAAACATAGGCATATAAGTACGACATAGAGGAACAAACGAAAATAATACAACAGAGAGAAGCAGAACAAGGGTGTGTTTATAATCCAGCCCAAAACTACTGAAGTGTCTAACTGCAACACGCTAAACAGAGTCACAGATAAGCAAGACAAATAATCACAAAAACCAAGATAACTGTAAAATTGAAAAAAGAACATTCTCTCTTTTTCTTTTTTTTTCTTTTCTTTTCTTTTCTCACACCTCTGTAGTCATCTATCGAAGTCAATAAACGAATACGCCATCTCACTGAGCTTTGTGTAATAGTTCAACAATGCCTTACTATCCACGAAACATGCACGGATATGGACAACATCCTCCACATCCACATTGGCCTAACGATGCCCACATTGCCGTGCAGTTCGTTCTCAACTACGAAGAAGGTGGCGAAAATAACATTCTCCACGGAGATGCTGCTTCTGAAGCCTTCCTCTCCGAGATCGTCGGTGCTGCACAATGGCCTGGCCAACGACACTGGAACATGGAGTCTATCTATGAATATGGTGCTCGAGCTGGATTCTGGCGACTTCATCGACTCTTCACTGACAAGAACGTCCCTGTCACCGTCTATGCTGTTGCCACTGCTCTCATGCGATCACCTGCACAAGTCAATGCAATGAAACAAGCTGGATGGGAGATCGCATCACACGGATACAAGTGGGTCGAACACAAAGATATGTCACAAGACGTCGAACGACAACAGATACAAGAAGCCATTCGTCTTCATACTCTTGCAACCGGTGAACCACCACGAGGATGGTACACTGGTCGATGTTCTGTCAACACTGTCGACCTCGTCAGTGAACAAGGTGGAATGGAATACATTTCCGACACCTACGACGATGATCTTCCTTATTGGCGTGAACACAATAATAAACCACAGCTCATCATTCCCTACACACTGGATGCCAACGACATGCGATTCGCAACGCCACAAGGCTTCAACTGTGGTGATCAGTTCTTCACTTATCTCAAAGATGCTTTCGACACTCTCTACGAAGAAGGCAAAAGTGGCATGCCGAAAATGATGACCGTCGGACTGCACTGTCGACTGATCGGTCGACCAGGCAGAATCGCATCGCTCGTCCGATTCATCGACTATATCCAAAGTCACGAAAAGGTGTGGATTCCAACTCGGCTGCAGATTGCCGAGCATTGGAAGAATACACATGCGTTCGTCAAGCGAGACCTTGTTCCATCACAGTTAGATCGACAGACGTTCATCGAACGGTTCGGATCGATCTTCGAACACTCAGCCTGGATAGCTGAACGAGCACTCGATGGTGAACTCGCTCCTGCAAATGACACAGCTGTAGGTCTTCACTTTGCACTTCGAACTCAGTTTCGAGCTGCGTCTGATGAAGAACGACTGCAAGTACTGCTCGCACATCCTGATCTAGCAGGTAAACTAGCCATGGCGAAACGATTGACCAGTGAATCGACGAATGAACAAGCATCAGCTGGTCTCGATCTGCTGACCGATGAAGAGCGAGTGCTGTTCACTGATCTCAATCGACAGTATACGACGAAGTTTGGTTTTCCATTCATCATTGCGGTGAAAGACAACACGAAAGAAAGTATCATCGAAGCATTTCGACGTCGATTACAGAACGATCGTGAAAGTGAATTCGTGACAGCATGTGGTCAGGTGGAACGAATCGCGGAACTTCGACTAAAAGCCATTTTACCCAACTAGAGTTTTTCTTTTAAATGCTATTTTTATCGTTGTGATCAGGCTGATTAAAATAGACTCAACTGAGTGATGGAAAGAAGATGAGATGATCTAGTCTCGTTTATCGTTTATCGATAGCAAGATCGTTGTTATGGCTGCCGTTCTCTTCTCGGGCGAATAAATCGGAGAGAATGTTTGGATCACTATGCTCTCAAAAAATGGAAGGAGTTATGAAGAATGCATTTTAGCGTATCGTGATGGCGAAGAATGAAGAAAAAGAAAAGTTTGGTTTTCGATCGATGTATTAAGTTAATGTTAAATCGTATAAAGAAATATGTTCCATATCCCACATAGTTCTATTTGTAACGAGCAATTTGAGAAAGAGAAAAACAATAAAATAAGATTAAAACACAGACAAAAAATGCCAATCTAACGACTTTAAATGAGAAATAGATCGAAAACACAGAATATATGACATAAAATAAAGAATCAACGATCATTCATTATCATCAAGTTCGAGTAAGAAGTTTGGGATCTAAATGATCAAAATATAGGGCATATTCACTCTCAGTTAATTTTCATTTACGGTTATTCCTGCTGATTGTAACAAGTTTCTACATGTCGTCAATTGATCCTCATAGTTGGAACACAGAGCGAGTAAATCATTTTGTTCTATTAAAGTTTGCTGATGGATATCGTTTAATTTTTGATAATCATCGCTCAATCGAATTTTCTCATCAATCAATTCTTGTGTTTGACCCTGAGAACTCTAGATAGACAACAAAGAAATCGATCAGAACTAAAACGAAGAAATTCACAGTTAATTCACCTCGAGCAGTGATACTTTGCGTTTTTCATTCGTTAGTTTCTCTTGTAAAACACCATTTTCTAACTGAAGTCGAGCTATTTCATCGTTTTGTGCCGCATATCTAATCATGATCAACAAAGAAAACAAATAATGAATTATTCCAGGTACTTGTGAGCTACTCACCTTTCATCATAAGAATTCAATTTTTCTTGCAATTCTGTTATACGCGCTGTTAATGCGGCGCGCTCACCTACTTGAGCAGTATGATTTTCACCATTACCCACGTTCAATTTCTCCATTCCATTTGCCACACTACAGTCAAAGCAATTATCCTCATGCATAGCAACAGAAAATGATCAAACTTACTGATTCATTGTAGACGATTGTTGTTGAGCCTAAAGAAAGTGCAGAATAGCTATCAAAGAATTCCAAATGAACATACCAGAATATTTCTTAGATATTCCAATTCACCTCTTTGTTGTTCACATATGGATCTCAATTCATTGTGAGCATCCGGTCCTGAGAATAAAAAACTATTTCAGGAGATTTCGATAAATATATCGATTACCTTGTTTTGTTGATATTTTCAAAAGTGAATATTGATCTCTAATCTCTTGTAATTTTTGTTCTAATTCATTGATTTTCCTTTTCTGCATGTCCGTCTCTTGAAGCAAATATTTTTCTTGCTGTTTGTACGTATTCAACTGCTGATCTTGTTGACGGATCAAATCGTTGTAATGTGTCATCATTGTTGATGTTTGTTGATCATAAAGATTACTTGATAGTGGATCTCCGAGCGATTTATCAGTGGCATTCATAGTTTGTGTAGTTAACATTCGTCCGATTGAACCTTCAAGGGCTTTGTATAAACGAGCAAACTCATAGTCAAGAATCATATCAGCAGATTTCGATAGTTTTAGTTGCGGTTTTTGTAAAGCTTTTGCATAAAACTCCGATTTGGATAATGTTTCGAGTCTTTCTTGAAATAACTCAATGCCAATGCGTTTATTTATCAATCGTTCGAGAGCTTCACTTGAAACAAGAAAGAGAAATAAAGATATTCGCGTTGAAAACTTCTCGTTCTTACGTTGTATATGATGGTATTTGATTATTGTTGAAAAGTAAACATAAACCTAATACAAATGAGCATAGTGATTGTATGAGATTCTCGCGATCATCGGCTATCAATTGAGCACAAATTTGCGAAATAAGCTACGAAAGATAATTATCATGACGATGTTCATCAATAGCGAAATCTCGATCTTACATATGAAATACTATTTGGAATTGAGAGAAATGCTTGTACTGCTAATGAACAATTTGATAACCACGTGCTAAGAAAAATTAACACAGCGACGCGTGTATGAAATGATGATGAAGACTATGCAAAACAGAAAATTGACAGATAGTGAATGACTAATTTCAAATTCTTTACGTTTTGTAGCAAATCAATGGAAATCTCCATTAGAGTTTTCGCTCCTGTCTGCGCTTGATCAACCGCCAGCACAACTTTAAGTATTGCTTCTTTGAATTGCTGACTATCAGCAACGAGTCGAGCAAGTGCAATGCCGGAACACCATGATGCAACAACATCTTTACTCAGATAACCGATGATCATTAAGTGACCTAGTGTATATTGACTTGCAGCTAAACATAAAACGAGAAGCGTTGGTCTTCGCAATCGAAACCGTTGTTTTTCTCTAACCATTTTCTGTTTGAGGTAAAAGTGTGTGAACGATCAGCGATTTGCCTAATTCATTTTTATAAAGATAACATTGAAGACAGTAGAGAATGGAAATTCGAAGTGGAAAGGGTTGCTTTTCACCAGCAACCATCGTATAAAGTAAATTGAATAAAACCGGTCTAAAAGAAAATCATTCGTCGATGATTTCATTAACAAGTGTTCCTTACTGTTGAGCTTCACCAGTTGTATTCATAACAGAACTAAGAAATTGTTGATTTTCCATATGACCGCGAACGACATCACCAATTGTGTTGATCGTCTACGAAATTCTCTGATAATTCAATTCAAAATACATTTCAACTTACTTCAGCTAATACATCAGCAGGAATTGTTGTTAGTGTTAACATGACACATAAACGGTGTAGCAGACCTTGGAAATATTAACAGAAGATTCATGAAATTCACTTCGAGAGAAGGCTTACCACATTGGCTTATTGTACGTTGGCAAGCGACGATGTTCTGATTGGCATTTGTTGGTGAGACAAGTATTCGAATAATCTGAATTGAGAAATTAACACGCCGTTTTACTGACTATATCGGACAAAACAGATTCAATTACTTGTAATAGAAGATGAACATTGGTGACTTTTTGTGCCGACCAACGTTTTTCTCCAATAGAGCCAAGTTCGAAAAAATCAACTAATCGTCGAATATATGATCCTTCGCGAAAATAACTCTGATTCGATGGATTATTTTTCAATAGATTCAATAAAACAGATAAGCAATCTTCGACGGTAACAACTATTCACACAAAGAAATATCGAATAATTTTTCGATGTTAGATACTTACCACCATCACTTCCGCCTTCGCTAACAAGAATTTCAAATAAACGTTCAAAACCATTTTCGAATGCAACTATCTTTTGGATATTCGCATTCGAGCGAGTTAAGATTTGTAAGAGAAGAAGTGCCTAATAATAAATAGAACTAGATTTTCAAAGTTCATCCGTATTTCAATGATTTACGTCATTTCGAATCACTTCTCGTTCATCTTGAAGAAGATCGACTAATTTGGAAACACCCATGGGTCCACTTTCTAATATAATTTCTTGCAATTCTTTAGTACAGTTTGTTAACAACGCAGTAAGAAATCGAATGGCCGACCGGCGAACATTAAAATCAGTTTCCTACAAGCACACTTCTTTCAATCAACATTGTACTGATTCAATCTATGAACACTAACTTCAACTAATTCGAGAGCAGCATGAACATTTGCTTTGTTTTTTATATACAGTTCTAAACTATTCATATGAATACAATCTGGAAAATATTTACAAGCATACCTGTGAATTGCACGGTGATATCTTGTGGTAGATTAGCTTGCTCTAAACAATCATCACGTATAGAAAATCAGTTATTTCGTACCTAAAACATCTACCTTCTTCATTAGCAACTTCATAAGTAACAATATTTGCTAGTGTCTCAAGTGATAATTGAATAAGATCGAGATCGCTGCGATCGCCTTGAAGAATGTTTGCTAATAGAGTCATACTTTGAGTACCGACTTCAAGTTTACATTTCTACTTGAAGTTGTATGAGAATTATTTCGTATGAAGATAAGCTCTTACCTTTGAAAGTGCTTTTAAACCACGCACGGCATCTCGCCGATCTTCAGTACGTGTTGCTGTTTGAAGACGATCGGACAATCGCTCGATCTGTAAACATATTTCAAAATTGACAGCACACTGTCATACTTGTCTTACTGTTTCTTGTCCGAAAGTATTGCTCGAAGAAGTCGTCGCTGCTGTCGATGATGAAAAGAGAGAAGCGCCACGCCAAAAAGCCATCCGTTATAATTGTTCTACAATAACAAAATGAATCTTATTCAAGAATCTCAGATCTTTATCGAAAGACTATTAAATATGTATCTATTCATTTCTTTTCAATGCAAGAAAGAAAGAAACTAACGGGTTACTTATCTCACGGTTGATAATACTGATCAATAGAGGTCACTAATAAACAAATCAAGCTAGACTATCGATATCGATATATTTAACTCTAAGTAGAACACGAACAAGTTATGTTTATATGATAATTTATTTCAAATGTGCCTATATTTCATTTTAAATATTTTATTTTCTTGAGTTTAATATAATCACTCAAAATATTAAAACAAACAAATAACGAAAATGATATGCATAACAGTCAAGACGTGTTTTGCTTTCTTTTCTGACAAAGAAAAAACAATGATCAGGTCAAGTATCTACAATATACTTGAGTGAGTTCTTCGACTAGATCTTTCTGTTCATCTGTTAATCCAGTTGCAAATAATTTCTCCTTTATTTGTGTGATTTGCTCTTGTTGTTCTTGCTGATTTTGCATATGGATCTTTCGCAAATAATACGCATGCAATTGTATTTGGCCTGTTTGTTTATCAACAATCTCACTCTTCGTTGCTAGTTCATAATCTTTAACTGCATATTTAATATTTCGAAAAAATTCGTATCTCATATAATCTGACGGGAGAATATTGTCAATGAAATCAACTAATTTCTCATAATAATCATGTTTCATTGCATTCAACTGCTGAGTATATTCGGTTTTTTGGTCTGCAGATAAGTCCGACCAAGTTTGTTGCGAGCCGATTTCTTCTTTTTCGTGATTGTAATAAAGATAACTGTTGATAGGAGGTCGAACTGGTAGACCAATTGACGAGAAATAGATGAGCATGTCTTCTTGTCGAGTTAGAAGTAAATGTAATGTTGGAATAAGATATTCGACAATTGGTGGATGTTCATCAAGAAATTCATTCCATTGTTCGATTGATTTCGTCACGTATTTCAATCGTTCTTCATCATTTAACTGAGCAAAGATCGATTTCATGTAGGAATTCTTTGTCATCGTTCTCGTAAAGGTCGGTTTGTCATCATCGGATACGGCTGTTTCATAATAAATGGCATGTGGCATGCATTTGTGTAACAGTTCAAGTTCGTTTCGAGTTAATTTTACTGGTATATCATCGATCAGTGGTGATGAAACTTCTGTTGTTTGTAAACTTTCAGGTAGTGCTGTTAAAGATTTACGACGTTGTCGAATCAACTGTGCATCTTCGCTCTTCACGGGAGATGAGTGGATTTTCTGTCGTTTATGAGGATATTGCTCGGCATAGACTAAATAATCTGCTCGAAGACGTTCAGGCAAATCATTAGCAAAGTTTTTCACTTGAGCGGCATATTCAAGTTTAGCCTTTGAAAAGTGTATCATAAGAAAATGTTGCTTTTTTATAAAAGGCTTATTACTTCTTTACGTTTTCTTTTGAATACTTTACGTTCATCTTTGTTTAAAGCGTTCCAAGGTATGCTGTTATCACAATCATCGTCATCGTCATTTTCTTCTTTGATAATCTGAGTGTAAAACGGCACAGCTGTTCTAGAATGAAGCAAATCGATTCGTTTTTCGCATCCGTATATGTTTCATTTACCCTGGTGGCTTAACTGGTGCATTAATCGATTGAAAATACTTTCTCTGTTCACCTTTCATCAACAGATAGTCAAATAATTTACATTCGACCTGCACTTGTTCATCGACATCTTTTTCATCCTGAAAAAAAAGGATAAAATAACAATGTAAAAGAGCTAATATGTTTCTTACAAGTAGTTCTATGTATTTATCAACGGCTTTTTGTAAATATCGATCTTGTTTATCCTGTGGAAGTTGACAATATCTCACACGTAAGGTAAACGGATTTTCCTGACAAATACAAAGAAAAATAAATAAATTCTTTTTCAGAAAAGATCTCCTACTCACTGTACTTCCTTTCTTCTTCTGTTTCGTGATATACAGACGCAACGGACGGTATGATTTGATACTAAAAAATCGCCTACTATTAAAACAAAAATCAGTAGACGAAAATATTTACTCTGCAAGTATTCTGTCCGAAATTAAATCACTTGATGGTTTCGGTCGGCTTCCTCTAGGCATGAAATCTAAATAGAAAAGAAATCGAAATTTTATATCAATTCATTGATCGTGTCTATTCTTCAATGAGTTTTATTGATTTTAGATGAAAATTACAAGAAAAACATTATCAACAACAACATTCGAAAGCACGTTGAAGTGATTTTGAACGTTGACATGATACTAAAATTGAAGGAAAATGAACGAGAACTGACGAAAGATTACGTATGGAATTGAATGTTTTATTGAGCAAAATTTCATTTTCAATACGTCGTTCCATCTGACTGCATATACGACGAAAGTACTGCTTTCAAACATGATTTATATTCTGAAAATCGCATGCTTCAATTGAGCTTATATCAACATGAAAGAGAGAAGAAAAAAAGAACACAAGACAAACTAACATAACACAACACACCGGCTGGAATAATAGCATAAGAATTAAGAGTTAAAGCGAGTTTAGCAAATTGCGAGAAAAACACATGACTGGTTTAGATATGATATATGTATAATTATGTACATTTCCACTTTCTAGTCTAATCAATTCGTAGAAATGATCGTGAAGCGAGCAGACTATTGGCTGAAATTCGATTGACTTAAATGTTACTACTTGTTTTGAGTCGATGAGAGTAGAGGTTCAGTTTCCATCGATGATACTGATGAGATTTTCTTCGATTGTATTGGATCGAAAACTTCGGTTGGATGAAGTGTACTCGGAGTATTGGCTGTATGAGATGAACCATTGTCAGTTGTAGTTGATGGTGGCGACATCGTCTAAAATAATATGAAGAGTTTTTGTATAAATGACTGTAGAAAAGATAAATTTATATGAAAGAAACTATTGTTGAGGAGAATGAATCTAATTTGAATGATTTTCAATGGATTCAATAAATCCTATTTTGAGTGGTAATAGAAGATCGATTAATCAGCAGCTCAAATGCGAGATTTGAGTACATTTGAAAAGTATTGTGCTAATGGTATGAAGAAGATACATGCAAAATAATTGATAGGGAAAGAAAAGTTAATGAAAGACTAAATGGAACACGTTAGATTTAATTCTAGATGTTATTTATTTCCCCACTACTCGATTGCCATTCGATACTCACCTGATAGTTTTGGATTATACGGTTTGAGTATCAAAAACTGAAAAGTTTTCATATCATACATCTATGTTAAGTGAAGATGTATGACGAAAGTCTTATGAGATGTCTTTAGAATTTCTCTCGAACGAATAAAACATGCGTAGCACTTTGTGAATTGCTTCTTTCATCGAATGGCAAAAGAAAAGTCGCTCGTGCAACAAGCAAATCGTATGGTTTTAGCTGCCTGCTTGCTTGTTTTCGAGCATACATATGCATGTACAATCGCAACAAAACAAAAAACGAATGAAAAATAAACAGTGCATATGTGTAGAGCTGTTGTTCCACTCACTGTTATAATTCTATGTTTACTCTCGATCTCGATTGATTTGTTCTGTGATTTATTGATTGAATAGATGTTACATTCGATGATGTATCATCCAAGAATACGGGATGTATTCTCCTTTTAAACTAAAGAATATCGATATCAAAATAGGTCGACGAGATTTGATTGATTGTCGAGAAAAACTTTGTGATAGAGGGAGTTGAAAAATTGAGCATGTACTTACGTTCGTTATGTTTGATGGTCGAACACGTGAAGTCGCTTTAGACTGCATACGACCAGATGTAATCAATGGTCCCCAACCTTCCTGTTGAGAGAAGGCATAACCCGATCGAACAACTCGTTTAGGTTGATGCATTTTTTGTTTAATGTGGGCAACAAAAGCAGCTTTTTCTTCCATACGGAATCGTTGATTCAGTCGAGCACGATCGGTTTTGTTTGGCATAAACCGCATACGGAAGAATCTATTCAAAGAAAACCAATTAAACCAATGCACAATATCTTTGGAAATACTTTACTCGCGACAGAAGACAGGCAAAAGCAATACTGCACATGTTATAAATAATGTAAACCAGAAATTGCCAGTGGTTAAGACATTTTGCGCCACTCCCACATATGCATAATTCGTTTTGAAGATTGTCGATACAAGTGGTGAGTACAAAGCAAAATGAAATAAGAAATGTACTGCTATTGTGCCCCATAGAACGAAATGATATAGACCAGTCCAATTCCACATTTCTAATGCATTTTGTAGATTGACAATTACCACCATGATTGTAGCGACCATGAAGCCAAATGATTGTAAGTCTGCTTGTGACATGCCAGATGGACGACTGCTGTTCGATACGGAAAGGTAGGAAACGAAAAAGATGATGCAAGACGTTAGAATGCCGTGAATAACGCTTTCAGCAAAGATTTTCTTATTGAAAAATTCGTTATTTTGACCAGGAGTGTATCTGAAACGAAAGAAAAGTTTTTCAATAAACAGAAAAGAAAATGACTTACAAATGTGGTTTATTCATGGATTGTTCCGAAGTAACATCCTAAAGGAAATAGACGTTAATGAATGGTGTTCAAATTTAAGACACTAACTTGATCGAAAACGCCCAATGCCAGAACAGGTAATGATGAAAAGAAGACATTATATGTCGCGACAAAGAATGGATCGTACAAAGTCTAATTTAAAAAGAAAGATACAAAATGTTGACTCTAGTTAATAAGTATCTTCTCTGCAACATTATCTTACTTGAGCTGAAAATCCGGAGAAGAATCCAAACCAAAAGTGGCAAAGTGTAAATGCAAAATTCTTATAGAAAAAGTAGCGTAAAAACTTCGAGATGCGCAAATACGACCATCGACCATGGACAAGTAACAATCGTTCAAGAAAACAAAATTGTCCGAAACTAAAATCACTTGCTAACACAGCTTGTCGACCTTCTTGTCCACTAATACCAACACCGATGTGTGCTTCTACAAAAAACGTTCATTATTATTTCCTCTTCCACAAATTCAAACAAATCGCTTTCGTTTACTTTGAATCATCGACACATCGTTTGCTCCATCTCCAATGGCCAACGTGATTTTCTTTTCGTTTTCCATGACTAATTCAACCACTTGAGCTTTCTGCAATGGTGTAACACGGCAACAAACGACTGCTTTACACATAGTACCAAGTTCAAGGAATTTCATTTTCAATTTGTCCGACAATGCATGAACGAGGGCTTGCCCTGTTATTAATAATCCAAAGCCTTCGAAGCTCTCGCGATCCGGTGAAGTGGGCTCATTCGCTGTTGTTGCTGCTGTCGTTGATGATGGATGGCCATTTGTAACTTTGGTTTGCTCTGTATTATTATTATTGTTATTATTGGTGGTGTTTTTTCTATGCTGATCAAATTTCATCACATCAATACCCCATTCTTTCCAATCGAGTCGTTTCTTTCTATCTTGAATCTTTATGTCAAATAATCCTTCGATTTTCTCAATCATTTCATTTCGAACTTGGTCTAATTTGGCTGCTACACCCTTCTCATCTTCATCATCAATTACATTGATTTCCATATCATTCGTGAGCAAACGACAAGACAAACCAATATTATAAGCAGTTTCTAAAACGCAGACATTCCATTGATGAGAAAAGAAAGTATCTGGAAATTTGTTTACTTACCAACTTTGTCACCTGTTAAAACCCATATTTTTATACCAGCACGCGCTAAATGTTCTATACATTGCGGTACACCGTCTTGCAATTTATCTTCGATAGCTGTAGCACCAAGTAATTTCAGGTTTTGTTCTATTTCTTCATAAACTTCACTAACTTTTTCATCTCGATTTTCCATACTTGTACTAAAATACATTCATACACTACTTTTTCAATTCTTCTACAGTGACTCACTTGGCTTTATCTAATTTTTCTGCCCATTTTTTATATTCTCCTTCGTCAAGGTCTTTCCATGCCAAACAAAGTGTACGTAAACCATCGGTAGCGAATTTCTAAACAAAACTCCTCGAATCTTACATTTAACAACCAGAAAAATTGAACCTACATTTAAATGTTCATCAGTTTGTGCCATGATTTCCTTCTCCGATGAATCTAACCGTTCTTTAACTTTCGAATCAGCTCCCTTACAATACAAAACGATTTTGCCATCTTTTTTCACGATAACTGACATTCGCTTGCGGTCATTGTTAAAATCCAAAATATTGAGCAAATCGTACGTTTCTTCTTTATCTGGTAAACGAACGGTAATACTACTTTGTGTACGATTCTAGATCGAAGACGAATTCAACTAAATTATCCTTTTGTCAAGATATTCAATCTTACATCGAAAACAAAACCAAATGTTCTTGCAGCGGATACCAATGCATTCTCATCGGGTGATTGAGCTTGATAAATAATCTTTCCGTCTTTCTCTTCCGGCATGACCGTATGACAAAGAGCTAGAAGTGTGAAGAAATTGTGTTCATCTTCATCACCATTTTTGATTGCGTCGATCAATTTTTGATCGTACCATTGAAAGTCTTCGTCTTTTTCTTCGAATTCAATTGCTTTTGTTTTCTGAAATATCATAAATTTTATAGTTATTTGATGATTATCAAATGAATCTAATTACATCAGGATCTTGAATTTCATTTCCATTTCCATCAGTAACATAACCATACAATTTTCCACGGATCGAACATTTGTTGAATGTCATAATATTCTGCAATAAGAAAATGATCCTCATTGTGTCATTGATTAATATTCAAATTACCTGCGTTAATGTTCCTGTTTTATCCGAAAAAATATATTCAATTTGTCCTAATTCTTCGTTTAGTGTGGTTGTACGTGCTTGTGCGGGAACATTATTTGGTTTATAATACATTTGAATATCCCAATCAATAAATTTCGATTGTAATAAACGTATAAATTCCACACTGACATAGAGAGAGATGGGCACCACAGTGTTTAAGATAATGATGTACGAGAGAAACACTAATAAACTTTTCTGAATTGCGCCAATACGACGATCTTTGGATAAGAAACCTTCCCAGGGTAAGTACATGCGAAAGTCATAACCAACGAAGGATTCCCAAAGACCAGAGCAGATTGTCATGATAGCACACATGATCAATAAAAAGAAGAAGATCTAAATGAATAAAGATAATAGATGATGTTCATGACTTCGTAATGGAATTTTTTTACGCCAAGAATAATTCGATTGAGTAAACGATCAATTTGTGTACGTTTGAATGGTGCTTTACCACTGTTTTTCATTAATTTAGTGTCAGGACCAGCATAGCAGACAACTGAATATACGATTTATGATAAAAATTAAGGAGAATATAATAGTTATTTACTTCCGAAAGCCCATTGAGTATTTCTCAAGCGTGTTCCACGTAAAACAATGTTATCATTTTTGAGAGGATACGTTTTTCCCTTCCATGTCAAGTTTCCTTCGAATCGTCCAAGATTATTATTTGGTGCTTCGTATTCAATTTCTCCTAAAAATACAAGTTTTCTTCACAATATAATCCAATTTAACTTTTACCATCAAAATTTGATAATTGACCAATATCTTCTCCGATTTTACATGTTTCCTCTAAAGCTTGTCGGACTTTAAGATTCGTTTCTCCATCCAATTCAGCAGTTTCAATAAAACAAAGACCATTGTCATCACTAGTTGAGATTAAAACAATATCTGCCTACAATTATCAAACGAAGCATTGTTCAAATTTGTCTCGAAAAGGAAAAACAAGCTTCTCACAGTGACAAATTCATTATTGGTTAATTGAATCATATCCCCAACTTTAATATCTTTCCATTTTCTCGTAACAAATTCTTTTCCTACGACTGTTTTCGTTTCACGATTATTCACTTCTCGATCACTACGATGTCTCGCCTATTTGATAAAAACAAACCAATTCATTTCTTTTCAAAAAAAGATTTCTTTCTTAACGAACAATATCATCACTAGCATCTTTGATTGCCGTCAAAGCCAAGACAAATACAAGTGGTAAGATCGTAGTTATCGGAGCCAAGGAACTGATTTGTGGAATGAGCTAAATGGGAAGATACAATTAATGTCGAATGAGTAATCAATGCCGTAAGTTTACTTGTAAACAAAGAAGGAATAAGAAATAAGCATTTGCTAGTCGACGAAATTGTTCGAAAAGATTTTTCGGTAAAAATGTTATTAAATTGTATTTAGATGTCGAAATTTCATTTCCCTAAACAAACGTTCAGATCAAATTTGTTCATTTCATACTCATTCGATTTACTGCATATTGTTTTGCAACATTACCAGATGGATCATTGGCTTTGATTTTTCTGCTCTCCTCTAAAATAGAATGAACAGCGAATGATGAGAAGAAAACGAAATTCTATTCATACTAACCTTCAACTTTCTCCTTTTTTTTAAACAACTTGACCATGTTTTAACAAGAAAACAAAACTTTTTTTTGCGTTCGTTTGTTATATAATCATTATGCTACAAACAATATGATCACAACGAGAAAAATGTTGATCTGAAAAGGAGAGAAATACGATTCTTCATTTCTAGCATAAAGAACGCCCAATTGGAGGAAAGAAGAATGTACTGGATGATAGTGGTTGCGTGAGTCATCACGTTGCTCGTGTCTGAGTCTTCCGAAGAATAGAATGAAACAAATGGAATGGTTTTATACTGGTTGATTACCAACATATTTTTAAGAAATGATTGTCGGTGTGATAAAAATGTGTAGAAGGAAATCAGTGAAGTGTGAGAGACGCGGTGAATGGTTTCGTAATAGCTATGCTTTCGAAAATTGCTATACTACTATTTTGAAAACGAACGAATGAGAAGAAGATTTCGATGATGTCCGTTTGTTATTACGTTCACCTTTAACAAGGAAATGATAAGAACGAGTAACGTTATCATCAAACTAAACAGAAATGATTTTTTTATAACAACAGATGCGATCATTAGATAAAAAAAATATCAACATGTTGATGATAGGTATGAATAAACAAACTATATTGATGGAACGAGCTGCTCGTATATACGGTCATACACATCTATCGAGTACGCACGTTATTAAACTAAATGATCTGCGAATAGAAATGAATGGAATGTTATAGTACTGACACAAGAAGCTGAAGTATGGTGAAGAATTAAACACAAACAGGAAGCTGCTCTTTTGAATTGGTTCCATATAGATGATAGAAATAACAATAACACAATGGCTGTGTTGTGTGGTCAGCGAGCGAATGGCCGTGTTGCATTACGAACTCCATGTACCAAAGCGACATCTATTTTATTACTGAAAGTTATAGTTGATGCTTGATCTATACTCATTTCTCTGCTACGTGAGATGTCAATGAAAGTACTACATTGAGAATATCTATTCGTGAGAAGAGGACTTGGACATCATAATTTCAGATGTAATATAGAATATCAGTAAATAGAAATTGAATGCTAATTATAGCAACACTAGCTTCAATATAAGCTTTTATCACAAAATGCAGAAGAAAACAACAGGTGATTTTAGATTCACTTAGATTTCAATTATCTTAGGATATACACATGTGTTTTTCTCATCGTGTGATACTGAGGAACAGCCCTGTTGAATTCAGAACTTTCGGTAACGCGGAGGAAACTTTTGATCAAAATTGAGATAGCATGTTTTAACTATCATATAATGATTCTGTTGACAATGTTTCCAGAGAACGCTTGGTGGAAATCTATCACTGAATGTAGTAGGAGGGTTTTCTTTTTAGTTGGAATGTTGCCTGTTTTGTGCTTTGATTGTGCGTGTTCGATACTTCGTAAATAATATTAAAATAATTGTTTTACATAATAATTGTCGATGTGCATGTGCAGTTTACTATTGTCAGTTTATGAATGAAATCACACAATTGTATCTTCTTGAACTTGAACAGGTATGGCGAGTGATCTTGAGGTATGTTAGTAATCAATAGTAGACTCTACTTCAGCATCTTTCAGCCGATAAAAAGCAGAGATGACTCGGAAGATTATCATAGACGAGGACAAACAAATTGTTCCGAGTGATTATTTGACCAGACGTCTTATTATTTCCGATAAATCTGTTTCTGTGGGATACTCTTTCTCGAATGACTACTTCGTCTTGAAGATGATTTTACACTGGGAGAAAATGTACGATTTAGAGTCAGAAGAGTATTAATATGCTGAATTTCACTATTGTCCGTTGTTATGTCCGATACAATATCTGACGTACTAGCCGGATGATAAATTGATTTGTTTAGATAAGATTTCCAATGATTTGATTGTGATTGATAGGAATAAATCGGGAAAAGATTCTCACATAAACTAATAAACCGTTGTTCATGCGTAGTATTTGAATTGATAATATGAAATTCACGACGGTGAATCGATGCCAAATCTTCGACCGTAAATTTTCGATTGATCTGTTTGCGATCGCATTGATGAGTTCCAGCTTTATTTTCTCCGGAATCGAAAAATAAGCGACTGGAAAAAGTAAAACAAGTTGTATTTCATGAAATACTTTCCTTACCCAGAAACTGTTCTGATCAATGATCGGTACAGACTAAAGTTTATTACTTTTGGTATTTCTCGAATGAATGACGGTCGCGAGAGAATTAGATCAATGATTAACTCGATGTGATAAGCAGACAGAAGATATTGAACTTTCCGCCAATCAATACGAGTACGAAGCAATTTTTCTGCTCCAAGAAACGCTAATGGAGCTCCGTTCATTTGTTCGTGATCAATCGATGGATACAGCTCATTGAGAAGATATAAATTTCCGACGATTAATGTATCGGGAGCTAAAAGTGGCTCATCACGAGAGTTTTTCGATGTTGATGAAGATGATGTGATCGAACGAGTTGTACGATATTTTCGAGACGAAATTTCACTCAATTGCACATCTTCTTGCAAATTATCCTTAGTGGATAGTTGTTCGAAATCAATCGATGGATTCATGTTTGGTATAGATTGTGATGTATTCGATATGGTCGAATGTTCATCATTCACCGGACTATGGAGATATTGTGGAGTTAAATAGGATTTCAACTAGACGTGAAAAGTATATTTACTAAACATTCATATTTGACATCACATTTTACTTGTAAAGATCGTTCTTGTGATTTGATATTTGATAACAATTTATTAATAGATCGATTGTTAGTAGTTAACAGACGAGATGATGTTTGAAGTGTTCGCTTTTTCATTATTTCAATCAAAGACAAGCTTGCTATTAATTAGCAAGTTCGTTTTTTCTCATAATAATCCATGTGTTGCTATGTTCGAAAACTAAATCTATAATTAACGCCATCTATTGATCGTAAAATTTGTCTACGTTAATGTGACGTGACATACATAACATATCATTCTGAATCATCTTCCTCTCCGTATTTAACCAACAAATATTCGTCCTTGTTGTATTAGTTTTTTTTTAGTGTCACTTATTCATATGCTCAAAATTGAATTGTCTTATTGAGCAACCAAATGCCGGGAGCAAGTACCTCAACAAATACAAGGAATTCCAATGATGATTTCAAATTTTCTTTGCATAGTAAATATTTTGCGCGCTGTCTGACAGTATTACCTTCCCAAACAAGTTCATTGGATAATAGCCGTGTTACAATCGCATTTTATAGCCTAAGTGGCTTAGATTTACTTCAATATCTACCTATAGCACTCCCATACAATGCATCAGAATTGATTTCATGGATCTATAGCTTACAATTGATTACAGATGCAGATGTTTGTGGTTTTCGTGGTTCATCGTGTATGATAACATCTCGAACAACACCGAACGCCTACGATCATGTACATATAACAATGACGATGGCAGCACTCATCTCATTGTTATTATTAGGTGATGATTTAGAAAAAGTTCAACGTAGTCGAATTGCATCGTCGTTGACTCATCTGCAATTACCAACTGGAGCATTTTTAGCGACGCAATTATCAACAGAAAATGATTTACGTTTTGTTTATTGTGCATGTGTCATTGCTTACGTCTTGAATGATTGGTCTGGAATTGATCGAGATCTATGCACAAATTTTATTCTACAATGTCGAACGTATGAATATGCTTTTGGACAAGTTCCGGATGCTGAAGCACACGGTGGTTCGACATTCTGTGCTATAGCTGCATTATCCTTGCTGAATCGTTTGAATGACTTAGATCATCAGGATGAACTTGTTCGATGGTGTTTACAAAGACAAACGGAAGGTTTTAATGGTCGACCGAATAAGCCCGATGATTCGTGTTATTCGTGGTGGATCGGTGCAACGTTAAAACTACTTGGAAAAGAATCTTTAATCAATATTGATCAAAATCAAACATTTTTACACGCTACCGAATCCAAAATCACCGGGGGATTTAGCAAATTGCCAGATTCATCAGCTGATCCATTACATTCTTATTTAAGTTTAGCAAGTTTATCATTAATGAACCATGACAAATTGAAATCAATTCATCCTGCTTTACTTTTTTCTGTTGATGTTGTTGAGAGACTTGAAAAAGATCTACATTTGAAATGGAATAGTTAAGAAAAGAGAAAATTTACTTTTTTATCTTTTATTTTTTAGATCATGATTTATCATGACCGGACGACACAGACAATCATGGTATCAGCTCTATCTTTTATCATGTACGAGGGAATTAATTGACGGCACTGATCAATTATTAGATTTTATTTATAATTATGTAGAAATTCCGATCCAAAGTGTCTGTTCTTATTGTATAAATTTCTCATTGGTATCTTCAAATCGACCATTGTGGTTCCATTGTTTAAGCAATTCGACTCAGATACTTGCTCAAAGTTATGTGATAACATTTGTGTTATATTTTCTCGGTTTCGTTCTCGCCAATATATATGCATTTGCAATACAAAAACATTATTTTCTCGATCCAATCCTTTCAATTGATCGACAATGTTTGAATATTCAATTTGTTCATGTCAACAATGACAAACCAATTTTCACTGATACGCCTTTAAAAGAAAATTTTCTTCGAGAGAATCTTATTATCGGTCAAGAATCTCCTCGAAATAGTGTCAACGATCATGAACAACTTCACGCATTATTCGATTCACTCCAAGATAGTTTCTTTGTCATCTGTCAGCGATCGCTTTACTTATACGCACGTTTTCAAAGTTATTCTCCGCTATTACACAGTGCTCATTCGTCTTATCGATTTTCTCTCTCAAAATATGCATCATCATTCGCAATTGATCAACCTCCATTTATAGATCTGTGTGTTCATGCAACAAATCATTCTCATTTAGAACAAATCCAATCTCGTCTTCGTTCTCGGGCAACGAAATCTTATTCATCTGTAAATATATTCTTGTTCGATTTTAATTATACACAAGTAAGTATCACACTCTATGAATTAAACAAAAACTCCACTCATCTCGAACGTGTCTCAATTCATACCGGCTGGTTACGTGATCTCTATTCGCAATTTGACTCATTCAAATATAATTATGCCCTATCGACCGTACTATTCGATGGTTTATCGTTAGGACAAAGTTTTGTAGATTATTTTCGGTACTCTCGCATTCCCGTTCCAGCTGATCCACTATTGGCTTTAACTGAAATGGTGCAAGAATCGGTTTTAACACTTCCATTATGTGCATTTTCATAAAGCAATCACTAATTTTAGCAATTTTATAGCATTCTATTCGCCTTTTAAGCATTTTATCAGCAGTCTGATGTATTTTGTTTTCTCAATATTTATTCTAATAATCTTCGAAATTCTATTTAATAATCAGTCACTCTTTTTATTTCTAGATTTTCTCATTTTATACTCGATTATTACATCTGTTCTCGGGATGTTGGATTTCTTTTATATTCTCACCAAAGGCGGCTTCGTCCTCTGGTGTGTACCATCATCAGCTACGGAATTTATCAAAACCATCAACGATGCCATCGATAAAGCCGTCTTACAAGTAAATTCACATGATTTTCTCAACCATCTTCCGAACCTAAATTATTTTTGTAGGGCCAAGGTGCCGGACAAAAGTGGGTCGCACAATTAACCTCACATCATATCCATTATAAACTGGATAATGAATTCGAACTGGTCTTCGTGGTATGTATTCATAAGTGAACATCCACTCTCAACATAAAACGCTCAGATATAAGTGATAAAACCACCAACCTGATATATTTTTTTCTAGCTTGGCTATCAAAAGACATTGAATATATCATACGCGGATAAATTCTTGGATGAAATACAAAAACGTTTTCGCGATCTATACAAAGATGATTTACGAACAGGTGAGAGTGGTTGTCTAGTTGATGATATCTGAGAATTTGTTTGATTTGTGTTTCTAGGAAATTTCACTCGAGCATTCGCGTTTCGTGAGGTTTATGAAAAATCACTCAAGGAAACGGAAGATGCCGAAGATGAAATGAAGAAAATACGGCGCTTACCACGTTCGTACGAAGAGTCTGATAAGAAGCTCAAAACAGTTAAAATAGTAACGAAGAAGGGCGATAAGACCGCAGAGGAAAATAAACCGAAGAAACCTAAAGTAATGAAATCATCAAGTAAACCATCGGTTGCGTCTAATCAAAAAGCACCAGTTCTCGAAGAAGAAGAAGAAGACGACGAAAATGTGGAAGAAGAACAGGATGTTGAAGACCAGGATGAAAATAATGGACAGGAAGATAAATCTGATGAAGTCGTCAGCGATGATGCAATGATGAATGAAGATGAAAGTAACCGTCTTCCATTGGAACCAGTCCAACCAACAGCGTTATCCAACATGCAGAAATTGCAAGCACTTGGAAAACTACCAGGACCTCGTTCGAAAGGAGCACCTGCAACGTATGAAAGAAATCTCAATTGAAGTCTGATTTTTCTATTTCTTTTATTGAACTTTTAGGAAAACTCCAGGCAAGCAAGACAAAGATAAACCTAAAGGAAAGAAAATGGCAGTCTCTTTGAAGCCCAATATAAGCGACACTAATGGACTGGATTATACAAAGAAAGTAGATATCAAGAAAGAAGTACGTCTCTCAACTAGAAAACAATTCATTGATTGAACTTTTCCTTTTTCAGGAACAAGAACGAACCACTGTTGCAGCACCACTTGCTGCTCGACCTGAGGGAGGCGATTTGAAAACAATGGCTGTGGAGTATGTTCTTGTTGAAATGATGTTTTCTGCTTTGAAATACAATTTATTGTAGATCGACGGGTCTTGCATCCGGTTTGGTCGATGGTTTCTGGTCAAAACTGAAGAAAGTCAATGTATTTGCTTCGAAAACATTGACAGCTGAAGATTTGCGTACCGGCATCGAAACAATGCGCGAACATCTCATTGCTAAGAATGTCGCAGCTGATGTTGCTGAGAAGATCTGCGAATCAGTAACTGATAAATTAGCTGGAAAAACATTGGGTTCATTTGAAAGTTTAACATCCAATATCCGCCAAGCTATGCGAGAAACTTTAATGATGATTTTGACCCCAAAACGACGTATTGATATTCTTCGAGACGTGGTCGATGCTCAAAAAGCACGTCGACCGTACGTAATCACATTTTGTGGTGTCAATGGTGTTGGTAAATCAACGAATTTAGCTAAGGTTACATATTGGCTTAGTGGCAACAATTTACGAGTTTTAATTGCTGGTTGCGATACATTCCGTGCTGGTGCGATTGAACAACTATTAACACATGTTCGTCATTTGAATAACATTTTCACCGAGAAAAACATGCCTATGATCGAATTATACCAACGTGGTTATGGAAAAGATGCAGCTGGTATTGCTGCTGAGGCAATCAACTATGGTAAGATTTTATAAATCACTTCTCTTTGACTGATAGCTAACACACCAAAATTCTATCGTTTAGCCAAAGACAAAAAATTCGATGTTGTTCTAATCGATACTGCTGGTCGTATGCAAAATGATGAACCATTAATGGCTGCATTAGCCAAAGTAAGAATTGACAAATGCTTCTTCTTCGATCATATTCAATTCTTTTCTTTTCTAGTTAATTCATGTTAACAATCCTGATTTGGTTCTATTCGTGGGTGAAGCTCTCGTTGGAAATGAAGCAGTTGATCAAGTCACAAAATTTAATCAAGCACTTATAGATCACGCTGGTTTACAAACCAATCCACGTGTTATCGATGGTATTGTCCTGACAAAATTCGATACAATCGATGATAAAGTTGGCGCAGCTATTTCAATGACTTATACAACTGACAAACCCATTGTTTTTGTCGGAATCGGACAGAAATATCAGGATCTTAAAACTATCAATGCTGATGTTGTTACTGAAGCTCTTTTAAAATAAGCAAATACTCACATATTATATATGTATGATTGAATATGGTGGTGGGAATGTTTTTTTCGTTTGTTTTCGTCTCTGAATGCCACAGTTACCTTCTTTATCAATATATTTTGTCATTATCTTCTTCTTCTCCGTATTTATGTCTTTCTTATTCAAGTTCACCGTTGTTTCGTTCGTGATTGTTGCAATAAACTTGACTTTTACAGTTCAAATCAATTCATTCAGCTTTATAGAATGCTTCATCTTCTCTGCATTGTTCTCGAACGAATCAGTTTCTCAACCAAAGATGAGTATGCTCTTATTTTCTTAACCTACTTTCAAGTAGATCAGCGTCATCTATACGCATCTGTTTTTCTATTTGCTAGCCAATGAAAAAAAGACCTAAGGATTTTCTTCTTTTTCCTTTTTTTTACATCATAACATCGATCTCCTTCTTTCCTTCCATTTTTAATCCCCTGACGAGTCTTTTTTTTACAGGAATTCTAGATTTCAAAGTGATGTCTAAGACGGTTATCTACGCTTGACTTCAGACATAAAATTTCTCGTAGAAAAATTACTGCTTGCTAAACATTATTTTCCTGAGTTATTTTAGATGGCTCGTGATCGAGATAATCGTCATGGACGTCGACGTTCCCATTCAACACACTCATCTTCGTCATCTCGTTCTCCAACACCACCGTCACCGAAACGTCGTCCAGTAACCAGTGATAATACCGATGATCTGCTACAAAAACATAGTCGGTTCTTTTCTCGTCTACCCGAAGGTCCATCGAGGGGAATAAAACGAGAGAAAACAGATTATTCCGATAACTATGTTCCTTCAAGCAGCTCACGATCACAATATAATCATAATGTTGACCGACATGAATTCGAAGCTCGCCGCGAAGAACGTATACGCATTGCTGAAGTTGGTGCGACAGGTATTTGGTCAAGATCTCCTGCGCGCATTGATGAAGATCTAGAAGAAAATCTCGAGAAAAAGAAGAAATCTTCTCATAAAAAGAAAAAGTCCAAAAAGAAACGCCGAAAACATTCGCGATCGTCATCCTCTTCATCATCAGCAGCTGATGGTGACTCCGAGCCGAAATGGGTCGAAACCAAAGCTAAAACATCGACGAAATCAACTGATCATACTTCACACAAACATGATAATGAAGAGGATGATTTCATTGGCCCACAATTACCTGAACATTTGCGCCAGTCGAATTCTTCCGGCAAAGGTTCTGGTGGTGATAAACCTTTAGATTTTGGTAAAGCGCTTCTTCCTGGTGAAGGTGAAGCCATGGCTAAATACGTTGCCGAAGGAAAACGTATTCCACGTCGTGGTGAAATCGGTTTACAATCGGAGGAAATTGAACAATTCGAAACACTTGGTTATGTTATGTCAGGTAGTCGTCATCGACGCATGGAAGCCGTACGTTTGCGAAAAGAAAATCAAGTTTATAGTGCTGATGAGAAACGCGCATTAGCAACATTTAACAGCGAAGTACGGTCGAATAAAGAACAAGCATTAATGACACAATTTAAAAGTATTGTCGATTCAAAATTGAAAAAATAAACTCGATTTTTCATCCTTGTTTTTTTTGTTTGTTGAATAAAATCTTCTTCTGTGTATCGATGCATGTATATAGGTAACAACTAATGAAAATATTTACTTTTGTCTCTTTTGCAGATTTAGTTGTAATCAAGAATCGAGAATGGCATTCGTTTGGCTTGTGATATTGTTAATGCAAGGTTTTGTCGCACTTGTGAGCGCCAAATGGGTACGTGATGTGGACTCAAAGATTGTCGACGAAATCAACCAAAATCCGTCCGTCGCTTATCTTATCAAATTTCATGCGCCATGGTTTGTTCAGATTTGTAACTAACGACACGACTAAAGTTAGTTTTACTCATTTAGGTGCGGTCATTGTCGAAAATTTGAACCAATCTACGAAGAAATTGCTAAAGAAATCTATGATTTATCTTCAACAACTGATGAATTCAAAAACATTCGTGTCGTTCGCATCGACGCTACTGTTTACACGGACGTCGCTAGCCGCTATGATGTTCGCGGCTATCCAACAATTAAGTTTATTCGTGGCGCACAAATATTCGCATACGAAAACGAACGATCGAAAGTAGCTGTTCTAGAATTTCTACGGCGTGTTAACGGTCCCGCCTTACGTTGGATTCCATCCATTGGTAAGTTCAATGAAATACGCCGTGAACATGAAGTGTTCTTTCTATTTGTAACAACGAACCATGATGAAAATGATGCTCTATTCAAACAATACAAAGACATTGTCAATCGATATCTTAGTCAAACTTACTTCTACGCAACGAACGTTTCAATTATTCAACAAACGTATTTTGCTAAATATACAACCGATGGAACATCTCAGATATTTGCAATAAAAAATGAAGGCTTCTATTTATATAAACCCGAAGAATATAACAATAGTATAGACGAATTTATCATTAAAGAGAAAGTTGCGACTTTTCCACAAGTGTCATCGGGAAACATCCATGATCTGATAGTCACAAAGAGACTTGTGATTATCTATGCATTTAAAGATCAACATGAAGTTGCTGCACAAAAACAGAAAAGGTGGGATTTCGAAGTCAGTTTTTGTTAAAGTTTTTTCTTCTTGCTTTTAGAAATGAATTGAAAGGTCAAATGCGTAGCTATGTGATGAAACATCTCCCCACACTTCGCGAAACATTCCAGTTTTCTTGGTCGAACGATCTCGATCTACTCAGCAATATCGGTAGGTTAACTCCTCACATCAATCATTCATCCAACATTCTATTCTTTCAGCGGTGTGGACACTTGACGAACCATTAATTTTTCTCTACGATAGTAGTGTACATAAATACGGTATTTATCCTCTGTCGTCGATGATGGATAGCAATATACAACTAGAACCCATTCTTGATTATCTTATTAAAAATCATTCTGAAATTGTTCAATATTCAGGTGATACCTGGTCAAAACGTTTGTTTCGACCATTTTGGGAAATCTATCGAACAGTTATATCTATGTTTATCGAAGCACCATTCATATCCTTACTGATTATTGGTATACCGACAGCTGTCATATCATTGATATGTTACTGTTTGTGTTGCTCATCGAGTAATGATAACTCAACGAATAAATCGAAAAATTCGAAGAAAAAACTTAAAGCTGACGGAAGTACCGAGCCAGACGAAGACGGACAAGCAAGTGCTGGCGAAGAGGATGATGAAGAATATGAAGAACGTATTGTTCAGATACAACCAAAATTTATCAAGAAGATTCACAAACCAGCTGACGCACGTGATATTCCCATATGGCCAGTTTTGCCAGATGAAAGTCAAAAGCCGATTCTAGAGAAAAAGCGAGACTGACAATGAATCTTTTCTGCGTTTGTTTGTTTGTTTGTTTGCTTGAATCTCTCTAGTCAATGTTTGTTCTGTAACGTATTTATATCTCACTCATTGTTTTATATCAATTGATTTAATATATCTATGTGAATGTGCTTTTTCTGTTGTTAAAGATGAAAAAGTGGAGGTTTCTGCTCGGATTTGGAAGCGAAACAGGTCAATCAAAATCGATTGCTCAAGGAATGGGTGATATCGCTTCCGATCAACATCAGATCTGCGCCGATATTTTTGAGTTAGATGAAATCGATAAACAAGTGAGACACGTGTTCGAATCATTCAGAATCTTCTTTATCACACATTCGACTTGATCTTAAAATCTTCTTTTTTGTCTATCACAGTTTAAACTAGAAGATGAACCGGTCATGGTTATCGTTACATCTTCGACAGGTGATGGTGAACCACCAAGTAATGCGAGTAAATTCTGGCGAAAGATCCGACGAGAAAAGAATCCGCAGTTTCTTTCGCATATGAAGTATACAGTGTTAGGTATGAGTGAACATCATGCGAATCAATCGTCTTAGAATAGTTTCCATGTTCAGGATTGGGTGATACGAATTATTCGAATTTTTGTAATTGTGGTCGTGTACTTGATCGTCGTTTTGAAGAACTTGGTGCAACTCGATTCTATCCATCGGCATGGGCCGATGATGCTGTTGGGTATCATAAGATTTGATCGCTCGATGTTCTTCGCATACTTGAATGAATTCTAGTATGGATTCGACTATCGAACCTTGGCTACAAGGACTATGGCCTGCTTTGAAGGAGACTTTGGGCAAGATCGGTAACTCAACTGAAGCATCTGTCAGTGATATTTCTGATTCGATCAATCAGTTGAATTTGAGTACGGAAAACAAACCAACGGTCAATCGACAATTATCATCATCGAATAAATTTAAATCCGATGAAGATACTATTACTTACTCATCAAGTTTAACTGAACTAACAACGTTAACATTACCACCGAAACCCACGCATTCCTTAGCAGTTAAATTGATCGAATCTGCCGAAGTAAATTGGAAATAATTGATTTCTTTCTGAACTTTCTTGTTTCCCATCGAAGAACGCATATCAACCATCAATCGAAGGACAATATCATGCGTCGACACTAACTCGCCGAGAATGTTTGACACATGATGCTGCTGTGAAAGCTGTCATGTCTATTAATTTACAGCTTTCTGTTCGTTGAATTTCTCATTTTTCGTACCTTTCACTGAGACTTGATTTTAGGAGGAAGAGTTTGCTTTTGAACCAGGCGATGCCGTCAAAGTTGTTTGTGCTAATAATGAAAATGAAGTTAATCTTCTTTTGAAACGGTAGATTCCAGCTTGTCTTTTGTCTCAATAATCTTTTGTTTTAGTTTACAATGGATGGATAAGGCGTCCTATCAACTAGACATTAGTATATCTCCGGACAATACCAAGAAATCAGCCAAAGTGCCTACATATATACCATTGATGTGTTCATTGCGATACGCATTGACAAACTGTCTCGATATTCGTTCTTCACCAAGAAAAGTGAGAAAATCAAGTCTAGTGATTCGGGTGTTTGAACAAGCTACTATTCCTAGAATTTGTTGAGACTATTTGTTGATTGTACGACAGATGAAGATGAAAAACGTCGTTTAGAAGAATTATGTAGCAAAGAAGGATCCGAAGTTTATATCAAATACATCCTTGAAGAGCATCTATCTGTTCTTGACATTCTCAACCACTTTCCAAGTTGTCAACCTGATGTTCCAATTCTGATTGGTATGAGTAATCAATTTTATATTCATCATTGATGAAGAAATACTCTATGTGTAGAATTTTTACCATCGTTAATGCCAAGATTCTATTCTATTTGCAGGTCTGCGTTTAAGTTTTCGTTTTATAATATTGAAGTTTCTCTTTGCTTTAGTTCACCATTGGACGATGCACGGAGTATTCAGTTCGTGTATAGCTTACTGAAATTTGAGCCGAAAAACGGTCGAACATACGAACGAAATGGTGTTTGTACGAACTGGTTAAACGAAATTGACCTTGGAACGAAAGTTCAGATTCAAACAAGAATCAGCCAGCATTTCCGATTACCGTTAACTCTTGATACACCGGTGATTATGATTGGACCAGGAACAGGTGTAGCACCGTTTATTGGCTTTCTTGAACATTTGTAAGTCGCTCTATACTCAGCTGACAGATAGTGATTCTATCTATCTAGGCATCTTTCATCGAAGTCAATAAATGGCTTTGATGTGAACAATTTGAACACCTGGCTATTTTATGGATGTCGTCATCGACAACATGATTTTCTTTTTGAGTATACCTAGTTGATCACGTATTCGTTGTCTGATGTTGAAAAAATTTTAGGGAGCAAATTCAAATGTATCAACAAATCAACGTACTCAAACATCTATTCGTCGCGGCTTCCAGAGAAGACAATTACCCTGTACGCGTAGCCATATTCAATTTCTAGACTAATGATTATTTTTCTCTTCGAATAGTATCGGTACGTGCAAGATCAACTTCGCGCGAATGGAAAAGACATAGCGGATTTAATATATCATCGAAACGCGGTTATCTACGTTTGTGGTGATATTAAAGTGATGGTTCGTGATGTGCGAGAAACAATCGCTCAAATTCTAAAAGAAACCTTCGGTTTGTATTGGTTGTTTTCGTTCTGCGACATATTTAATCGGATTTTGTTCTCGTTTAGACATACAGAATATTGAGGAGTACATGAAATCATTAGAAACATCTCGCCGTTATCTACTCGATATTTGGAGTTAATAATAATCTTCCGTTCTCATACTAAATCGGTCTTGTCTCTTGTTCAAATCGTCTTTGCTACGACCTTTTCTTGTATGCAAACACAATCTGCTGGTATTTGAAAGAAATTTAAAAAAAAACTACATCGAAGACTGAAAGTGCATCGACCATGAACTAGTGGATAGACAAATGAAGGGTATATATTTAAATGCGAGCAATGTGCAAAGAGATTATGACGAATAAATCTGTCTGGTTTAAAAAGACACTGTNTCGGTAAAAATGTTATTAAATTGTATTTAGATGTCGAAATTTCATTTCCCTAAACAAACATTCCGATTAAATTTGTTCATTTCATGCTCATTAGATTTACAGCATATTGTTTTGCAGCATTGCTACATGGATCATTGGCTTTGATTTTTCTGCTCTCCTCTAAAGTAGAATGAACAGCGAATGATAAGAAGAAAACGAAATTCTTTTCATACTAACCTTCAGCTTTCTCCTTTTTCTTAAACAACTTGACCATGTTTTAACAAGAAAACAAAACTTTTTTTTGCGTTCGTTTGTTATATAATCATTATGCTACAAACAATATGATCACAACGAGAAAAATGTTTATCTGAAAAGAAGAGAAATACGATTCTTCATTTCTGGCATAAAGAACGCCAATTGGAGGAAAGAAGAATGTACTCGATGATAGTGGTTGCGTGAGTCATCACGTTGCTCGTGTCTGAGTCGTCCGGAGAATAGACTGAAACAAATGGAATGGGCTTATACTGGTTGATTACTAACATATTTTTAAGAAATGATTGTTGGTGTGATAAAAATGTTGAAAAGGAAATCAGTGAAGTGTGAGAGATACGGTGAGTGATTTCGTAATAGATATGCTTTCGAAAATGGCTATACTATTATTTTGAAAACGAAGGAATGAGAAGAAAATTTCGATGGTGTCCGTTTGTTGTTACGTAGACCTTTAACAAGGAAATGATAAGGAAGGGTAACGTTATCATCAAACTAAACAGAAATGATTTTTTTATAACAACAGATACGATCATTAGATGAAAAATATCAACAAATCGATGATAGGTATGAGTAAATAATAAACAAATTACATTGATGGAACGAAGTGCTCGTATATATATGGTCGTACACATCTATCGAGTACACTCGTTATTAGACTAAATGAAGTCTGCGAATAAAAATGAATAGAATGTTACAGGATTGATACAAGAAGCCGAAGTATTGGTGAAGAATAAAACACAAACAGGAAGCTGCTCTTTTGAATTGCTTCCATATAGATGATAGAAATAACAATAACACAATGGCTGTGTTTTGTGGTCAGCGAGCGAATGGCCATGCTGCATTACGAATTCCATGTACCAAAGCGACATCTATTTCATTACTGAAAGTTATAGTTCATGCTTGATCTACACTCATTTCTCTGCCATGTGAGATATCGATGAAATTAGTAGGCTGAAAATAGGACTTGTACACTACAATTTCAGGTGTAGTATAGAATCTCGGTAAGTAGAAATTGAATGATAATTATAACAACACTAGCTTCAATATGAGCTTTTCTCACAAAATGCAGAAGAAAATAACAAATGATTTTAGATTCACTTAGATTTCAATTATTTTAGCATATATACATGTGTTTTTCCCATCGTGTGATACTGAGGAACAGTCCCGCTAAATTCAGAACTTCATTTTGAATCAATCGGAAGAGCTTTCGGTAACGGAGGAAACTTTTGATCAAAATTGAATTATCATGTTTTAGCTAACATATAATGATTCCGTTGACAATGTTTTTCGATAACAATTGGTGGAAATCTGTCACTGAATGTTGTAAGAGATTTTTCCTTTTAGTTGGAATGCTGTCTGTTTTGTACTTTGATTGGACGTGTTCGGTATCGATCGATATTTCGTAAATAATATTAAAATAATTGTTCTGCAATGATAATTGTCGATGTGCATGTGCAGTTTACTATTGGCGATTTATGAATGAAATCATACAACCGCATCTTCTTGAACTTGAACAGCTATGACGAGTGATATTGAGATATGTTCGTAACAAATAGTATACTCGACACCATAGCATCTTTAAGCCGATAAAAAGCAGAAATGACTCGGAAGATTATCACAGACGAAGACAAACAAATTATTCCTAGTGTTTATTTGACCAGACGTCTTATTATTTCTGATAAATCTGTTTTTGTGAGATACTCTTTCTCGAATGACTACTTCGTCTTGAAGATGATTTTACACTGGGAGAAAATGTTCGATTTAGAGTCAAAAGAGTATTAATATGCTGAATTTCACTATTGTCCATTGTTATGTCTGATACAATATCTGACATACTAGTCGGATGGTAAATTGATTTGTTTAGATAAGTTTTCCAATGGTTTGATTGTGATTGATAGGAATAAATCGGGAAAAGATTCTCACATAAACTAATAAACCGATGTTCATGCGTAGTATTTGAATTGATGATATGAAATTCACGACGATGAATCGATGCTAAATCTTCAACCGTAAATTTTCGGTTGATCTGTTTGCGATCACATTGATGAATTCCAGCTTTATTCTCTCCGGAATCGAAAAATAATCGACTGAAAAAAATCCAAACAAGTTGTATTTCATGAAATGTTTTCCTTACCCAGAAACTGTTCTGGTCAATGATCGGTAGAGACTGAAGTTCATTACTTTTGGTATTTCTCGAATGAATGACGGTCGCGAGAGGATTAGATCAATGATTAACTCAATGTGATAAACAGATAGAAGATATTGAACTTTCCGCCAATCAATACGAGTACGAAGCAATTTTTCTGCTCCAAGAAATGCTAATGGAGCTCCGTTCATTTGTTCGTGATTAATCGATGGATAGAGCTCATTGAGAAGATATAAATTTCCGACGATTAATGTATCGGGAGCTAAGAGTGGCTCATCACGAGAATTTTTCGATGTTGATGAGGATGACGTGATCGAACGAGTTGTACGATACTTTCGAGACGAAATTTCACTCAATTGCACATCTTCTTGCAAATTATCCTTAGTGGATAGTTGTTCAAAATCAATCGATGGATTTATGTTTGGTATAGACTGTGATGTATTCGATATGGTCGAATGTTCATCATTCACTGGACTATGGAGATATTGTGGTGTTAAATAGGATTTCAACTAGACGTAAAAAGTATATTTACTAAATATTCATATTTGACATCACATTTTACTTGTAGAGATCGTTCTTGTGATTTGATATTTGATAACAACTTATTAATAGATCGATTGTTAGTAGTTAACAGACGAGATGATGATGATTGAATGGTTCTCTTTTTCATTATTTCAATCAAAGACAAGCTTTCTATTAACTAACAGTTCGTTTTCTCATGATAAATTCATGTGTTGCTATGTTCGAGAACTAAATCTATAATTAACGCCATCTATTGCCTGTAAAATTTGTCGACGTTAATGTGACGTGACATACATAACATATCATTCTGAATCATCTTCCTCTCCGTATTTAACCAACAAATATTCGTCCTTGTTGTATTTTTTTAAAATATTGTCAGTTATTCAGCAGTCTCTTATTCGTATGTTCAAAATTGAATTATCTTATTGAGCAATTAAATGCCGGGAGCAAGTACCTCAACAATCACAAGGAATTCCAATGATGATTTCAAATTTTCTTTGCATAGTAAATATTTTACACGCTGTCTGACAGTATTACCTTCCCAAACAAGTTCATTGGATAATAGCCGTGTTACAATCGCATTTTATAGCCTAAGTGCCTTAGATTTACTTCAATACCTACCTATTGCACTTCCATACAATGCATCAGAGTTGATTTCATGGATTTATAGCTTACAATTGATTACGGATACAGATGTTTGTGGTTTTCGTGGTTCATCGTGTATGATAACATCTCGAACAACACCGAATGCCTACGATCGTGTACATATAACAATGACAATGGCAGCACTCATCTCATTGTTATTATTAGGTGATGATTTAGAAAAAGTTCAACGTAGTCGAATTGCATCGTCGTTGACTCATCTTCAATTACCAACTGGAGCATTTTTAGCGACGCAATTATCAACAGAAAATGATTTACGTTTTGTTTACTGTGCATGTGTCATTGCTTACATCTTGAACGATTGGTCTGGTATTGATCGAGATCTATGCACAAATTTTATTCTACAATGTCGAACGTATGAATATGCCTTTGGACAAGTTCCGGATGCTGAAGCACATGGTGGTTCGACATTTTGTGCTATAGCTGCATTATCCTTGCTGAATCGTTTGAATGATTTAGACCATCAGGATGAACTTGTTCGATGGTGTTTACAAAGACAAACTGAAGGTTTTAATGGTCGACCAAACAAGCCCGATGATTCGTGTTATTCGTGGTGGATCGGTGCAACGTTAAAACTACTTGGAAAAGAATCTTTGATTAATATTGATCAAAATCAAGCATTTTTACACGCTACTGAATCAAAAATCACTGGAGGATTTAGCAAATTGCCAGATTCATCAGCTGATCCATTACATTCTTATTTAAGTTTAGCAAGTTTATCATTAATGAACCATGACAAATTGAAATCAATTCATCCTGCTTTACTTTTTTCTGTTGATGTTGTTGAGAGACTTGAAAAAGATCTACATCTGAAATGGACTGGTTGAGAAAAGAAAAAATTCACTTTTTTTATCTTTTATTTTTTAGATCATGATTTATCATGACCGGACGATACAGACAATCATGGTATCGGCCGTATCTTTTATCATGTGCGAGAGAATTAATTGATGGCACTGATCAATTATTAGATTTTATTTATAATTATGTAGAAATTCCAATCCAAAGTGTCTGTTCTTATTGTATAAATTTCTCATTGACATCTTCCAATCGATCATTGTGGTTCCATTGTTTAAGCAATTCGACTCAGATTCTTGTTCAAAGTTATGTGATAACATTTGTGTTATATTTTCTCGGTTTCGTTCTTGCCAATATATATGCATTTGCAATACAAAAACATTATTTTCTCGATCCAATCCTTTCAATTGATCGACAATGTATGAATATTCAATTTGTTCATGTCAACAATAACAAATCAATTTTCCCTGATACGTCTTTAAAAGAAAATTTTCTTCGAGAGAATATCATCATCGGTCAGGAATCTTCTCGAAACAGTGCCAACGATCATGAGCAACTTCACGCATTATTCGATTCACTCCAAGATAGTTTCTTTGTTATCTGTCAGCGATCGCTTTATTTATACGCACGTTTTCAAAGTTATTCTCCGTTATTACATAGTACTCATTTATCTTATCGATTTTCTCTCTCAAAATATGCATCATCATTCGCAATTGATCAACCTCCATTTATAGATCTGTGTGTTCATGCAACAAATCATTCTCATTTAGAACAAATCCAATCTCGTCTTCGCTCTCGAGCAACGAAATCTTATTCATCTGTAAATATATTCTTGTTCGATTTTAATTATACACAAGTGAGTATCACACTCTATGAATTAAACAAAAACTCTACTCATCTCGAACGTGTCTCAATTCATACCGGCTGGTTACGTGATCTCTACTCGCAATTTGACTCATTCAAATACAATTATGCCCTATCGACTGTGTTATTCGATGGTTTATCGTTAGGACAAAGTTTTGTAGATTATTTTCGGTACTCTCACATTCCCGTTCCAGCTGATCCGCTATTGGCTTTAACTGAAATGGTGCAAGAATCAGTTTTAACACTTCCATTATGTGCATTTTCATAAAACAATCACTAAATTTTGGCAATTTTAAGCATTTTATCAGCAGTCTGATGTGTTTTGTTTTCTCCATATTTACTCTAATAATTTTCGCAATTCTATTTAATAATCAGTCATTCTTTTTATTTCTAGATTTTCTCATTTTATACTCAATTATTACATCTGTTCTCGGGATGTTGGATTTCTTTTATATTCTCACCAAAGGCGGCTTCGTCCTTTGGTGTGTACCATCATCAGCTACGGAATTTATCAAAACCATCAACGATGCCATCGATAAAGCCGTCTTACAAGTAAATTCACATGATTTTCTGAATCATATTCAGAAACTTAGTTATTTTTTTAGGGTCAAGGTGCCGGACAAAAGTGGGTAGCACAATTAACTTCACACCATATCCATTATAAACTGGATAATGAATTCGAACTGGTCTTCGTGGTACGTACTCATAAGTGTACAACCTCTCTCCGCATAGAACGCTCAAATATAAGTGATGAAACCACCAATCTGGTATTTTTTTTCTAGCTTGGCTATCAAAAGACATTGAATATATCATACGCGGATAAATTCTTGGATGAAATACAAAAACGTTTTCGCGATCTATACAAAGATGATTTACGAACAGGTGAGAATAGTTGTCTAGTTGATGATCCTTGAGAATTTGTTTGATTTGTGTTTCTAGGAAATTTCACTCGAGCATTTGCGTTTCGTGAGGTTTATGAAAAATCACTCAAGGAAACGGAAGATGCTGAAGATGAAATGAAGAAAATACGACGCTTACCACGTTCGTACGAAGAGTCTGATAAGAAGCTCAAAACAGTTAAAATAGTAACGAAGAAAGGCGATAAGGCCGCAGATGAAAATAAACCGAAAAAACCTAAAGTAATGAAATCATCAAGTAAACCATCGGTTGTATCTAATCAAAAAGCACCAGTTCTCGAAGAAGAGGAAGAAGAAGAAGAAGAAGAAGATGCGAAAGAAGAACAGAATGTCGAAGATCAGGATGAAAATAAAGGACAGGAAGATAAATCGGATGAAGTCGTTAGCGATGATGCAATGATGAATGAAGATGAACGAAACCGTCTTCCGTTAGAACCAGTCCAACCAACAGCGTTATCCAACGTACAGAAATTGCAAGCACTTGGAAAACTACCAGGACCTCGTTCGAAAGGAGCAGCTGCAACGTATGAAAGAAATCTCAATTAAAATCTGATTTTTCTGTTTCGTTTATTGAACTTTTAGGAAAACTCCAGGCAAGCAAGAAAAAGATAAACCTAAAGGAAAGAAAATGGCAGTATCTTTGAAACCAAATATAAGCGACACTAATGAACTGGATTATACAAAGAAAGGAGATATCAAGAAAGAAGTACGTCTCTCAACTAGAAAACAATTCATTGATAGAACTTTTCTTTTTTCAGGAACCAGAACGAACCACTGTTGCAGCACCACTTGCTGCTCGACCTGAGGGAGGTGATTTGAAAACAATGGCTGTGGAGTATGTTCTTGTTGAAATGATGTTTTCTGCTTTGAAATACAATTTATTGTAGGTCGACGGGTCTTGCATCCGGTTTGGTCGATGGTTTCTGGTCGAAACTGAAGAAAGTCAATGTTTTTGCTTCGAAAACATTGACGGCTGAAGATTTACGTACTGGTATCGAAACAATGCGCGAACATCTCATTGCTAAGAATGTCGCTGCTGATGTTGCTGAGAAGATTTGTGAATCAGTGACTGATAAATTGGCTGGAAAAACATTGGGTTCTTTTGAAAGTTTAACATCCAATATTCGTCAAGCTATGCGAGAAACCTTAATGATGATTTTAACTCCAAAACGACGTATTGATATTCTTCGAGACGTGGTCGATGCTCAAAAAGCACGTCGACCGTACGTAATCACATTTTGTGGTGTCAATGGTGTTGGTAAATCAACGAATTTAGCTAAGGTTACATATTGGCTTAGTGGCAACAATTTACGAGTTTTAATTGCTGGTTGCGATACATTCCGTGCTGGTGCGATTGAACAATTATTAACACATGTTCGTCATTTGAATAATATTTTTACCGAAAAAAATATGCCTATGATCGAATTATACCAACGTGGTTATGGAAAAGATGCAGCTGGTATTGCTGCTGAGGCAATTAACTATGGTAAGATTTTATAAATCATCTCTCTTTGACAGATAGCTAACACACGAAAATTTTATCGTTTAGCCAAAGACAAAAAATTCGACGTTGTTCTAATCGATACTGCTGGTCGTATGCAAAATGATGAACCATTAATGGCTGCATTAGCCAAAGTAAGAATCGACAAATGCTTCTTCGTCTTCTTCTTCTTCAATCACATTTCATTCTTTTCTCTTCTAGTTAATTCATGTTAACAATCCTGATTTGGTTCTATTCGTGGGTGAAGCTCTCGTTGGAAATGAAGCTGTTGATCAAGTCACAAAATTTAATCAAGCACTTATAGATCACGCTGGTTTACAAACCAATCCACGTGTTATCGATGGTATTGTTTTGACAAAATTCGATACAATTGATGATAAAGTTGGCGCAGCTATTTCAATGACTTATACTACTGACAAACCCATTGTTTTTGTCGGAATTGGACAGAAATATCAGGATCTTAAAACTATCAATGCTGATGTTGTTACCGAAGCTCTTTTAAAATAAGCAAATACTCACATATTATATATGTATGATTGAATATGGTGGTGGGAATGTTTTTTTTTTCATTTGTTTTCGTCTCTGAGTGCCACAGTTACCTTCTTTATCAATATATTTTGTCATTATCTTCTTCTTCTTCTCCGTATTTATGTCTTTCTTATTCAAGTTCACCGTTGTTTCGTTCGTATTTGTTGCAATAAACTTGACTTTTACAGTTCAAATCAATCCATTCAGCTTTATAGAATGCTTTCTCTTCTCTGCATCATTGCATTGTCCTCGAATGAAGTTAGATTACCGTCTAGAATAAATCTGTGTCTCAACCAAAGATGAGTATTTTCTTATTTTCTTAACCTATTTTCAAGTAGATCAGCGTCATCTATACGCATCTGTTTTTCTATTTGCTAGCCAATGAAAAAAAGATCTAAGGATTTTCTTCTTTTTTCCTTTTTTTTTACATCATTACATCGATCTCCTTCTTTCCTTCCATTTTTAATCCTCTGACGAGTCATTTTTCTACAGGAATTCTAGATTTCAAAGTGTTGTCTAAGACGGTTACCTACGCTTGACTTCAGACATGAAATTTCTTGTAGAAAAATTACCTTTTGTTAAACATAATTTTCCTTCAGTATTTTAGATGACTCGTGATCGAGATAATCATCATGGACGTCGACGTTCCCATTCAACACATTCATCTTCGTCGTCTCGTTCTCCAACACCACCGTCACCGAAACGTCGTCCAGTAACCAGTGATAATACCGATGATCTGCTGCAGAAACATAGTCGGTTCTTCTCTCGTCTACCCGAAGGCCCATCGAGGGGAATAAAACGAGAGAAAACAGATTATTCCGATAACTATGTTCCTTCAAGCAGTTCACGGTCACAATACAATCATAATGTTGATCGACATGAATTCGAAGCTCGTCGCGAAGAACGTATACGTATTGCTGAAGTTGGTGCGACAGGTATTTGGTCAAGATCTCCTGCGCGCATTGATGAAGATCTGGAAGAAAATCTCGAGAAAAAGAAGAAATCTTCTCATAAAAAGAAAAAGTCCAAAAAGAAACGCCGAAAACATTCGCGATCGTCATCCTCTTCATCATCAGCAGCTGATGGTGACTCCGAGCCGAAATGGGTCGAAACCAAAGCTAAAACATCGTCGAAATCAACTGATCATACTTCACACAAACATGATAATGAAGAGGACGACTTCATTGGCCCACAATTACCCGAACATTTGCGCCAGTCAAATTCTTCCGGCAAAGGTTCTGGTGGTGATAAACCTTTAGACTTCGGTAAAGCGCTTCTTCCTGGTGAAGGTGAAGCCATGGCTAAATACGTTGCCGAAGGAAAACGTATTCCACGTCGTGGTGAAATCGGTTTACAATCGGATGAAATTGAACAATTCGAAACACTTGGTTATGTTATGTCGGGTAGTCGTCATCGACGTATGGAAGCTGTACGTTTACGAAAAGAAAATCAAGTGTATAGTGCTGATGAAAAACGTGCATTAGCAACATTCAACAGCGAAGTACGATCGAATAAAGAGCAAGCATTAATGACACAATTTAAAAGTATTGTCGATTCAAAATTGAAAAAATAAACTCGATTTTTCATCTTTGTTTTTTTGTTTGTTGAATAAAATCTTCTTCTGTGTATCGATGTATATAGGTAACAACTAATGAAAATCTTTACTTTTGTCTCTTTTGCAGATTTAGTTGTAATTAAGAATCGAGAATGGCATTCGTTTGGCTTGTGATATTGTTAATGCAAGGTTTTGTCGCACTTGTGAGCGCCAAATGGGTACGTGATGTGGACTCAAAGATTGTCGATGAAATCAACCAAAATCCGTCCGTCGCTTATCTTATCAAATTTCATGCGCCATGGTTCGTTCAGATTTGCAACTAATGACACGACTAAAGTTAGTTTTACTCATTTAGGTGCGGTCATTGTCGAAAATTTGAACCAATCTACGAAGAAATTGCTAAGGAAATCTATGATTTATCGTCAACCACCGATGAATTCAAAAACATTCGTGTCGTTCGCATCGACGCAACTGTTTATACGGATGTTGCCAGTCGCTATGATGTTCGCGGTTATCCAACAATTAAGTTTATTCGTGGCGCACAAATATTCGCATACGAAAACGAACGATCGAAAGCAGCTGTTCTAGAATTTCTACGGCGTGTTAACGGTCCCGCCTTACGTTGGATTCCATCCATTGGTAAATTCAATGAAATACGCCGTGAACATGAAGTGTTCTTTCTATTTGTAACAACGAATCATGATGAAAATGATGTTCTATTCAAACAATATAAAGACATTGTCAATCGATATCTTAGTCAAACTTACTTCTACGCAACGAACGTTTCAATTATTCAACAAACGTATTTTGCTAAATATAAAACCGATGAAACATCTCATATCTTTGCAATAAAAAATGAAGGCTTCTATTTATATAAACCCGAAGATTATAACAATAGTATAGACGAATTTATCATCAAAGAAAAAGTTGCGACTTTTCCACAAGTATCATCAGGAAATATCCATGATCTGATAGTCACAAAAAGACTTGTGATCATATATGCATTCAAAGATCAACATGAAGTTGCTGCACAAAGACAGAAAAGGTTGGATATCAAAATCAGTTTTTGTCAAACATTTCTTCTCCTTGCTTTTAGAAATGAATTGAAAGGTCAAATGCGTAGTTATGTGATGAAACATCTCTCCACACTTCGCGAAACATTCCAGTTTTCCTGGTCGAACGATCTCGATCTACTCAGCAATATCGGTAGGTTAACTCCTCACACCAATCATTCATCTAACATTCTATTCTTTCAGCGGTGTGGACACTTGACGAACCATTAATTTTCCTCTACGATAGTAGTGTACATAAATATGGTATCTATCCTTTATCGTCGATGATGGATAGCAATATACAACTAGAACCCATTCTTGATTATCTTATTAAAAATCATTCTGAAATTGTGCAATATTCAGGTGATACATGGTCAAAACGTTTGTTTCGACCATTTTGGGAAATCTATCGAACAGTTATATCCATGTTTATCGAAGCACCATTCATATCCTTACTGATTATTGGTATACCGACAGCTGTCATATCGTTGATATGTTATTGTTTGTGTTGCTCATCGAGTAATGATAACTCAACGAATAAATCGAAAAATTCGAAGAAAAAACTTAAAGCTGACGGAAGTACTGAGCCAGATGAAGATGGACAAGCAAGTGCTGGCGAAGAGGATGATGAAGAATATGAAGAACGTATTGTTCAGATACAACCAAAATTTATCAAGAAGATTCATAAACCAGCTGACGCACGTGATATTCCCATATGGCCAGTTTTGCCAGATGAAAGTCAAAAGCCGATCCTGGAGAAAAAGCGAGATTGACAATGAATCTTTTCTTCGTTTGTTTGCTTGTTTGCTTGAACCTCTCTAGTCAATGTTTGTTCTGTAACGTATTTATATCTCACTCATTGTTTTATATCAATTGATTTAATATATCTATGTGAATGTGCTTTTTTGTTGTTAAAGATGAAAAAGTGGAGATTTCTGCTCGGATTTGGAAGCGAGACAGGTCAATCAAAATCGATTGCTCAAGGAATGGGTGATATCGCTTCCGATCAACATCAAATCTGCGCCGATATTTTTGAGTTAGATGAAATCGATAAACAAGTGAGACACGTGTTCGAATCATTCAGAATCTTCTTCATCACACATTCGACTTGATCTTCAATTTTCATTTTTGTCTGTCACAGTTCAAACTAGAAGATGAACCGGTCATGGTTATCGTCACATCTTCGACAGGTGATGGTGAACCACCAAGTAATGCGAGTAAATTCTGGCGAAAAATCCGACGAGAAAAGAATCCACAGTTTCTCTCGCATATGAAGTATACAGTATTAGGTATAAATGAACATCATGCGAATACATCGTCTTAGAATAGCTTCCGTGCCTAGGATTGGGTGATACGAATTATTCGAATTTTTGTAATTGTGGTCGTGTACTTGATCGTCGTTTCGAAGAACTTGGTGCAACCCGATTCTATCCATCGGCATGGGCCGATGATGCTGTTGGGTATCATAAAATTTGATCACTCGATGTTCTTCGCATACTTGAATGAATTCTAGTATGGATTCGACTATCGAACCTTGGCTACAAGGACTATGGCCTGCTTTGAAGGAGACTTTGAGCAAGATCGGTAACTCAACTGATGCATCGGTCAATAATCTTTCTGATTCGATCAATCAATTGAATTTGAGTACGGAAAACAAACCAACAGTCGATCGACAATTATCATCATCGAATAAATTTAAATCTGATAAAGATACTATTACTTACTCATCGGGTTTAGCTGAATTAACAACATTAACATTACCACCGAAACCCACGCATACCTTAGCAGTTAAATTGATCGAATCTGCTGAAGTAATTTGGAAATAATTGATTTCTTTCTGAACTTTCTTGTTTCTCATCGAAGAGCGCACATCAAGCATCAATCGAAGGACAATATCATGCGTCGACACTAACTCGCCGAGAATGTTTGACACATGATGCTGCTGTGAAACCTGTCATGTCTATTGATTTACAGCTTTCTGTTTGTTGATTTTCTCATTTTTCGTACCGTTCACTGTGACTTGATTTTAGGAAGAAGAATTTGTCTTTGAACCAGGTGATGCCGTCAAAGTTGTTTGTGCTAATAATGAAAATGAAGTTGATCTTCTTTTAAAACGGTAGATTCCAGCTTGTCTTTTGCTTCAATAATCTTCTTTTTTAGTTTGCAATGGATTGATAAAGCACCCTATCAACTAGATATTAGTATATCTCCGGACAATACCAAGAAATCAGCCAAAGTACCTACATATATACCATCGATGTGTTCATTGCGATACGCATTGACAAACTGTCTTGATATTCGTTCTTCACCAAGAAAAGTGAGAAAATCAAGGCTAGTGATTCGAGTGTTTGAACAAGCTACTATTCCTAGAATTTGCTGAGATTATTTGTTGACTGTACGACAGATGAAGATGAAAAACGTCGTTTAGAAGAACTATGTAGTAAAGAAGGATCCGAAATTTATATCAAATACATCCTTGAAGAGCATCTATCTGTTCTTGACATTCTCAACCACTTTCCAAGTTGTCAACCTGATGTTCCAATTCTGATTGGTATGAGTAATCAACTTTATATTTATCATTGATGAAGAAATACTCTCTGTGTAGAATTTTTACCATCATTAATGCCGAGATTCTATTCTATTTGCAGGTCTGCGTTTAAGTTTTCGTTTTATAATATTTTAGTTTTGCTTTGTTTTAGTTCACCATTGGACGATGCACGAAGTATTCAGTTCGTTTATAGTTTACTGAAATTTGAGCCGAAAAACGGTCGAACATACGAACGAAATGGTGTTTGTACGAACTGGTTAAACGAAATTGACCTTGGAACGAAAGTTCTGATTCAAACAAGAATCAGCCAACATTTCCGATTACCGTTAACTCTTGATACACCGGTGATTATGATTGGACCAGGAACAGGTGTAGCACCATTTATTGGCTTTCTTGAACATTTGTAATTCGTTCTATACTCAATTGACAGACACTGATTGTATCTATCTAGGCATCTTTCATCGAAGTCAATAAATGGCTTTGATGTGAACAATTTGAATACCTGGCTATTTTATGGATGTCGCCATCGGCGACGTGATTTTCTTTTTGAGTATATCAACTTCATCATGTATTCTTTGTCGGATGTTGAAAAAATTTTAGGGAGCAAATTCAAATGTATCAACAAATCAATGTACTCAAACATATATTCGTCGCGGCTTCTAGAGAAGACAATTACCCTGTACGCGTAGCCATATTCAATTTCTAGGCTAATGATTATTTTTCTCTTGGAATAGTATCGGTACGTGCAAGATCAACTTCGTGCGAATGGAAAAGACATAGCGGATTTAATATATCATCGAAACGCTGTTATCTACGTTTGTGGTGATATTAAAGTGATGGTTCGTGATGTGCGTGAAACGATCGCTCAAATTCTAAAAGAAACTTTCGGTTTGTATTGGTTGTTTTCGTTCTGCGACATATTCAATCGGATTTTGTTCTCGTTTAGACATACAGAATATTGAGGAGTATATGAAATCATTAGAAACATCTCGCCGTTATCTACTCGATATTTGGAGTTAATAATAATATTCCGTTCTCATGCTAAATCAGTCTTGTCTCTTGTTCAAATCGTCTTTGCTACGACCTTTTCTTGTATGCAATCACAATCTACTGGTATTTGAAAGAAATTTAAAAAGAAACTACATCAAAGACTGAAAGTGCATCGACCATGAACTAGTGGATAGACAAATGAAGGGTATATATTTAAATGCGAGCAATGTGCAAAGAGATTATGACGAATAAATCTGTCTGGTTTAAAAAGACACTGTCAAGGTGAAGAAAACAATTAAAAACAAAACATTTTAGCAGCTTACAGCTGTCATACTAACCTTGCGATTCATGTCGATTGACATTGATAGGAGCATTGATATATGACTCATAGACTTGTTTATAAAACATCGAAATGCACATGAACAATGAGGAAGAAGGAATACCGATGATGGTTTAATGTTGAAGGGTGTTTAAAACAATGCGACATTTGTCGTGAATGCGAAAGAAAGAGAGGGAGAGAGAGAGGCAGAGCGCGTGCACTGAAATGTCGATCTACCTACATTCTCGCGGGGGATGAATTTAAATAGTGAACACAATCCTCACAAAAATCCTATCGTCTCATTATTAGTCGAATTTACCGACTGATAACAGTCTCAACATAGTTGGTTACGATATCATTGAAGAACTTCTTCCAATTGAAAAGTATCTTTGATAGAACGAAGATGAAAGTCGAATATACTCGACTTTTAATTGTTCTGGCTTGTCTTATAATACGAATTACCGATGGTGATCAAGCAGTGAAAAGTAAGTGAAGATAATTTGACGGCTGAAATCGATGAAAGTAAATCATTGTTTGTTAATGTATAACAGGAGATGAATGTCGTGATTTTGCTGGCGATCTTTCAAATTGTCAACGATTTATACGTTGTTTTCATAATCTAAGAGTTTTATTTACCTGCGCATCTGGTGCTGCGTACGTTCCAGAACTACAAACATGTGTATCAAAAGAATTAGTTGATGATTGTAATGATTCAAAGAATCGAATTGGTAAGTTAAATATTGCGGATTGATTCCTTTATGCGAAATCAATATATTTCTTGTTCTACAGAAGTAACAGTTAGTTCAAACACAAATCCAAGCGAACAGGATGATTATCCAACAATCGAGGCTGACTTAAATGCATTAGAGGTGCCAATGCAAAAATCTCTTTCAGGCGATGTTAGTGTTTCTGGTACACCGAGACAGTTCGGTTGCTCATCGTATTGTTACAATCAAGGCACCTGTGTGCTTGTTGGCCAAAGAATAACTTGCCGTTGTCCAGCTGGCTTCGTTGGTGTTCGGTGTCAAGTTGCACGTATGATATTGAAAGATCAGAAGAGATTTATTTTCAATATCATTTTATTAAATAGAATATGCGCTTAATACGCGAGCTGTTGCGACTTGCAACGCTACTAGTAATCCTTGTCTTAATGGAGGAAGTTGTATCACGGCAGTAGGGACGATTGATACATTCGCCGGATGTACTTGTGGACCTGGTTGGACTGGCCCTTTATGCGATTATCCAGACGGTATGAAACATTAAATACTTAAGAATAGCTCTTTTTTCGACCAAAGTTTTTTCGATAAAGCAGGTGGAGCAAATAATGCAACTACTAACGGCACTACGGGTGGTATCACACTTTGTTCAACAAATAATTGCCAAAATGGCGGTGTATGCGTCAATGTTACTGGTGGTGGTATTCGATGCATTTGTCCACCGGGTTTCACAGGCTTTTTTTGTGAATTACCAAGTAACATATCAAGATAAATGTTATTTTATCATCATTTTATCTCTTCTATTAAGCTGGTCTCACAAATATCGACTGCGTAACGAATCCTTGTCAAAATACAGGTATTTTGAATACATTTAAGAAAACTTTCGTCGCTTATTATCCTCAATTTATTTAGCACTTGTAGTACGCAATTTATGTCAACCAAATCCTTGGTAAGAATACTTTGAAACGCACATGTATATGTATACAAAGAGTTTCCATCTAGTCGAAATGGCGGTAGCTGTTATCTGAATGAGACAAGCTTTTCTTGTGCATGTCCAACGGGTTTTGGTGGCACATGTTGTGAATTAGCTCTGTCAGCAATAAATCCTTGTTACGTTAATCCTTGTATGAACGGTGGAACATGCCAAATAGTTAACATTAATACACGCCGATGCATTTGTCCAAGCGGTTATCTTGGTGCTCAATGTGAACAACGTTTATGTGATCCAAATCCATGTCTGTATGGTGGTGTGTGCCTACCCTATCTCAATAGCTTTCAATGTCAATGCCCGCCACAATATACTGGTCGTTGTTGCGAACTTCTCTTGATAACTACTGCAGCACCTAATCCATGCAGTTCAAATCCATGCCAAAATGGAGGCACGTGCTCTGCAACAAGTGCTACAGGTAAATTTCGACATAGAATTCATACTCGTGTGGTGATATTTTACTCTCGACTTTGATTTAGCATTTGTGTGTACATGTACGGCGAGTTACTACGGTCGTTGTTGTGAAGTTCGCAATTTTTGTCAACCAAATCCATGGTAATACAAACATTTCGCAGTATTTTGAATTATTTTTCCTTGAATTATCTAGTTATAATGGTGGTACTTGTGTTGCTACAACCAACGCTTATATATGTCAATGCACATATCCATATTCGGGTAGTAATTGTGAAATGGCAATAGCTACACGAGCTCCTCAACCGAGTTGCGCTTGCATTCTTTGTCCATGTCCAACACCTGCACCAATGTCTACTAATCCATGTTTGTATTAAAACATATTTGCTAGAATCAATTAATATTTTCTTGGTAAATCTTCTGTTTAGGTCTGCCGAACCCATGTCAAAATAACGGAGGCTGTGCTGTAGTTCAAAATAATCCTCAATGCTATTGTCAACCTGCATTTACCGGCTACTATTGTCAATATAGTGAGTAGTTTAGTTCTGTTGAGTCTTTTTTTTCTCATACTCATTATGAAATTTAGCACGAAAACGATCTCTGAGCAATGCTCCTTGTGCAAATGTAACATGTTTGAATGGTGGCGAATGTCATATGGATGAAAAGGGACCTCAATGCACCTGTCCTAAACCATATTTTGGTGAACGTTGTGAATTAAGTAAATACGCAATCTTGAATTGAAATCTATTCACCGAAAAAATCATTTAGTTAATCGACCTCGCACATGCAATCCAAGTCCATGTGGCCGAAATGGTCAATGTATAGCAACAAAAGATGGTTACAAATGCGTTTGTAAAAATGGTGTCACTGGTGTACTTTGTGAACAAACAATAATGCCCAGTAATCATCAATGGTGTTCATTAAACTGTCCACCAGGTACAACTTGTGTTTATGAAGGTAGCATACCGAAATGTCGCGTATTGTAAGTAGACATCACATTTGTATTATCAAAGAAAATCTTATTGTGTAACTTTTTTCAATTAGAAACATTCAAAAACATTGATCTCATTCAACGTTGCGCAAGTTTCCTATGTTGAGTTTTTTTTCTTTCTCATTTATCGATCCTAGAATGCTAAATCTTTCTTTATACAATACTCGAGACATATTTATATGTAGTAAGTAGAGTTTATTTAGATATACTTCTTTGCTCATTTATTACTATTCTCTATATCTTTTTTCGTTTTGTTTTTGGCTATATATATATATATTTCTATCTATATGAATTTTTTTTATGTCATTCTTTTACCGTATGAAGTATTTTTTAAATATACTTGTACAGATATTTAATGGAAGGGATAAATGAATAAAAGAAAATGAACAAGAATGCATAAGATTATGTATTGTTCATCTTTGCAGGCACAATTTTTGAAAGTCGTATTAAATGTTTGTTGAGTTGTAATCGAATGAACAGCAGTTGATGTTGGTCGCGGACGACGTGTATAGATGACGGACGAGAACCGATCAGCATGCGATGTTACATGAAGCGATTGCCTAGTAAAACTGCTAATATGATTGGTATTTGTTGACCAAGACGTGGCAGTTGTGGAAAGAATCGTTTTACTGCTGATACTCGCCGGTGATGCTGAAGTAAATGGGAAAAGTGTTGATAGAATAATACTGGAATAGACGGATGTTATCCCAATTGGATTGCTATTTGATTGAGAGGATAGGAATGTTGGTGAGTATGTTTGATTGATGGTGTTTATAGAGGATATTAAAGTTGAATTAGAGATGGGCTGGTTAGAAGTAGTGCCAATCGTCGATTGAGCATTTACACTGAATTCACTGATCAGTTGGAACGCTAGAAAAATAAGCTTTTCTTCGTTCGCAAGTTAAATCAAAGTATTTACCATGAAATAGAATGAAATTCGTTTGCAATAGGCAAAACATATTTCAAATGAATGTCACAGTGAAAATATTTGCAGAACTGAGATGTCTGAATATTTATATGCATAGGATTTTGTATAAAAGACTTCCTTTTCTCCTCATTAGTCATCATTGCGCAGAAATCGATCAAAAAGTAATTGATAGATTTATTTTCAATTGTTTATCGATTAATATCTTGTTAAAAGTACGTCTGATGTCATCGATATGATCTCGAACAGTTTCATTCTCTCAGATCACGATTCATACATTCATAATGGTGACCCGAAGACATTCTCGAAGGCGTAAAGTACAATTGTATGCAAAACCTATTAAAAAAAATCCATTCGAGAGGATGGTTATTTGATTATCTAGGATACTCCAATAACATTTCATTTGAAAGATCAATTGAATCGAGTCTATGAATAATTCGATTAAATATCTTTCTTTGTCTCTCCACAGAAATCTCGATTCTTCTTGTTAAGTAATGGTTGATCAAAATTAGAATGAAACACGTGTCTTACATATAGTGACATGTCACGAATACGGTCAATTAGTACGATTAAAAAAGCAGCTTGTCTTCTATAATTATTCCATTGTATAGTCTATGCTTCATTTTCTGTGACATTCTATCATAAATAGATAAATATACTCTTGACCTTTTTATGTATAGTTTAATCATGTTTATTTGTACAATTCTTTCAAAGAAGCATGTAGTTATCGGTCAGTTTAATTAAACTTGATAATGAACTTCTTTTGCGCTTTTCATTTGCGAATCTTCGTGAACATCTAACCATCATTGATCATTGAAACTGTACGATTCGCTGGCAATTCAACGTACGAAGGTAGTAGTACAGAATTCTTTTCTGTTGAAGACTTCTGAAAACTGAATAACATCGGTAATTATAAACACGTTCGAGTGTATGAATAATTCATTCGTCAGCAGTGTCAGATTTTCAAAAATAGTCTGTTATCTATTCATTAACATTCACTGAAGCCGAATCGCGTTGCGTATGGTGATTCCCGTTGAAGTACTTCGATATGAAAATAGAATCCACTAGTCAAGTGTCTGTTCTTTATTTTATTCGAAATCAAGTAGAAGAGAAAGAATTCTCTCAGAAGTGTTTTCCTTTCTGCATGACGCAAAGTAATCCAAAAGAAGAGAAGAAATACAGGCCGTCTTGCCATTGCCTGCTGTGTACACTTGAAGAGCTGGTTCTGTTCTTTTTTCCGATGCATTCGAATGTCGATAAACCAACCGGAAATCTAGTGACGTTCACGCACATAGAGACAAATCAACCGACTGTAATTTTTATTCAAGCATTTCACAAGCAAAGGCTAATGGAACGGAATGACTAATCTCCTACACTTATAATCATATGTCCTTCGTATATGTTTTTCTGCTCATTCTCCATCGTTGCCATTCGCACGCGTTAGACACACACATGATTAAAAAGATCATTAATAATTATAAGATCTCTCAATTTTCAAAACACGTAAAGCTGAGAATCGATCATTGTATATTTGGTTTTGTTTTACAGGCTCTCGTCTTCTTGGCTCTGTCGTTGACAGACGCATTCGACTCGTGACAATGAAGTCTAATACAAAAAAAAAAGAACAATGAATGAATATTAGCAAGGATGATAGCAAAGCTGGCCTATTCTACATGGCTAACATCAACAAGGGACTTTCCTAAAAAAGAAAAATCGAAAGAAAAAAAAGAGAAAAGGAGGAGAAATAAGACGGCGACCGACAAAGACGACTACAACATTCATCGGATAAGAAGCAAAAGGGAATAAAAACAGAACGGAATAGAAAAACCGACGTAATTGGTACCGCCGTTACGCGACTAAAGGAAAAGACATCCACACATATGCATCAATAGAATTCTAGTGCTATGAAAGATGCGTATGTTGAATGATGATGAAGGGAGACTATTTTATCTACTTGTATTGCTTTGCCCTCGCCTCTCTATATCGCAGAAGATGCATCTATGTCAGTTGTAACCGGTCGGTCGACAGTATTTTTTGTTTATCAGAACGTTCGACATTGGTACTTTTTTTTTTCTTCTGCCTGGTGAACTCGACAGTTTACAAAAGAGCAATATTATTGTTGATAGGAGACAAAAAAGAAAACAGAACGAAGCGCTAAGACCATAATTGAATATTTTGAGTAAGCTGTCAGAGACTTATTTGTATATTATGGTAGGAATCATAGCAGAAACAATCTTTGCTTTTTTTTCCTGCTTATCGTCTTTCGCGCGAATCTTTAAATCAAACCTTACAATACGTTAATTAAATCAATCTCAAATAGGAAATCTATGTGAGCACACTCGAGGGGATCTATTCATCAGGTTTAATGCTAATCTTGAGGAAGTTGTCATTTGTGTAGATGAAAATAAGATCTATTTGATATGTACGGCATATTGACACGCGCAGTAGAGAGGCGATGTGCTTTTCCCGCTTTATTTCAGAACGGTAAGTATACGTGATTAACAAATGTTTCAATAAAACTTTGTCTGAAAGACATGTTTCAAATAATGCCATCTACTATGCGACAAAAAAAGATTTTCTGCAAGATTTGCAAATATCTTGTTGAATATGTAAAAACTATACTGAAAAATGGGAAAGCCCGTTAGATTATTTATGAATGCAGCGGGTGGAAATAATTAATGTCCCTTTAGAGAAAAATTTCCTAATACGTTTTGTTTCATTTTTTGCTTCAAGGATGCAAATCTATTCTATCTATCTTTTCTTTTAGTTCTTCTATAAATACAAGACGACACTCGTAATCAAACCTAATGAACATTGTAATCGAATATTATTGGAAATATCGTCGTAGAAAAGAAAACCATATTTTTGCTTTGAATTGCATAAGTTCGGATTAAATATTTCATCCGCCATGCAATTTCGTCGTCGATGTCGACGTTATTGTTTCAGTCGAACGTCTTTTCACTTACTGATATTATTAATGACGTGTTCAACAGCAATACTTTCGTATAATTTTTATTCGAACATTTACTCGAGTCGAAGAAATGAGCAATATCAACGATTTCTTGTTGATAAAAGAGATCTTGATGATGCACACATCAAATTAAGTGAAGACATTCGAGTGTTACATGAAGATTATTTCAATACAACACATCTGGCGTGTCGGTATCCGAAATTGTTAATTGATAATCCGGAAATTTGGAAACATCTCAATCCAGTCAAAGAATCACAGCCAGATTGTGAGAAATCAACGAATTGGGTCTATGTTGAAAATGGTTCGTCAATAAGAGAAGAATCATCTTGAGAATAATACCAATCATTATGAATGTTTTATACCATTTAGGTACTTTTCGACTATCACAACAAGCCTTGCAAAAACATGGACCTATTGTCTGTGCTTATCGTCCTATTCTTCGATCTAAAGATGATTTTTCCACAATGGAGGGTGCTCGTTTATTTCCTGTTGTTGATAAAATGCCATTAGTATCTGACTTTTTTCGTGCTGATTGTCGGGCACGTGATGGCAGTTTTTACTCGAATATACATTTAGGTATTACATTTGATGCTGGTCTACATATGAGGTAATTGATCTTCGTTCTGACGTATCGATTAGCATTGTTAGCGTTATTTTAGACATATCTGGAATCCGATGATGAAAACTCATCTAGGATACAATGTTTTGATGTTTGGCTTCGATTCTGTGTCGCGTATGACATTCATGCGTTTCTTACCGAAGAGTTATTCTTATATGGTGAAAGAACTGGGTGGAATTGTTTTCAAAGGCAAAAAACACTCGACAAATATGTGTGGGTGATAAAAATTTCCTTCGTTTTTTTATTTGATAGGTTATAATATTGTTGGTGATGGCACGCCTGCTGCTCTTTTACCGATATTAACTGGCCAAACCGAACAAGAATTACCTGAAGCTCGACGTGGTCGTGAGGGTGCAGATACCGTTGATCGGTTTCCTTGGATTTGGAATAAATTTAAAGGTTTGTATGCTTTCAGACTCAGTCCGATAGAGCACAGATGACAACTGGTGCATCGATCTTCAGTCTATTCCATCAGTGCGATTTCTTTTTTTTCCACAGAACTCTCCATTGAGGAAAAAATACGCTGTATGCCATAATTCTCCTCTTTCTATTCTCTGAGCTTATCAATAAATCTAATGTAATACACTTATGGGATTTCCCTTGATGTTCACCAATGCAATCTTTTCTAACAGGTAGAACATTTCTTTTTCACAATTAGATAATGGTTATATCACACAATGGGCTGAAGATTTGCAAAATGTGGGTACATTTCAAATGCGCTTGAAAGGCTTTCGTGAACAGCCGGTGGATCACTATGGTCGTCCATTCTATCTCGTCGCTGAATCGATGCGAACATCAAAACCGTTTTGTTTTGGTTCTATCACACGATTGCAAACAATGCTCAACTGGATGCGTGATTTGTTTGATATGTATCCAAGTCAACCGAAATTTTCGTTTTTATTTCATTCGCAGTATTCTCACGATACTAACGATCGTCTCCCGTATGGTGATGATGAACTGCTGGAATTTCTGAAATTGATGAATGAACGTGGTTATTTTGATAATACAATGTTTATTTTAATGAGTGATCATGGTGCTCGTTTCTCTTCATTGAGAAAAACTTATCAAGGTAAACTTGAAGAACGTTTGCCATTCCTGTCGATTCGTATGCCGAGAAAATTTCAAGAAAAATATCCGGAAATCATGTCGAACTTACGTTTAAATTCTCATCGTTTAACAACGCCATTCGATCTACATGAAACATTCGAACATCTGTTTGACTTCCATTCGTCTGATCCATATCAACCGAAAACCAACCGCTCATACAGTCTCTTTCAACTAATACCTGAAAATCGAACTTGTCTACAAGCTGATATCGAACAACACTGGTGTGCATGTTTAAACTGGAATAACATCTCAATCGATCAACCGATTATTCGACGATTCGGACAACAAGCTGTTGCGTTTCTCAACGCTTTCGTTTCTGATTACAAAAGCGACTGTGCACAATTGAGCTTATTTCGTATACACAAAGCCAGTCAATTGGAGGCGAATGATCGTTTATTAAAATTTGATGGTTCGGTGGATTACGATGGACGTATACCTACTTTTCAAAATCATACAGCCATAACGAATGCAACGAAGAATCTACTATCGAATCAAACCGACTTTTATCAAATACAATTTGAAACTGTCCCTGGACATGCTCTATTTGAATTAACTGCTGAATATCATCAAGCGAATGAAACATTTCTAATTAAGAAGAAGCGTTTGAGTCGAATGAATAAATATGGTCAAACATCAGTTTGTATTGCGCTTAAAAGACCTGAATTTCGCGAGATTTGTTATTGTTCAAATTTGTTAATAAGCACGAACAAACCGAGTGCAAAAATTGTTGATACTGTTATGAATAATGAGAAAATTTTAATAAAAACACAAAAGACTGTTACGAATAGTAGTAGTCTTCTGTTTTGAATCTTGACAAATGAATTTATTTCGGTAAAATATTCTTCTCGTTTTTTTTTACAAAAAACCCTGTGCTCTCAAACACACAAGAGAAAAAAAGCAATTGCATTCATGTAAACTAAGCTATATCTTTGAATGCGATGATCTGCTCTTCACCAAGTGCTTTGAGAACAGTAACTTTTATCTGTCCATTGCCGCTTTTATGTTTGTCGAGCAGACGACGGATAACATCCGATTCCTTGTTTAATTTCATATCACTACGGATTTTGCATGTTACTTCATCAAGTAAGGTTATGTAGCCATCTCGATCAATTTGAACGATAAGATAATCCTTTTTCGTAATATGGGGTACTTGAATAATACGATCCGATGGACTAATATCTTCATATCGACGACTTGTGAATATGTCGATAGCGACCATATGAACCTAAATTAGACAATACAGGAGTTAGACGAGAGGAAAGAAATCAATCGTTTAGTTAACCTTTGAATGACCATGCTTTCCTGGGGCGGAATGGGTAGCTTCAACCACCTTCGCTGGACGTCCGTTGAGCACGACATAATCTGACTTTTTGATAGAGCCAACTTCTTCTGGACTCATATCCATGTCATCATCATGCGAGTCCTCATACGAGGCGATGGGTTCGGCAAAGTTGAAATCAAGCGATGTCATGTTGTATTTCGAAAGGCGAACAAAGCGAAAAATATTTCGAATGTAAAAATGACTTTTTTTTATAAAATTCCACCTTTTATATGCGCGACGAATTGCACGAGTTTGAGTAATTTCAAGTCTTGCATAATTACAGACGCCAACATGGATGTTTTTTTTGTCTTACATAGTATATCACCTGTTTGCATAGAATTTCGAAATTATATGAATCATCCAATATCGCATTTTAAATTTTGCTCTTAAGAAAACTTGTCCATGTGAGTTATATAATGAATCAGACGACTTCAAGTTCGAACACGACGAACTGAATAGAACGAATAGACGTTTATTCGACTAAATTAACAATAACAGAAAGATGGGCAAAGCGAAGTGATAATTATTTATCGAAATATCGATGAATAGTTACATTTTTATCGGACAGACAATCACGATGATATAGGATATTCGTTTAATCCACCATACTCTTCCAATCAAATAGAACGTAGATCGCTTTAAAATAACAGTCATGGGAAAGAGCGGCGAATGAAAACTAATTCTATTTATTTGTGTTTAAGATGTTTTGTTTGCAATGATTAATCTTCTCAACAGAAAAGCGAGAGCGATAATTGACACCTATAGAAAAAACAGAAAAATCCAATTGTATTTCATACTCTGAAGATAAAAATAGTGATATACATAATCGATACGATGCCAATGAATTCTAATGCTTCGTGATAATTCTTGGAGCGGTCCGTAAAGTTTCCATACAAAATCATGGATACTGGAATCCCAACTAAAAGAGCATCAATGACCAGTAGAATAATATGTATCCATCCAAACTGAAAGGATTTCATTTGTTTGATCGACATAGTCTTTACATAGGAGAAAATTAACTTACTATGCGCAAACCTTTATCATGATATTTGTAAGCAACTAAGAGTCCAAAAGCACTTAGCAAAGTCCAAATTAAGCCATGAAGAAACCAAAAGATCAGAGCAGACAACGCTGTACGATACATATCGGGTCTTAAGACGAGACTTAAGATCATATAGACAAACGCCAACATCTGTATGAAAGAAACATATTTCTATTGATCGATATCTTTGTTGATAAAAACCTACGAGAATAATTGCATGAATAATTAAATGAACTAGACGAGTACGTCGAATTCGTAGATCTTCACTTAATAGCGGTTTTGGGGGACTATTCCTGGCTAAACCCAGTTCACCAGTGTAGGATTGGTGTGACATTATAGTGATGGTGGAGTATAGAATGCGTCTTTTCCTTTTATATTATTGAATACAGAGAGAGAGAGAGAGAGAGAGAGAGAGAGAGAGAGAGAGAGAGAGAGAGAGAGAGAGAGAGAGAGAGAGAGAGGAATGAATACATGACTCATTAAAACTGTGTTGTTTTAGCTGGAAATATCAACAATTTTGCTGTTTATATTGTTTTGTAAAAAGGTACCGATTCAATCGCTAGGAACTACGCAAGAGCACGGGAGCGTTTACGAATAAATGATGCGCAGGTTGGGAGCCAAGACGGTAGTACTAGAAAGTTTAAATGGTAGCACAGTATATATCGAAAGTGTATATGTTGACATTAGATGCACTTTTATTCGGCGTATATACATCTCCAGTGTCGATATTTTAATTTTTAGAATTAGGAATAATCCGGTAATGTATATGTAAATATAAAACAACAAGGGAATTGTATATCAATGAATGCGTACCGAGTTGTATGAAGAAACGCTAATTTCTAGGCTCCAAAGAAAGAAACCGAGGGATTAGTAACGTTCGTCTTTTATAAATTCAAAGAAGTTGAATCAATTAGTACTTTTCCAGAGGAAAAGGCGAACAATGTTGGTTGGGATCTTTTCAATTATCGGAATGATTGTTATTGTCTTAATTCTTCTTTTACCAATAGTTTTCTCCTACAATAAATACACACTCAATTCCATTATTTTCGCGATAACTATCACCGTTGCCGTATCCGACTTCAATATAACAGTTAGTTCTACTAGCACTACTATTAAAACCATTTCAACTAGCACCAGCAGCACAAATAGAACTAGACCCTACAAATTAATATGTTTGATTCACGATTTATTGGATGATCATCAATGTATGTGATAGTTGATCATTGAGTATTTCACATATTCTGTGTGTGAAAGTGTAGTTGTAATGGTAGGAATGAGGCAGACAAAAGATATCATCTTGTAAAATAGCACATGCATTACAATCTGTGAAACTTTCCAGTTATTTTTTTCCTCAGTAACATCAATAACAATCGCTGCAGTTAAATGAAAGTTAGTAGATATGAATGTAGCTGGTGAAACAGGCTCAGTCGATTCCGCATCAACTCTTCCCTACTAACCCCACGTTATATATATATATATATATATATATGTATGGATTCATCGGCAGCAATATTTATTCCTGATTGTCGTAATATTAGAGTACAAAAATAGTTAGCAAATGCAACATATGGTTTAACAGTCGCTGGCCAAGTTAATGGAACAGGAGGAGCAGAACCTACATTTTTTAAATCGTACTGGCGGTGTTGCTGTTGAGTTGAAAGGAGCCATGTATGTAACAAATCCTTTCTATGATCGAGTTCAATTATAGCTAAATGGCTCCTCCACGGGAATCGACGTTGCTGGAACAGATTAGGAAATAATAACTTGAAACGATTGTCATCTGTTCAGATGCATCAATACTTTTAGGTGGGTATGGAAGTGGAATAAATCAGTTGACTAACTCGTATGGTATTGCATTAGACCAAAGCTCCAATAAGATTTAGCAATTGCGTCGTGCGATATCTGTTCAGAGCAAAAACGATATTGTCGTTGCTGGTGGCATTGGTGCTGGATCGAACAGGACGCAATTCAACGACTCATTTGGCATTTATTTCGGCTTAGTAAACGATAGTCTTGTTATTACCAATCGATTTGCTAATGATATCATTCGGTGGATCATCGTTGACACTACCTGGACACTTCTAGCTGGCGATGGTAACGGGCTAAGTGGCCTGTCTTTGATATTACTGAATAGTCCTTGCAGTGTGACATTCGATCTCTTAGGAAATATGATTGTTGCAGGTATCTACAATTATCGTATACAAATTTTCAAATGAGGATCGACAAACGGTACTACCATAGCGAATGTAATTCGTGTGTGGCTGATACATATAACCATCGCGTGCAAAATTTCGTACACAATAATTGGAAATTTATTCTCAAGATTCTGACACGTTTAAATCAAAGTTTTAAGCTTTGTTTCCTTTCTTTCTGCTTAACACAATATTCAACATGACGTACGTAATTATTTTGTAAGTATCCTAATCGAATTATTGCATCTTTAGGATGTACGTACATCGACGAAGATTACACAAATGCAATTTTTGTACTTTTAATTCAAGTTACAGTTATTCATACAAGACTTTCTTAATAATTCGCATCAAGATTGACGTCATGCTTCTTTTTAACGTATATTTTAACTTACTTTTCTTCTTGCGCCCGTTTAAATTTCGCTTTTCTATGGCAACTGTAAACAACATGTGGGAATCAACAAAAAAACTTAGTCACTACGTTGACGTCAAACCATTCAAATATAAAAACATATGATCTCATCGACGACAGAATCATTCTAATCTACTTCATATTTTAAACAGTATGCGTATTTTTCTATTGTGTATCGCAGTCATTGAACTATTCTTAACAAGGATCGTTGATGGTACATGTATGTATCCAGGATTTAGTTTCTGAAAGACCCTCTTTTCAACATCATTTTCCTTGCAGATCGATATTCATCAGCACGTTATACCAGTCGAAGTTATTCAAGTGGAGCTTCATGTTCAACTGATCAATGCACATACATTGCTATCGGAGTCGGATGTGCAGCTGGTCTGTTCATTCTAATCGCAGTTGGTTTATTGGTCTATTTTCGCTGTGTACGCCTTGGTAGATGCAAATGTTGCTGCTAGTTGCCGTAAAATTCCGTTGTCATGTATTCATGCTGTTGTACAAGTTTACATCTATTTGAAAGCAGCCTGCTGTATTTATATCAAAGTTACATTTTCTTAATATCGTACAATAGATGATTTGGCTTCGTACTTCTTCTAGTTCGATGTAATAGATTGCACTAGTCTCTTTTCTTTTATATTCGAACGCACGCATCACTCACACAGTCGACCTTTATTGATGTATTTTTATTTTTGACAAAAGACGTGTCTTCTGTAGAAGATTAAAGCTTTGTTTTAGCATAAATAGGTACCAACACTACCTCCATTGAGTGATGTATCATACACTTTTCCTCCGCATTGTATTTGAAATGATTTCTTCGTGAGATCATTGTCATTAACAACTATCACTATTCTTTTTTGATCACTTGGTCGTTGGAATGCGACATTTGGAAGACCGGACACAACATTGGAATCAATTCTGATTGAATTAGGTCGTACAAATTTAGCTGCATGCGCAATAATATAATAAGCAGGATTTCTTGGTGATGCCACGACATTTCCATCAATTGTTAAAGCACCTAGACATAATGTACATCCACCAGGAGTATGCGGTTCTAACTTGGAATCAGCTGCTAAATTCCATTCTAAAACATTGCGTGCCCAATTTCGTGTGGCGCCTACAATAAGGTTTTTCACGTGCCAGACTAAATCACCTTTCAAATTTCCCGGTGCGCCTACCCATTGTTCAGTGAAGTAAAGGTTTTTATCTGGAAATTGTTCGTGGACAGCGGATAAAGCTTCAATGGGTCCTGCATACAAATGAAATGCTGAGCCATCGACGTATTGTTTTGCTTGAGGATCTTTCAAGATCGTTATCGGATAGTCCGGATGATCAGCATTATGGTCATAAACAATAATCTTCGTAGTGATTGAATGTTGTCGAAATGTGGGTCCCAAGCTTTGCTTTATAAACTGTGCTTGAACTGGTGCTATCATCAGCAATGATGGATTGTTTCCAGGATGTAACGGCTCATTTTGAATTGTAATGGCATCGATAGTTATGCCTTCCTTTTTCATCTCTTCAATGTATCGAACGAAATAGAGCGCATAGGCATCGTAACATTCGGCTAATAAAGTTCCTCCAATACTATTTTTATTACTTTTCATCCATACAGGTGGTGACCATGGTGAACCTAACAGTTTTATTGCAGGATTAATCGCCAAAATTTCCTTCAAAACTGGTATCAAATATAAACGATCGTGTCCTAAATCGAACCGATTCATGTTGTAATCAACTTCACCTGCAGGTAGATCATCATAGGAAAAGACAGCTTCGTCAAGATCAGACGCACCAATGCTAAGTCGAAGATAACTCACACCAATATTATTCTGATCGACAGCAAATAGTTCTTGAAGGATTCGTGCACGCGTTGTATTATCGAGATTGTACAAATGCATTGCACTTCCACCAGTTAAGGTATAACCAAAACCATCGATTGATTGATATTTTACGTTTTCATTGATTGTGATAACGTCATTGGTGACATCATTGTCAGAGTTAGGCGAAATGGATGGTTGTTGTTGAAAGAGAACTTTCGCATCGGGATCTGTAAGCCAAAATTCCATTTGTTGAGCATTGGAAACAACATTAATGACACTAATGATAAGGAAAACTAACAACATGTTTCTTTTCAGCATGATAAAAGAATATGTTGTCTGCATCGTATGGACGTATATTATGACATTTATTTTATATTATCGTCACTTTTATTCTTTTGTGTCGATTATCACGTGTCGTTGAGGTGCACTTTACATCGAAGATATCAACAGAAACAAACCGATTTAGATTCATTCTTTCAAAGAATTGTATCATTATCCTTAGAAAACAATAAAAAAGCACAGCAAATGTAAAGGTTAATCAGCGTAGTTTTCGAATTGAAGATCGGACACTCCCGTTTTTTATAAAAAGTAAAAAACACAAATGACGTAAACGTCGAAAAATAAATATACTGAAACGACACACTCATACATCTTATACGATGCCTTGAAGTTTGTTTCAGTACTCCCACATTTCTCTGAAAGACCATAGAAATTCTTTCGTTTCTAGAATAGACGTCACCGCAAATCAATGTATGTGTATTATTTTTCTTCTTTTCTCATATTGCAGCTTTACACTCCGATTTCACCATGGTGATCGTGATCAAAACCAAAGAACAAACAAGAGAATTTTTATGTGCTGACGTCAATATATTGAGAAATAAACGCAACATCATTTATATATATCACAAAAAAAAAACTCACTAGCTTTAATTCATAATGCGTACCATTCAATACATCGTAATAATTGGAATATTATCAGCTGTAATTGTTGATGGTCGAAGATGTATGTATTTCTCTCGAAAATGATGACAGGAATATTGAAATGTAATCTGAATCTTGTTTTAATTTCAAAGCTGGCTCAAGCGCACGTTACACATCTCGCGGGGGTTCTTCTGTAAGGACAGGTTCAAGCGGAGGTTCATCGTGTAATGCAGACTCATGTGCATACATTGGTATTATAGTTGGATGTATAGGTGGAGCAATCCTACTCGGTGGTGTTATTCTACTAGTCTACTTCAAACGTGACAAAATCCCTATATGTAAACCATTACGTTACAATTAGAAGCAAGGTGTACATTTGAACAGAATAGAAGTGACGAACATTCCGTTTTACTTGAAGGACGAGAACATATAACCTTGTTGAAGATCTTTTATTATTCACAATTAGTGTTTTCAATGAAATATACATCTAATTGACATATGACTATTTTAAGAAAACATTCGGGAATAAACTGATTAACATTTTTCTGTAAATATTGCTCGAACCCGAAAACACATTTGCTGACATTTCTTTTTTGACAAAGAAGGAACGATGACATTCTCATAGAAGTTCGATGATCTAATCGGAATGAATTATTTTTATTGTCTTGCTTTTCTAATCATTTATCTTGGAAATTTTATCGGTTGTCAAAGTCAACGAAGTAAATATCTCGTTTCTAATTTGTTCAAAACACATCTTTATCCATTATTTTAGCGAATATTGCTAATCAAGGTCTTTACAGTAGTATTAGCATTTCATGTACAGATGGTAATTGTCGTCACCATGCAACAATCATCGCTGGAAGTATACTAGGCGGTGGTGTTGGAATCATTTTCTTGCTGATTATTTTCGCGCTGTGTTGGAAACATTGTAAAGGTCGTCCGTTGAAAACAAATCCGAAATTTATTCAGTCAACCAATCAAAGATATTCTCAAGATAATTCGACAGACGATACGCTTTTCAAATCAGGTATTTGGTCGAGTCGACACATTCAAGATGGACTCTGGTATGGATTCCATCGTTTAACACTCACGTTTGATCCTCAATTATGTAAAGTGACAGGTTCAGGATCAGACAACAACGGCGTTTTTCTTCTCGACGGAGTTTATTCGCTGGCAACTAAACGTATGGGTTTAGTGAAAACGTATCAGATGGAACTTAGCAAGCGATCTGAAGATTTGAAATATCAAATGTTAGTTCAATTGGTGTGGAATGCGAAAAGCAGTCAATTCGAAGGTAAATGGTATATACGAACAAAATCATATAGTGGTGAAAATAAATTTCAACTAAAATTCACGTCACAACAACAATCTCATCCTTGTAAAACTGTTTAATTTTTAACTACAATAAAATCTCAATATCTCTAACTAACCATGCCAAAAAAGATTTCTTCAACAGCTGAATCATGTCGTCTGATCAATCGTCGGCCATGATATAAAGCAGACAAGTTCTTAATTGACCTATCAAATGAATAAACAATTCCATACAACAGTATATTATTTCATTCGATTCAATGCTAAAAGCCATTTATCATTACACAATAAGTCCCGTTTTCTCTCATATAGTACATTAAAACTCAATCTACCACATTTTCTGTGATTCGGGTTGAAGTACTTAAGCTTCCATCATCATTCAATTTCCTCAGACTAACAATACGTCGTCTAAATTTTCAATGCATATTCGTACTTGATAAGTGGCGATATCCATATCGTACACAAATAATGATTGCATGATTGAAATGCATACTACACTTATCGATCAGATCAGAAACAAATGAAATTCTTTCAGAAAACATCATTCACTTGTCCTTTTCTTATCTTTCATCACTTCATTGTACTAATGATCCTCTATGACAATCAATGCGGTTTTAGCTCAGATGTTTCACGATATTGCTTTAATTATCTACCGTTCTTCTTTTCTTCAAGTATCACTTTCATGTCCTTCTGATTCGGGAATCGATAACTACTAAAAATGTCCTTGTCTACATGAAAAATGATAGTATAAATCGTTTCCGTCTTCTTGTTATGCGACTAATCTTTTATGTAATCAGTTACACGCAAATGACAAAGGAAAAGAGTTGTCGTCATCGACATTATTTGTATTTTTTTTATTCATTCGTTTCTGACTATAACCAACAATAGTTGAGTGTGATCATTTAGAAATAACACAGCATGGTCTATGTACGTTTGTTATGAGAAAGAACGAAGAGTTCGCGCTTTCTCTTTCTCTCATTCTCCTTCTCTTCTTTTCTCTCGTTCTTTCTCTCTGACTATCAGCTGAAGAAGTAGAGAGAAGAAGAAAAAGATGTAGCCAATCTATTTCTCTTTAAACAGTAAAGAAACATATAAATACATCACATCTTCGACATCGAGGCACATCTTATCAAGTACAGATCGAAACATTCTAGGTTGCTTGCATCATATGTCAAATATTTCATCGTATGTTGAATATCTTCTTCACATTAAACTTGTACATTATTCGTATTTTCATTCGTAGAGTTCCAACATTCATGTCTACTATGTTGCAAACGTCGAATCTCATTTGCCGGAGTATCCAGCTCACCGATGAGCTCAAGATTGGTGTGGAATATGATTGTTCTCATGGTTTATTGAATATCTTCGTGAAAAATACTGGTCATCAAAGTCACTATCCATCGCAGATAAATCTCCATTCAAATGAAAATAAAGATTATCTACTTCAATCATCTCAAATACAAGAAAGTTCGTGTACACAGATCGTTATCATTTAATTTGATTGAAATTTTCTCTAGGAGATATTGAGAATGAGATAACCGACTTATCCTTCAGGGACGACGATGATGAACCGAAGATTTGCATCGAAGTATCCAATATCTATGTGTATGATATATTCGACGAAAATGAAAACAATCTCTGTGAGACGATGGTTGCATCATCCTTATCCTCATCTACATCATCGTGCTTCGATGAACAAACTTCCGATAATGACGATGGCTATTCGACACATTCACTTGATGATACCGAGCATCAGCAACAACAACATCAACCATGCCCGATGCCGCTTCATTCATCGAAACTAATCATACCGTTTGTGTCTTCTCAACATGATTATTATCTTGAAGAATGCGTCTCGCCCATCCGTCGACTCATCGAGCAAACGATGTGGCTAAGTCCATTCAAAATGGTTATTAAACAAATGATGATCAATCATTTGTATTAATTGACAAATATGATACATCTCCATTAGGATGTTACGTGTATTTGTACATGAGTGCTTATGTTTGTGTGTGTACGTGTGTTCTGTTTTGTGTGTGTGTATACATGCGCATTTGACTTTCGAAAATATTATTTTTTGGATTTAAGTACTCGACAAAAAAAAAAGAAGAAACTACGAAAAATCACACAAATGAGTCATCATCTTTGCACTTGTATTGATTGGTAGATGATACGAAAGGTAATGGGGAAAGAAACGCTATACTCTCATCTCGGTTTCATGACCATCTATACACAAAAGGCAAAAAAAATAAAGGAACAAGTGCAGTTGCCACATTTCTTTCTCTTGATCTTTGTGCTTTTTCTCTCATTTCGGCTTTGATCGATTAATTTCTGTGTACGTGTGTTCTATTCCGGTGAAGTACTACGAATGTTGTTGTTCCTCTTTTACACGTTTTCTTTTTTTTTTATAAATCATGAATAAAACCGCATACGTTTACGTTAATGAACGATCCATTTCACCTTCGCTGATCTGTCCGATATGTTTGGATATTCTTCAAGAACCTCACACGCATATTCAATGTGACAGTGCATTTTGTCGTTCTTGCTTCTTAAAATTATCCGAACCGTACTGTCCAATATGTCGCTGGACTTGGAATGATTCCGTACCTTTGCAATATAATCTACATTTACCGAAAGCGAATCGTCTAATACGGAACATGTTGGATGATTTGTTAGTACGCTGTACTCGTTGTCATACAGTTCGTCGTCGAGGGCAATTCGAACATGAATGTGAATTATATTCCGCATCGTTGATGAACAGAATCGGAAACGTACGACGAGTTACTCAAGAGCAATTGAGAAATCTTCGTATGATCTGCTCATCATTACTTCTATTTCTCTGTCTGATCCTCATTTATTATTATCGAAATTCTATTTTCGAACAAGCCATCGATCGTCATGACGTTTTCAAGAATTCAAATGGCTACAATATCGATAGGATTCTGTTTGAGAAAATTTATTATTTAATAATAAAAACCATTGAATATCCAATAACAATGTTGATCGTCAATATTTGCCTGTGGTTTAATGTAAGCTGGTTTGGTGATCGTCTTACATCGAAAACAAATAGTGGCCTTTTGAAGAACTTCTTCGAAGTTTTGATCATTGTTAATCTGATTATTTATACAATTTATCATTAGGATAGACTGTACCTTTTCGTATTTAAAAATCGAATAAATTCACCCGTGAGCAGTTAGCGTTTTAGATGATCGAAATCGCGGTTGCGTTAACTTTATTTATTTTCGATTAACTAATTCGTTGAATCACAGTTAGAAACAATATTTGACTGACAAAAGTTAATAGACTTTTGTTTATTTAACATGTGATTACGTGTAAAATCTGTACGACCATCAACTCGATTCAACACACAGCAAAAGAATTTTGTCCTCAATGATAATCGAACGTGAGGGGCGTTGTTAGACGCAAAGGGAAGAGAGGGAAGGAAGGAAAGAAAAAAAAAGAATAGTAGCAGCGAGTAGTTTCGATCTACCGACCTCTGAGTTATGAGCCCAGCACGCTTCCACTGCGCCACGCTGCTGTGTTTCTTCACTAGCTATTTCACTGTGTTAAACTGATTGTGAGCGAACGCAAATAATGCTAGACAAAAGCAAGGAAATTCTCTTTTTTCGAAGAATTAGAAACAAAGAATTTATTTTGATTTCAAAAATAGTAAATGATGAGATATTTATTCTTCAATGTGAGAACTAAAACCTTGTCGAACTGGTTAGTTTCGGAAAAAAGTTAGATATGTGTATTACAAGCTGGATGACATGTGTTCATACAATCGTCGGGATATTTTGCATTCCAAATTTCACAAAAGCCCAAGACTTTTTGTTCTGCACAATCATGTCGTCGATCGACACACTTGTCTGCACGTGAGAAGATTATATTAAGTCCGAATGTTGTTGTAGTTGAGCTCGACGTAGTCGTCGTCGTTGTTGTCGTTGTCGAATCACTGCTATCAGTGTCATTGGATGGTACTACAATATCGGTATTTTGCTCATTCGACTTTTGTGTCGATTCACATTGACCACACGAACGCGGACACATTTCCAACACGGAATAAGAGCTGTTATCGACCGAAAGAGCGTAGAGATTACTGCAATATTCGCGATTAGTTTGATAGATTGAACAGAATGTACTTTTATCGTAACACGAAACACCTAGAAAGATCAAATGTAGATATTAATCAAAATCTCTCTCTTAGTTTTATGTCGAGCATACATTTGTAACTATTGCCATTCTGTTCACATTGTTCTGTTGCAGAACATGGGTTACTTACACAAGCATTAGTGTACTAAACAAGGAGAGAGTGTGAGTGAATGAATAGTTTCAAATGAATAGATTTACTTGACACTGATCACCAGATTTTCCACTTGGACATGTACAAACAAAACTGTTTTGAACTGCAGTACAGTTGCCGCTATTGCACGACGTTAACGAACAAATTGGAGCTAAATGAACAGAAGTGAACGGACGAAATAATATATACGTCATACTTTCACAATTCGCTCCTGTATATCCCTGTAAACAAAAGCATTGGGTATACAAAGTTCCATTAAGATAATATCGACCGAAACAAGTAGCACTATTCAAACATGGATTGTTTTTGACACATGGATTTTCTGAAATATTAGAAACACGCATAACTTTTTAGTTTTTGTTTCGACACTCCTTTACCGTATTGACACGAAGGTCCAACGTATTGTGATGTACACGTGCAGATACCATTCTGACAAGTGGCACCATTATAACATGGCAGAGTACAGTCCGCTGTTTGTGTAGTGAGATAATTCTCACAATATTGACCAGTATACAGAGGTGGACACGTGCATGAAAATGAAGCGCTGGTCATATTGTAACTCGACGCACAGAGACCACCATTTCGACAGATTGAGCTTTGACATGGATTAGCTAATTAATGAAATGGATGAATCGAAAATGTTCAAGAAGAAGAGAAACGACATACCGTATCCACAATATGTGCCAATGTATTGCGACGAACATACACATACACCATCAACACACGGACTTCTGCAATGTAAGGAAATGTAAAATGGTTAACAAGAGAGTATTAAGGAAATAAATACCCGTTCATACATAATCCGCCACATGGATTGAGTAGGGATGTTTCGCATCTAGTTCCTGTGAATGTTTCGAGACAACGGCATGTATACCATGTGTTCGTGGTATTCCATTGACTTTGACAAACAGCTGAATTTAAGCATGGAGATGATTGACACGGATTGGCTGAAGAACCAGAATGAAAGAAAACTTCTCAGAAAAACTACAATTGGCTTACATCTTTCACATTGAGAACCGGTATAATTGGCATTACAAATACATGCAAATGTCGTATTGACCATGGATAGTGCACAGTAGCCATGGTTTAAGCATGGCGTACTACCACATGGATCATTTTGAAGAATTGTATTGCACCGAGAACCTGTATAACCTGTGCGACACAGACAAGTAGCGACCGGAGGATCTGTATTCGATGAAATACAAGTGCCTCCATTTTGACAATATGCTGTTGATGTCGAAAGTGTACATGGATTTTCTAAACAGACACACATCTATTATTCATGAGTATTAAGTAGAATTTGATCACTAACCGTATTGACAAAATGTGCCCACTTTATTTCCGGTGCATGTGCACACCGGCCCAGTTGATTGTTCACTACAAATTTTGAACGATGGGCATAACATATTAGCACAGGAACTGATCGCTACACACAAAAATCGCTCAAAACTAGGTAATTTGCTTCCAATAATTATTCTTACGTGTATCACAGAGTTCACCATAACGTTGCGGTGGGCAATTACATCGATACATAGACCAATTGTTACTTGTCTCACCAAGCAAAGTCGTGCAAGCGGCACCATTTTTACATGGAGAATTGGCGCACGAGTCACCTATACATATATGAATACACTGAATCATGTTCGATCGAACAACATACGTAATCCACATGTTGGACCAGTAAAACCAAGTGGACATAGACATTCAGCCATTGTTGCTGCTATTTGTCTGCACGTTCCACCATTTGAGCAAGTAGTTATTGAGCAAACCGAAGCTAAATATGATTTTTCATATTTACATCTAACATCGAAAAAAATGAGTCGACTTCCTTACTCCATTCACACCGTGCTCCGGCAAAACTAGCTGGACAGATACATCGTATACTTGTACTGTTAGAATCACATGTACCACCATTTAAACATACACTTGAATTACATGTTAAGCCCAGATCTACGAGAAATCTCTTCAATTATCAAGAAAAAAAAACATCTTCGTCAAGCGACATACATGTCGAACAATCATATTGCCCAAAACCTCGTTGGCATACACACATGAAATTATTTTGTGGACCCAATGGAATGCAAGTTCCTTGGTTGTAACATGGTTGTTTTTGGCAACTATTTACATATTGACAACGATCACCCGTCAAATAATCTGGACAAATACATTCATAAGTTTTTGGATTGCTATTGGATACAGCTTGGCATGTTGCAAGATAATAGCAAGGAGAGTTATCACACGATGTTATGGCAGCTAAGATGAAGAACAAATAGATATTGATTTTTGGAACATTTAGAATTTACTTGAACTGCATGATGATCCAACTGCACCGTTAGAACAAACGCAATAATAGGACGCATTTGTTATTGCAAAGCAAGTACCATTATATCCGCAAGGATTTGATGCACAAGAACCCAAGGTATTCCTTGCTATTTGACAATCTGCACCAGTATATCCTGATGCACATATGCATCGTAGTACATTGTTTCCTCCTGATGCATCGACATAACAAACACCATTATTTGCGCATGTCGAAGCTGTGCATAGCGGTACAATTGTTTCGCAACTAAGCAACGGGGAAAGTGGTCGTTATTAGAAATATAAGTTTAAAAATTGTCATCTTACCGAACGCCGGTTGTATTTGAGAGACATTGACAATAAGAAATATTCGTTGTCGAGTTGGTCAAGCAAATGCCACCATTCAAACAAGGTTGTGTTGAACATGAAAGACTTAGTTGTTCGCAAAAAATTCCACTTGTGCCAATGACACATTTACAAGTTGCAGGACATGTTGTTGAAGAACAATTGGTAGTCGATGATATACATTGACCACCATTTCGGCATGGTGACGATATGCAACCACTTACTAAACATATAAATCAAACTTCCATTCCAAGAAAACAACTTCCATCGTACTGTATTCACAACTTGTACCGATAAATCCAGTCGGACAATTGCATCGATAAGTACCATCCTGTATATTGGTACTTCGAACGCATTCACCGTTATTAAAACAAGGATTGGGTGTGCAAACATTAATTGTTAATTCACAAAGTGTTCCACCATATGGAAGTTGACATCTACACGAAAATTTGTTCGACGATGAAAGACAGGTACCATTATTTTGACATGGATTGCTTTGACATGGATTATTATTATTTTCACAATTGCTCCCTATTGTATGATGATCAAAATAGATGAACTGTAATTGTATGAAAATATTCGAAAATAATAACCTGTCACTCCAGTTGGACACAAACACGCATAGCTACACAAAAGGCCTTGACAAGTTGATGATGGTACACAAGTACCTTGATTGCATGGACTTGATAGACAACTATTGACTAGAAGAGAAGACATGAAAATAAGCATCTTGTGTACAGTTTTATTGTTTTTCTCTCTTACCTAAATTGCATCGACTTCCAAAATAGCCATAATTGCATTGACATTGCATTGTTCCATTGGATAGTGTCACACAATTTCCATTTATACATGTACTTGCTTGACATGGTCCACTTACGCTTGTTTCACATTGTGCACCAGTACTGTCATTTCCACAGCTGCATACTGGTCTATTGCACGCCGTATCCGTACAAACTACGGAGCAGTTGCCATTGTATTGACAATAATTATTGCACGGATTATCTGAATATTGAAATTCACTCGATAAATGTATTCACTCGACACGATCATACTTATTTGACAAAATTTTCCTCGGAAAAGATTGCTACACAAACAAGACCCATTTGTTAAGCAGGTACCACTGTTAAGACATTGACACGAATTCGACAGGCCAGTATTGTTATCTCCCAATGGCGTTTGGCAATATACACCCGTGTAGTTATTTTTACATTGACACATATATTGCGTTGCTGATAGTTGAATACATATTCCATTGGATGTACATGGATTCGTTTGATTTTGACATGAACCAGTCAATGATGTCCCCACGGACGATATTCCTCCTGCGACAGATATTGTTGTGCTTATTCGTGGTGTCACTGTTGAACCTGAAACACATGACGATGGCGGAAAGCAAACACACTGTCCAGAACCGGTGGTGATTTGTTGTAAACATGGACAAGCAGCAATAGGACAACTCGTTGTTGAACAACCACCTAAATTATACATGAATTAGTAAAGATTCTTTTAATTCTCGTCTTCGAGTAGATCATCTCTACTACATACTTGAACTACAGCTGAGCAAGCTGATGCTCGTTTGATATGATGTACGAAAAGAATGCTGCTGAGGGTTGTAACCATTTGTGAATGTATATGATCCCACTGCAAACATTAAATAGACATCTGATGTGAAACTAATATCCTTTGTATCTCCTGTGGCGAGGAAACGTTCAAATGCGGCATAAATGTTTTTATCCGTCGTGTTAGTGCGAATAACACAAAAATCTTGTTGATTATCCAATGTTGGTGCACTATGCCCTTGAGAAAATCTATTGAAAGTATCAGTTATATGAAGATAGCAGAGAAAAAAAACCAGAGCCTCTTTACCGATCTTGAACGATTTGAGTTCCAGGGAAGAACATAGCCACGTCCATCTTAGTCTAAATAGACATGAATCATACAATTCAATCAAAGAGATCCTTGTATAGAAATAGAATACAAACCATAGTTGGTGCTGTGTCAGACCAACCGAGTGCAATGTAAGTTGTTGAAAGATTAATACTATCTGTTGCTTTTCCTATCAAATGCAGAATCGATTATCAGATGAAATGAATATCATCTCGAATGACAAAATCTACCCTCAATGATAAACTGAACTGTATTCGAAGCCATATTATATCTCCATGAAACAGAAAATGAACCAATGTTGGACTGTTGAATGGACCATATTCCACCTGCACATTGACCGTGAATAGCTAGAATATGGAAGTACGAAGATAGAATTCATTTCGACTCAATCATCTGTCAAACATACGTTCAAGAAAATCACTGATTAATAATAATAACAATAATAATAAATAAAGTTGATGTTTCATCTGCAACCGAAAATGTTCTACAATGACAAATCGAATATCCTTTCTTGTTCGTCAGACGTTGATTATTCACCTTATAGGACGATGCAAAAATGGCGAACTACATCGAAGGTTGAGTTCATCGAACTTACAAATATTCTCTCGTCTTTCGCTTAATCAATCTGCCATTATATTGTTGTTATCGAAATCTTTTATATTTTCTTCGTTATTGATGAAAAGCACATCGATATGTAATCACATCATTTAAGCTCATCAAACTTCTATTAGCCAGCGTCGTAGGCGATATTTCGTCATACATATTCGAAAGAATTAAAGGATTGTTTTTCTCTCGGTACAGATCTGAGATGACAAATATCACGCCTCTATCTTCAATTCAATATACTGTTTCGTCGCTAATTAGAACGAATCCATTCAATGATTGTCTGCTGAAGAAAGTCAATACACTTAGTGAGAAAGAAAATGGTTTCGTGAAGCCAATGAATATTGCTTTGCATAAAATTCTGTTATAAAATATAAAAGCTAATAAAAACTTATTAAATCTTTTGAAAATACATATAAAAAAAAAGAAGATAAGTAACACATTCTCTCAATTAGCTAAAGAAAAACGGACGGCAGTTGTATTATATAATCTTCATTTGAGTTACCATTCAACCACTTATTCTTTCTCATCAGCAATACGCATTCTTCTAATCGTCTCACATATATCACCTGAAGACATTTATTACTGCATGAGTAAATATCCATTCTTTGGAAAGAAGTATTGGTTGATTAACGATGTTCACTAATCTATCGTGTCCTAGCAGCTAAACAAATACGATCGAAATCAAGTGAAGTATTGGCATAAAGGTCTTTTCACTTTGTTCTATGACATCGAAAAAAAAATATATATATTTATACGAATCCTGGAAGGTTAGCTAGAAAAATGAGTTAATGGTTTCTCCACTAAACAACGATCGAGCAGCCACGAACGATCAGGTTCTGATTCAGGTGTGATCACGCACATGAACAATTGTTGAGAGTATCTATGTCGCATAAATAAACATATCGGTGTAAATGGTAACGCGTATTCTTGGTCGGATTTAGTTGAAATATAATCACATAGTTTATGATATAATTCAGGATAGTGTTGTTCGATTTCGATTCCACGTTCGCGTAATTCAACTTGTAATTTAGCAAAGAATACTTGTCGCATATGATGACGATCAGAAACTGCCGCTTGATCGTAATTTAAGGATGTTAAGTACAAGGTTGGATAAGTGCCTGAGGATGACGACGGATCGGCTTGAGAACTCGAAGAATTTTCTAATAGTTTAAAAACCATTGTTTGACTTACACATGTGTTGGGTGGAATATCTAATCAATGGAAAGATTCGATCGAATTTATTGTATTAAATGGTCAGTCTTACTTTTTGTATCATCGACTCGTATGGTCACATGACAAACGAATTCTGTACTAGGATCATATTTTACGCAAAGTGCTTTCAAACGCTCATAATCCGTTGGACGAAGGTTTTCGATTGCAGATATTGTTGTCGGGTCAGTCAACGCCCAATAAACAGCCATTAAACGCGTATTTTCAATAGTGCCCGATTGGATGTAAAGATCAGCTTCTTTCATATTATCAAAATAGAGTAATGTTGCACCGCGTCCCGATGACAAATATCCACTTGATGCCAATGTGCTCAAACGTTTCACTACACACGTGTTACTTTTCATTAAATGTAATATATGTCCGCAACATGAATAAGAATTTGCTAGCGGACATTGACGTTTGTGTATAGGCCAATCTGACTGTTGACATGTTTTACTACAATAGATTTGTTCACAATAGGGACATGTGATTGAAAGTCGTTGTGTATGAATTGCAGAGGTTAATTGGATGAGTCTTGAACAAGTTGTACAATGTTGAAGCTAAGAACAAGAAAGTTCAAACTTGTTTTGTCAAATACTGACGTATTTCTAACCTTTTCAGTTGGAAAGTTGAAATTCACACGCGATCGAATGTTTTTTCCCGTTTTTTGTTTGGGAATGTAATTATTCTGTACAAAATTAACAACATAATTCGACTGATTTGGTATTTTATTCGTATTATCGGTAGCTAAATTAATTGCTAACGGAATTGATGATGTTCGTCGTTGTAAAACTGGATATGCATGTTCAACACGAGACTTTTTAATCGGGATACTACGATCAGGCAATGGTTCATGTAGCCATTTATCAAAACGCGAAACCAATGCTTGAACTTGTTGATTCAACGAAGACCAATCGAGTAATCCTTCTAGTTCATCGTCGTCAGACACTTGCGACTTATCCGATCCACTTTCAGCCAGAACTCGAGAGACCGAAGGCGTCTTCTTCGACAAAAAACGTTCCGAACCGAATGTATAATACGAACTATCATCTCGATGTAGTGTGGAACTATTATTACTGCCTAAGAGTGTGCTTGTCGTGGTAAAACTTGCATAGCCTTCATCGTTATCACCGTTCGGATAGAAAAGTTTCTGTTTGCTACTATTCGGAGAATTGCTCACTGAACTTGCGCTTCCACTGCTACTAATGGACGATGCATATGTAGACAATTTCCGTACTTTCGATTGTTTGATCACAGGATAATGCTGATAAGTATCATTCGTTGAAATCATCAGATCTATGCAGAAAGATGACCTACTTACTAATCGATTAGAAGGGAAGGGAAAAAACAAAAATAGTTGATAATTTCAAATAGTGAAGATATGATCTAAGAATCACTGTTGACAGAAAAACTACTCCATAAAATGTTCGTTACCTTGTATTTCAGAAGAGAATATAATACCATTCTTTTTTTTTTATACTTTCTCTCTATTCAGCTTTTCTTTTCTCTCTTTTTCACTTGTTCTTTTGTGAGAGAAATTTGCGTGCAAAAGTCTGAGAGTACATATGTCAAAAAAAAAAGACGATAGAAGAAAAGAGAGAATGAAGTCTGAATTTGATTCAAACGGTACAATTAAATCTCAGGTATCTGTAACATTCATTTTTCAAGTGTGAGTGAACAGACAAAAAGTTCTTGGCTGCAGGCGAAACATACATTTCAATGCGATAATGGATGACGATGCGATTTAATAAAGAAGAATGTTTGTCCTAAAAAAATGATTGACAGAAAACGAATGCCAGCAAAAGTTCAGTTGAAAGTGATTGTTTTATTAACTTTGCGAGAGATTTCTGTTGAATTTCTCTCCGTCGAGTTTTCTTTTTTCCTGGTTACGTCATGAACAACAAACGAAGAATTTGGATAATTATGTGTGCCGTCCTAATGAGCATAATCATATTGAAAGAAGTCGATAGCAATCACGCGAACAGTGACCGACGGCTCTTCTTGTTCATGCCATCATCGAAAGTGATACGATTACACAATCTGAATAAAGGACAGCTATTATCGGTATGCATCTCATGAAATGAAGACAAAAAAAATGTGATGATGTAACCGAAAATTCTTCCTTTCTCGCGTTTGCTTGTTCATCATAACAACACAACAATCTTAATTATACGAAGACCTTGAAAGATAAACAAAAGAACTGCCCGATTTCTCTTCTTCTTTCATAATGATTCGTTGAAATTTACATAAATGATGTGGACGTTCAAACAAACACGTAGAAAATCTCTTCGCGAGAGGAAACTGATTATGAAATGTGTTTGTATTTTTGTTAGAAAGGGTCAGTTTACTTTAGCTCGTTAACCATTCGATACAAGGAAAGAAATATGACAGAAAAATAAAACAACATCGAAGAAAGATGATGTTTTGTAATGATAATGTAAACTAACTGAGAAGATAAAAGAGAAATTGTTTGCTTGACCAGAGGTCGATTATCAAGAAATTACATCGAACAGTAGAAGGAAAGCGCAACATAACAGATATTGATTGTCCGTTATCATGATGAGGATTACGTGATAAAAGCATAGCAGAAAAAAAAACAGAAACGAAGGATGTATTAGTTTTTTTCTTAGATGTTCTACAACAACAATCATCATTTTGTATCGGCCGAAGGAATTTTCTTGTTCATTTCAACATTGTGTTAACGCAACATAAATATGACTAACTCTTGTTCGTGTATGTTATCTCTATTGTTGTTGTTGTTGCTGTTCATCACACATGTAAGTGCTGTATATTTGTATTGATTATACCGAAGTTCTGTTTTTTTTTGTAGTACACGAATGCAGCAACTCTTCGTTTCCCAATGTATTCATTTGAAAATGAGCAGAATACTTCAATTATCAATCATGAATATTCACAATCAGAGTATATGAATTCTCAAATACCGTTGTTGAAGCGATTGAAACGTTGGTCAAGACATGGTGATAATGATGAAGTCGAAATTGCCTTGGATACATCAGATAGCAATGCTTCATTGAGTACAACAGTATTCAATTTCGAAAGTACTACAGAGGATTTATCAGTAATGGAAAATGATACGAACAATCGAACAACAGATGAACAGACGACAATGAGACATTTGTTATTAAGGCAAGATTTAGCAGAACTAAATCAAACGGACGATCAAACAACAAGTGATCATGTTGAAAATAGCAATAATACAAGTTATTCAGCGACAAATTCAACAATTCTGGTGACAACGGAAGAAATATTGGAATCGACAACGATTGCAATCGTTTCCACTCAAATCATCGAACAAACCGAATCAGTGACATCTGATGTTGTTTTCAATTCTACTATAGTACTAGTTTCAAATGTTACAACAGATTATCCAACAAGTTATTCATTAAATGACTCAGTGACGACCGATTTGATCTATACCGATTTCAATAATACGCATCTTTCTCAAAAAGATGCACTTATTCCCGTTGATTCAGACTTCTTGTTCAGCGAAACCGAATTTCAAGATTTAAATATATCTTCCAATTTAACATCAAAGGAAGCAGCAACTCCCTTATGTGATTTATCCTGTCAATGCTTAAAAGAATGTCTTTATGGTTTTGAAATTCTCAACGACACATGCCTATGCACTCCACCCTGTCAAGTGAGTACCAGCGAAGTAAATTCTAGAAAAATTCGACCTTTGAATAGAACTATCCATGCTTTGGCACTGATGAATGTGTTATAACCGAAGAAGGACATCCTTATTGTGAACCGGCGAACGGCACTGAACATGGTAAAATCTTAGATCTAAACACTTTAAATTCTAATAGTCACTTTTCCACTGTAGACCGTCCAACACGTTGCTATCAACCACGAGATGCTGGCTATCATGATACCGATTTACGATACCATAATCGTTGGTATTACCATCCTGATCAAGACACATGCCATCTGTTTGTTTATCGTGGTTTGGGAGGAAATGAAAACAATTTTCTCTCGTTACATGATTGTCATTTAGAATGTATTAGTAAGTTTATTCGAGAGAATCTCTCCCGAGAAAAAATACTTTGTTATTTGTAGCCTGTGGCCCATCATTCGATCGCGGTGAATGTTTAGGACGTATTGATATGTGGTATTATGATAATAAAAGTCGAGAATGTCGGCAATTCGAATACTCTGGATGTAAAGGAAATGAAAATAAATTCTTAAAAAAGGAACAATGTACGGCGACATGTATCGATCGACTAACAAATGGACAATAATTAAAAGTTTGCGAAGACTTTTTTGCTTAAGTTGTGTTTTTTTGTGAGTGTGTTGGTTTTGTATTAATAAAACAACTCTTGACTTTCTCGATTCTACTATGCGTTGAAAGATACGAAACATTTTCATGATCAGGAAGAAAAATTTTTCACATCGAGAAATTCGGAATGATTGTCAATTACGTACGTTTTATTTTAAAAAGCAAATTCTTATGAAATGTGCGATAAAAACGGAGTTTTTGTTGTCAAACAATACATTATCCTAAAATCAATGAGTTTGGGTTATAGTTGAATTTTCATTGGTTTTGGCAATTGTGTTTTATGTTCCAACAACATATCCGTATCCATAGCAATACCAGCACATGCTGAGAGAATGTTCGTTATGCAACGATGTTGTTTAAAAAGTGCATTAATAACTGGTGTACCCGGTGGAACCATTGGAGCTTTAAGAAGATAAGATAAGATTGATAAAACAGCTTCGAAAGAGTGATATTCCTCTTGATCATTTGTTTTGTATGTAATACGTGTCATTAATTCCGTTAGAATAACAAGATCGATAATTAATGGTGATGCTAACAAAGAATCTTCGCATGTATTATGAATAGCGATTGTACTAAGACCGTTCATGAATATCGATGAGATATATTCATCCATAGCACGTTTAGAATCTAGAAATCAGATTTTCTTAGATTGAATAATATTTTCTATTGTTAAGTCTTACCTTTAACAAATGGAACGTATTTGATGACGACAACATGATCAGGATGTTCATTCGTTCTCTTATCGTAAAGTAAATGATTGGCTCCGACCATATCGTCTACGACATTGGATTTGCTGATTTCTTTTGAACGAAATTGTTGTGGTGCACTTAAATTTTTACCATCATTGTTTCCTAGATGGTTGTATGAGACAATGGATTGTAATTTCAAACCAGCTGAGACGAGAAAATCAGCAAGAACAGATTTCAATTTTGTCTGTCCACTCTTGAAGTCATCACCGCCAATGAAAACATGATATTTTTCAGCTAATTCAATTATTCCTGGTACTAGCGTATTCTGTGGACTTCCATTAATATATGGACATTTTTCAAGAATAGCTGCACAAGCGAACACATTCGAAGGACTAACTTCGTCATCATTGTTAGCGATGGATCGAAGAATATCATCAGCTGTTTGATTGAGACCTGCTCGAACTGAAGGAGAGAAAACAACAAGTAAATCTAACTGAATAAATTAGCTTGATATCTTACCATCGACGTAACGTTCAGTATTTGCGGTCCATAAAACAATCACTTGTTCTAAATCATGTGCATTTTTGAATGTTCGAATATCATTTCGGATACGATCTAAATCTTGTTGTTTCGTTCCTTTGGGTAACAAATTATTTGCCCGATCCTCTTGGTTAGCAGCGATGAAATCAGGATAATAAATCGATGGTAATGGTTTCATCTTAATCATTTTCGCTTTTAGTTTTTCTTGCAATTCATAATCAAAAACGCATGCCCGTCGCATAGCATCGTATAAGTTGGCATCATTAATATCCCAACCGCCAATGACGATATCATTGGGATGTAACATAGGTAGGATAGTATTGAATGGAATGTGAACTTCTTTTCCATCTTTGTTACTTCCAAGTCGAATAGTAGTTGATTGAGTTAATGAGCCATAGTAATTGGCATGTTGTTCACCCTCTATATTGGTAGAATGTGAACTATTGCGGTTTTCAAGAAAACAATTTGTGAAGTTTACCTTTACGCATCCAAGTGATTTTATCTCGATTTGCGATGATAGCACCTGTGACAGTAGAACCATTGTTTCCACCCCATCCAACAAGCATAACACCTGTACGTTGTACTTGTCGTTTTGTACGGAAATCGTATTGATATTTTCGTGGTGTGATATTGACTCGTTTCTTCTGATGATCAACTTCACAGTGATTCATGTCATAGATATATTTACTTTCGATGAATTCATTCGAATAGATTGTATTTCTACTGTTCACTTCAATCGAATAATCGGATGGTACACCTTGATACGAAAGAATAGCAAAAAGATTTTCTCATCAAGATGAGCTTTTGGAAAAATTTACCATCATGATCAGCTGGATTGATTGCCTGATCATCTTCACTAAGCGTGTTGACTGCAACAATGGCAGGTGCTTTAGTAATTTGATGTCCGGGTGCGACGTGACCGTTACCAGGCATTGCTTTTCCAATAAATTATACTAAATAACAAATACGAAAGGTATTAAAATCATTTATCCAATGTAATATAACAACCAAACGGATAAACAAAACAGACTCTCCCCTCGATCTAATCGATTCGATTTCGAGAATGAAAACACATACATATGCACCAAGATATATATATGTACGCACCTCGTTGCACGAAAGGATTAGGCTTAGTACATTTCACGCATGATTAAAATCGAGAGAGAAAATGCAAATGTATATTTTTCGTTCGTACGATGATTCACACTTAACCTATCACCATTTAGAGAAAACATCATTCGATCGATAAGAACGTTCGTACTTTCAGTAAGATTATGCTAATCGATGAAAAATTATGCTTCGCACACATGAACGAGCAGATTTATGCAAATACTATTCGTGCGGCAGGTGAAACCTTGTATTTGTAACCTATTTGTATTTACAGGTCGGATGTCGATATTTTTCATCTTTACTTCTATATCATTTACAAAATGAGTGAAAGTAACAAAAAGCACAAAAAAAAAACGAAATATTCAGAATTGAATCGCTCAAATATTTTTAGCTTATGAATCACATGTAGCAAGAGCTTTGGTTTTCTTGAGCAAAAACCAATTGTAGATTAAAATACTTTAACACGTATACATACGTATGAAAGAAAGAAAAATGAAATAAACAAACAACCAGAAAAGTAAAAGAACGTAAGTCACATATGAAAGGCAAAGAGACAAAAAAAAGGTACGCTTTCAATCAAGAGTAATGACGCGAGGACATTTCGAAGGTGCAACTTTGGGATGCGATGTCGGAATTGTATTGTTATTTCGATCGGTTATCGATGGTATTGAAGAATTTGACACAGAACGTGACGATTTGGGAATGGTGGGACGAACTGAATTTAGTTCTAATAGAAATACAAATTGCATTTTTGAGATGAAACTGCATATAAACATCTTACGGGGGGAATTCGGTCGCGGCAGCGGTGAGGGTGATGATGATTGTGTTACATTGATCTTTTTCTGAGACATTGGTTTCGAAACAGTTGTTTGAAGTTGTACATCTAAAAGATATGAGCGAGTTATCTCTCGGCAGATGAACACTTGTTATGATTTACTTGGATTTCTTTGAGCATATCGTCGGAGATTTTCGTTGACAATTGGAGTTTTGATAATTTTTGTCTGAGTAAATATTGAATCTCCGTTTGTCATGGAAGAATGTAATGAAGTGATAATCGATTGTTCACTATGATTTGTGTCCGGAGAAGTTATAACAAAAGTATTTTTACGATTTTCCCGCATGAGATGTTCACGATCATATAATATCTTTTGTTCTTGACATTGTTCATGTTTATTGTTTAGTTTCAATGAACTCATGATTTCATTCAGGTCACTTGTAGATAAGATTGAACTGAGAACATGATTTGGTAAAGCACAAATCATAGTTGATTGAACACTAAAATTCAAAAAAGAAGACAATATCAGCTCTTATTCTTCTTCCAGCCTGTCTCAGCTTTTTAGATTGGTGAATTGATGCATCTGTTCAAGATTCTTTATCTTGAAAAATGACCATTTCATCAATAATGATGTGATTGTAAAACAATTAGCTGTGTATTCTAACCTGTTATCTTCACTATCGATGATATCGTTAACAACAGTTCGTAGACAATCGGCGACTTCGTCAATTAATCTTGTTTTCTGAAATTCGTTTAAATATTTCCGTCGTTTGTATGTATCTTGTGTATTACACATGAGTCGAGTCATGTGCTCTCGACAAATATCATATTCTAACGTCAATGCATGACAAGAAAATGGTTTCTTCAACGAATAAGTTCGTCGATGTTTTATCGATATATAATTCTGAGATGGTTTCTCTTTCGCTTTGTGTTGTACTACCGATCGATGGGTAGTTGTGTCACGTTTTTCTGGTGACAATAAGACAATATCATTATCTTCCATTGTACTTGACGATTTTTTCTCTTTAATTTGTTTTGGTTTCGATGATTTCGCTACCTGTTGTTGTGGCTGAAGTTGCTGTTGTTGATCATTTGGTACAGCTGAAGATAAAATGAGTCGTTTTTCCACTGTTGTTGTTGTTGTTGTTTTATTCGTCGATGCTGCCGCTGATAGCGATGAATCCATACACAAAGCAAATGTACCATCTGGACAACGTGTAACATAAAGTAGGTCAAATGATTTTGGGTTACTAAAATCACGCGCATGTTCAGTAACAGGTGGCAGATGTTTTTCAAACGTATGCTGAGTCAGACTGTAATGCGAATAAGTGTAAAATGAACATTGATCACAAAAGAACATATGAGTAAAGAGATGTTGGAGAAGAGTTGAGCTACAAAAAAGAAATTGTTGAAGGATAATTTTAGAAATAGGTGCTAATCTGTACCTTGTAACACTTTTGAATTTACAGATATTGCATTGATAGTATTTACTATCATGAAAAGCTGAGAATAATCCAGTGCCATTGAGTGTTTGACGGCGAATCTCAGATGTATGATTGTTTGATGAATTACTGGGCATTGTTGGTATGGCAGATATTGCCCCAGATGATGATGGTGAAGATAGGGAGGATGGCGGAGGAGGTTGTACTGTTGCTGCTGCTGCTGTCCGCAATGCTTGTTGCGCTTGTGAATATATATTTGGTTCAGATCGATGACGTATGGGTGAATGAGGTGTAGTCTAAATATAGTTTTTTTCGTTTTCCAATAGACAGTTATCGAATTCGTCAAAATAATCGAAAGTAGATGTCAATATTTGAATTAGTCGATCAGAATTGATACAGACCATCACACTCAATGTCTAAATAATATTTGATGGTTTGTCAAATATCATAAGTCAGACAACGACTCGTAAATCGAAAAATGTGGCATTCACTCTCGCTTATCCGTATCTTACAAGATTACTTATGGTACTCAATCAGATGTTAATGAGACTTCACAATAAATCTTATTTCGTTCTTAATCTTGTCTACGACTTCTAATTCGTTGAGAGTATCACAAAATTTAAACATTTAATCTTACATCTTGGGGATATGGAACTCGCGAATTTTTTATTGGTCGTCCGCGTCGTGTATTTGGTTGCGCAAATGACGCTGTTGGTTTAGGTAGAGGTAATGGTAAAGCGACCACCGATGATCTCGACGTGTGCGGTGGTGTTGCTGGTGGTACTGGCACAGATATTGGATTTCTGGACTGTTGAATATGTCTATCATGTGAATTATTATTGCTAGGCATTCGATCAAGTTTATCCGGATGTCGTTTAGTTGCATAAGTAGTATTCATTGATGATGTTGATGATATACGGGATGGTGTTTGAATGGGGCTTGAATACATTCGATTTGATAACGAGGGAAGAGGAGGTGGTGGTAGCAGGGGCGGTGGCGGCGTTCGTGGCTGGATTGTCCAATCAAATGAGCAGAAAGAATGTGCCGTATCAGGCTCTTCGATGATATATTCATCTGGGTCAAGTAAAATAGGTTCAGGATCAGGCTCCGAATCCATCGTGATTTTTGATGATTGTCGATGAAAATCGCCATTTCGTTGTCGCTTTGGCCAATTCGAAGCCGACGAATTTATTTGAACATTTGCATTTGTTAGTTTCCGTTTTTTACGTGGTAAGTGTAAATCATTTAATAATGATGTCTGATAAATCTGATTATCATCATCGCCACCATCATCTTCTAAGTACAGTACTGGTGGAGATGATGACGAATTCATCTAGAGCAATGATAAACACAATTAGGTCATTAACATATTGAAGAAAAAAATGTAACATATGAAATCAATCAACCTCATCATCGCATCATCGTGTAAGGTTCTTAAGCGTTGCAAACCAATCCCAAGCAATGTTACTAACAGCGCTGCTAAAAAAAGAAAATTTACCATTGGTTATTTGCTTTCTAGAGACAAAACGCATTTACTTTCTAACACACTACGACATTTGAATTTTGAAAAATCAATTTTCAATTGAAAAAAAGTGTCACTTTAAAGGATTACCTAGGTAGCAAAACAAAGGAGTGCTTTGATAGAAAATTTGATGTTTGATATGTTAATCGATGAATTTCAATATTCGCATAAATATTTTCATTTGTTGGCAATTATTAAAACGAAAACGCGTGGGTATCAATTTGCTTCTTTTCAACTCCTAGCTTCCGATAAGAATGAATTCGTCAAGGAGTTAGACAAATCATCAAAAGTGACCTTCAGAAAGCGCTATTTAGTCTGATATTAAAAATCAAGGTCTTCAGAAATCGATTTTTAGAAAACCTGATTATTCAATATCTCCGTCTTGGAAAAAAAGCAAAGCAATGTAAATAAGGTAAATACGTATTGTCTATGCTATGAAATAGATAAGCAAATATCAAGGTCAGCATTATCTTTTAATAAAAAACTATATCTCAACATAATGTTGAGAGTTAGTGACCTCTACTTCCAATCTTAAGATGGAATTGAATTGAGTTTTAAACCAAGCGCAATGATTTCGAATTAGCACATGTTTGCATCCGTTGTCTATAGTCAGGCTCAAAGACTTTCAAGTGTTTCTTTTTATTTCAAGAGATATGTATGTCTATTAAAAGCATTCAAGTTTGAAATCACCAAACAGCATAATGTAACACAAACATTTCTACCGTCTTTTTATTAAAATGCATACTTTCAATGTCAGTATGAGTGAAAAATTCTAATTTATTTTCAGAAAAAAGTCTTTCTTTGTTTCTTTTCCATCGAATGGCTACTGCAGTAGCGTCTTCCTACAGCGTTGGTGATTTGTCTCAGGAAGGATGTCGGCGAACACCTCAAGTCTATCAGAGTATTCTTCCATTACGGCGCGAACGATCGATGTTGGATACGGAATTTCTTCGAAGTCAAAAAACCAATTCAGTCAATTCTTCTGGTTTACCACTTCGATCTTCAGCTTTCGCTGGGGAAAAACAATACGAACGAAAACAGATTTCAACACAAAATCGCTCAGCTAAATCGGATGAAGTAACCAAAGCGAATTTTAACGAAGAATCATTGTCATAATCAATTGAATTTCAGATCTTTCAATTGATTGAACGAAAATTGCAAACCGGTATTCATGGTGTGCGACATTTATTTCGTGCCAATGACCCAAATCGGGCAGGAAAACTATCGAGGTATGTGAAACTAACGAAAGAAAAGTTCGATATATATATATATTAATTTTTGTAGAGAAGGATTTCGACGAGTATTAGGACAATTATGTGGTTATATTAACAATGAAGAATTTGAAAAAGCTGCAAAAATGTAACTGAGTCTAATTTTGATATGAGATGATTTTCAATGAAGACGAATTTTAGGTTCCGTATGGGCGATCGGGATGCCACGATAACATTCGAAGAGTTTGTTTCCTACTTTCCTGAAAATGAGGTTTATAGAAGAAACCAAATAATGAATAGAAGTCTTTTCATGATATTGATCTTTCTAGAAAGTGAAACATGAGTTAGCAGCATTTTATTCTGAACGTCAGAATTCCTCACTACTAACTCTCAGCCAAAATTTACCAACAAGCCAGTCAAAACGTTTTTTACCTCGATTGACTGCCAGCTATTGTTATTCATTAATGAAGGCAAGATGTCGTGATCCGTAAGTATAGACAAAGACATGTACTTCTATTTCCAAATCGAAAATGTGATTTTCACTTAGATCATTTGTACCTAATGATTATTTCCCCAATGATTGTCTCAACGACGGTCTGATTATTCGTGATCATTTGAAAATCATCTTGAAAAACTTTCATCTGGACGACATTATTAATAATGAAAAAGAATTGGAGAAACTTTGGGCAAAATTCGATTTGGATAATGTCGGTATGGTTCGAACCAATGTCTTTCTTCGTCTATTAGATTATGGTGTTAATCTTGCCGATGAAATTAACGCGAATATTCAAAGATTAGCTACCGATCGAAGTACACCGTACGCTTCCGCGATTATCGAAGGATCATACGCGAAGAAAAAGCGACCAGTAACAACAAATAAGCGTCGAGAAGAGAATGCCGATGATACACAGAAGAAATATACAACACCACTGCCATCGGATGAATCAGAAGATGAAACAACGGTCCGATCAAGTGTAGGGCCATCATCAACGAACATGTCATTGAAAACATTAGCAACAAAATATCGAATGTTGGTACTGAAACATAGAAGATTAGTCAAACAATTGAATGAAGGCGATGATTTCATTCCATTCTTAGACCGAAAGGTGAGAACATGTATTTCCGAAGAATAGTAGAGTGATCATGTATTTTCATTCTTTAGGTTAACGAAGGTTATTATTGTTTGAAAACCATCTTTTCTTACTTGGATCCAGATTATACTAATTTCATTACAAAAGAGCAATTGATCGCTGTTCTCCATCAATTCGATATTCCTTTGACATTTGAGAATGTCGATCAATTTTTACAAAAGTAAATTCGATATTTTATGTAACAGCAATGTTTTGTATAACACATTTGGTTTAGATATCATTGTAAAACAGCGAAAAACACGAACAACGAAACAATCATTGATTACAATGCATTTTTGAAATACTTCCAAGACCGTTCGGATTCTAGTTTTCTTGCTCGGGCAGTGGGCGATTTGAAAAAGGATAAGTAAGAAAACCACTAAAGTGTTCGTTCGATTCACTTTCTTTGCATTTAAGATCAAAAATCCCTCCATCAAACCTAACGGAGGTTGAAGATAGTCTGATTGATTTATTACACGATACTTTTCTTTCCCTAACAGCCGCGATGATCAAGTCTGTCCTAATTTGACTAAACATCGATGATAAAACATCAAATGTTTTTTAGTTATGTTTCGAGAGATAATGGTGATTTATGTACTGAAAAAGAATTCTTTCTTGTCTTGAAAAAGGAACTTGGTATTGCTGATACTTATCAATTTACTGATTATCAAAAAGATGAAATTTACAATGCACTGAACTGTACGAATGATATGCGACAAAAACGACATATACCATACAAACGTTTTCTCTACTTGATCATCAAACCGTTAGTTTCTTTATCTGTTACTTTTCACATTCTAGTCTCATAATATCATATTTTAGAACAATTGTACCACAAAAAGAACGAACTACCGAAAAGAAACCTCTGGAAAAGAAATCAGCACAAAAACCAATGACACCGCCACGAAATTTATCCTACGTAAATACTTTTTGTTAATTATTTTCTTTTTAAGAATGCCTTGCTTTGTTCAGATTGAGAAAACCTTATATGATCTAATTCGTCTTCGTATGCATTCGTTTACAAAAGCATTTTCAAATATTGACCAACCTCGAACAGATCGAATTAACAAAGAACAATTCTACAAAGTCCTTCAAGAGTAAAATTCCTTCACTAAAGTCTTGTTAAGACAAATTCCTATTTACCTTTTTGTCATAGTGTGGAAACTGATCTAACACAATCGGAAGCGAATTTAGTATGGGCAGCAAGTGGCTTTCGTATGGATAGAAGTGTTCCATTTGCAAATCTCATTCGACAAATGGTCATGTTTACTCATGACGAAAAACATGCAGCAGTCAAACAATGTCAGTATGAATTCTTCGGAAAAATATCTATTCTAATTATCTGTTTGAATTGGTAGTGCAACGTTCTCAAGCAGCACATGGCCGTTTAGCTTATTCGGCACCCCGAACAGCATCATCGAGAAATATCGGATCATCAGGACGTTTGAGTGAACTTGTTTGCGTTAATCAATCGGTAGATTATCGAGAATTATACAATCGCATTCTTCCTTATGTAAGAGATTGCATTTTGCATTAAAGTGTATATACAAAGAAACCGATGTTTCAAACAAATCTTTCATCTAGATTCGCCAAAATTATACTCGAATCAAAAATGATTTGCTTAACAATGATCCAACAGCTTGTGGCTTAGTCGATTTCTCTATCTTACGAGTAAGTCCATTATGTTTGTCTACGCATTTGCTAGCACTTTATCTCGTAGGATATATTGAATCAATATGCAGTGCCTGTTAGCGAAGACGAATTAGGTGCACTCGTTCGTCTAGATGATCCACGGAATGGATCAAGAGTTCAATATCCATTTTTCATACGAAAATATCATCCGGATGGACCTGTTATACGAATTGTAACTATAGGATTCTAGCATAGATTATTCAAACTTATTTTCTTATTTCAACGTTTCAGAGTCCATGGTTACGTGTACATCCAATCTACGAACAAATCGTTCAGAAACAATACGCAAAAGTAATACTATTCGTACATGACAGAAATCATATCATATAGATTATTTGATTTCAGCGACCCGCCAAAGAAGTTCATGATCAACGAACACAGGTTTTAGTTTGAATTAGTCTGTTTTCTTTTGGTTTCTAATGATCCGTCTTTGTGACATTGTTTTTACTGACCGTGTGTATTTGCTTGTCAATGGTGAATAACATCCGTATTTACTGCATATGTAGAATATCTATCTTTCCTACCAATTCATACTGATTAATTTATCTTTCTTTATTGTAGAACTCACGTGATTTGAAAAATCTTATGCGATTGTTTCAATCCTATGATAAATCACGAAAAGGTAAATGTTTCCTTCCAACATCTAAACAGATGTCACTGACGTGTCTTTCGTTCAGGTTATTTAACAAATGACGAATATATTTCGTTACTGCATGACAATGATGTTAATTTGAAGAAAACCGATGAAGATTACTACCAAGTCTTTTCGAAATATGACCGACAATTACGTGATCAGTTCAATTATATCGATCTTTTCCGCACCATAATTGACACGATTATGTCTTAAAATCTACAATCATTTTCTTTTGAGGACAATCGTTTATTTTCATAAGAGAGAAACTTTTCCGCACGGTTCTTCTTTGACCTTATTTTTTTGCAACTATTTTTCTTAATAAAATCAGTATTGAAACGCAAACAACGATCACATATAACACTCGCCAGTCATCGATTCGTTTCGTTCGATAGAGAAAATAGAAGAAGTGTTACAACTTTTTTTTTCTTTCTGTCCTTCTTCATCGTTGGATATTCGATTGTCCGTATCCGTGATTTCGTTTCTTTGTCTGATCGTATGCGCGCGAAGGAACGCGCACATCTATATCTTTTGTTCAATTTGCTTCGAACATAGCCGACGAGGAAAGAAAAAGAACGGACGGATATTCACACGCATTGAACGTTCATTGTATCACAATTGTATGCACATGCGTTCATTGATGTAAGGCATTGTTTTAGTTGTCTTGAATCCTTTTTTTTGAAATGCTTTCCCAACGGTAGGCTAATTGATTTGTTTTCCAAAAAAATTCCATTGTTTTGTGTCATCTAGAGCCAGCTGTAGTCGAAGTAGTTTCACAGACGATGATTCTGACCATGATGAGAATATCCTTGTTCATAGAAAAAGTTCATCATCAAGGAAAAAATCGTATAAAAAATGGACAAAAGAAGAAGTAAGAATCGGAAATTGTTGTTGTCTTATTAATCTTTATTGGTTTAGGATGAACGCTTGAAAGATTTTATTAATTGTAATGGCGGTTTAACAGATTGGTCACGTATCTCACAGTATGTTGGTAATGGTCGTACCGATGCTCAATGTCAACATCGTTGGGAACGATTTCTCGATCCATCGATTACGAAAGGTCCATGGACAGACGAGGAAGATCGAAGAGTGATCGAACTCGTGCGTGACTATGGTGCTCGCCAATGGAGTTTGATTGCTAAGGAACTCAAAGGACGTGTGGGGAAACAATGCCGAGAAAGGTTTGCTGCTGTCAAAATGATTTCAGTATGTAATATCCGTTTGTATTCTTTTAGATGGCATAATCATCTCAATCCTGCTATTAATAAAAATCCTTGGACAAATGATGAAAATCTTCTGTTATTTGTCTTGCATCAACATTTTGGTAATAGATGGGCAGAAATAGCCAAATATTTCAATGGTCGGTCGGACAATTCCATAAAAAATCATTGGAACTCTTCGATGAAGAAAAAATTCGAACTGGAAGTAACTAATCTAAAACAACAAGGACTCGAATGGACTGCATTGTAAGAAAAAAAAACTGATCGACTGTCTTGCTCATCATATCCTTTCTGTTATAGAATTCCATCAGACTTCTCATGGCCTAAACTGGACAAAACAACTTCTCCACGACCAGCTTTGACAACAATTACTAATCAAACGATTCGTTCAACTGTCAAAAGATCTTCCAAAGGACACGCGCAGTTATCTACATCAATGCCTGCTGTTAAAACTGAAACTTCTGTCCCGATTGTGAACAGTGACAATAGTCTTCAACATTTTTTCCCAACGACTGATTACAATAATATTGATGTCGCGCCTGTCAATCATTTAACAACAGTTTATTCTGATCACTTACAGGTACGACTAAAACTCTTCTATTAGTTTATCACATAAGAAAAATATTATCAAAGCTTGTTCATTTGGATGTGTAATTGTTTGTCTTTTATAATTCATTTAGCCCGTATCATCCCAAGCAACATCGAATTCTTCGCAAGATCTCGAACGTTTATTCTATTGTACACCACCATCTCCTGCTAAACAATTACCTATGCTCTCATCTTGTGCGGATTATACGACTTCAAGTCAAAACTCTCAAACCGATCATCATTTATCTCTATTTCCACCAAATCTTTCATATTATCCTCCTCTTCCTTCATCACAAACTTCATCAATATCCACATTTACTGCTTCATCGTCTCAATCATCGTCGCAATTAACGAACTTTTCACCAGAAACGAGAAATCATAACAATCGAAGTGTCTTTACTACAGATAATTCATATTCCTTTACCTACAGTTCTCAAAACGAAATCAAAGACGAAACGGAGCATTTATTAATTGAATTAACTTCTTCGAAGCAAACAGGAGATCTCGTCATCTCTCCCAAAACGATCTCGAACACGTCATCGCCTTCCAAACATCGTGTTCTTAATACTCCTGAACGTCTAGATCAAGTAAAATTTTCATCTTTACTCTGATAAAAAGCATAGATGCCTTTTATTTTTCAGCCACATCGAATTCACGTTACAGAACATGATTGGTTCGCGTAAGTTGTCTAACAAGAATAAAACACTAGAATAATTCGGAATTTCTATTATTTAGTGATTATTTTTCATATCCTCAGCAAACAACAACGACAACAATGTTTCAGGATACCCAAGTATCTACACGACCGACCATTATGCGACGGAATAAACGTCTGCATAAATACCAGTCTACCATTCTTGAAACGAAAAAACGTGAAAAACTTGCGAAGAACTTGTTCCATTCTTCGACAAAGCTCAAAGACGAACTAGGCGTAAGATTGAAAGAATTTTATGACTAACTATCATTAACTGTTATTCGTTTAGTATGATCCAACCTACGAAGAAATTATAATCGGTCAAACTCCTATTCAACGACATGTGACAGAGCAAGCTAGACGATATCTTTCTTGTTCGTCATTAGCTAATTTTACTTGATTGAAACAAGAAAAATGTGTTTTTTCTTCTTAAGCATTGTGCACTTTGTTTATTTGTTTTTCTTTCTTGTACAATTTTCTTGACATTTATTTCTTAACATAAATAATTTTATTGAAAAATGAACAAATTATCATTTTATTTCGCACTTATCGATTAAACAATATCTAAAAGGTAAGAATACAAACCTAAGCTGAGCAACTATTGAAAACAGAGCGTACCGGAAAGATTCGATTTTGTACCGATGCTCTCCTGTTAACCAGCGACACCTGTGGGCAATTTTTACGATGATACTTATTTTTGGACCATTTAGGAACGACAGACTACGTTCGTTATATGTCGTTTGTTCGTTCAGTTAATTGAAAAACGTGACAGAAAACAATGAGTTTATCCTACGCCGAAAGTCTCTCTTACTTTCCTCACAAAGGCAAAGTTGGTATGCCCGAACTAACTGAAAATGTCGAAGACCTACAAAGTAAATATCAATACAGTGTCATGTACTTGAATTCATTGCCCACTTATATTACATAGCAAAACTCAATCAATTAGAGCAAATGATTCGTCAAAGTCATCATACAGTTGTCATCACTGGTGCTGGTATATCAACTGACGCAGGCATACCTGATTTTCGAGGACCTAATGGTTGCTATTGTTCATCGACGAAGGAAAATGTAACTCATTAAGTAAAGTTTCCTTTCAGGTGTGTGGACATTGGAAAAACGTGGTGAAAAACCAACGTTCAATACGAGTTTTGAAAAAGCAATACCAACTTATACACATCGAGCTCTGTGTCGATTGGAAGAAGCCAATTATCTACATTTCGTCATTAGTCAAAATATCGATGGACTGCATCACCGATCGGGATTACCAGTTGACAAATTAGCAGAGTTACATGGCAACGTTTTTGCGGAAGAATGCGAAGTTTGCCACATGCAGGTATGTTGAATGAAATCAGTCGTTGATTAAAACTCATGGATCAGGCTCACTTGCTATAGATAAAACAATGTTTCTTCATTTGACAATTTTGGTTGTTTAGGTCATCCGTCCTACCGCTGTTGGCTCTTATTGTCGTAAACGGACAGGCAATGTTTGTAATTCCATGAAAGGACGCAATAAAAGCTTGTCATGTCGCGGGAAACTACGTGATACTGTCCTCGACTGGGAAGATGCATTACCGGAGACAGCGCTTAAACTATCGGAACAACACTGCGCGTAAGTTATATAAATTGAACCTTTGAAATCTAAGTTTGTATTTTATCTATGTTCCTCTTTCCAGCAAAGCAGATCTGTGTTTATGTTTGGGAACGTCATTACAAATCCGTCCGTGTCGGGATTTACCACGAAAAACAAAGAAAAATGGTGGAAAAGTAGTTATTGTTAATCTACAGAAGACATCGATGGATTCTATAGCGAGTTTAATCATACACGAGCGATGTGATCGTGTTATGAAACATATTCTACAAAAACTCAATTTAGACTTCGAAAAAAAGTAATTCACTGAATCTTGTCTGTCTCGAATGATAATTTCTGTAATATCATCACCGTTCTAGATCTGATCTCAACGATCTATCGAAATACTCTCACGTGAAAAAAGTCGTTCTGCTTTTGGGTAAAAACAAATCGGGCAAAAACTATATTGGAAGAAAACTGGCAGAAAAACTCTCTGCCATACTACTGAATATTAATGAATCTGGTCAACACGAATATGAAAAGACAAATGATCGTGTGGATACTGCTCAACCAACTGTAAATCAGTACGTTTGTTCATTTGTTGCGAAAGAGCTTGCCTCATAATTACTCTTTTCAGATGGACAAACGAGAAATACCATGCCGATCCAACATATTTCTGTCGAGTGATGTTAGACGAAAAAAATGAATCTTGTTCGTCGAATCCACTATGGATCATCAGTGGTGTTCAGCACACGAAAGAAATAGAATATTTTCAAAGCTATTTCTACGATCGTTTATTGTTTGTATATATCGAAGCATCAGATGATGTTCGAAAAAAACGAGGCTGGACTATTGTCGATACCGCAAACACCGAATGTCAATTAGATACGAATGTACAAAGATCATTTACTTTTACAAACAATGAAGAAGATAGTTTTGATCAACAAATGAGTCATTTAATACATATGATCAATTCTTAATAGATTGTTTTTCTTGTTGTATATTGGAAAATATAGAAATCATATTAAATGCGATCAATCGTTTGTCGTCTTCTAGATTATGTATGGATAACTCAGCAGATAATCAAATTCAATCACCAGCTGTGACCAGCCCATCAGCTAATGAAGATCTCGATCCTCGGATTCAAGTTAGTTCTCCTCCATATATCTATTTATCTCACTTGCTATCGTACAGATTGAACTAGATCGATTAAATTATGCGAACGAAGCTATCAACCATTTAGAACTACAGCGTGATGTAAATAACTGAATAACAAATAATATTCATGTCCTCTATTTCAAATTAATATAGGAAGCACGAAAAGCATTGCAAGAACTTTTGAAAATATCACACGAAGAACTAGCTGAATTGGAGAAAAGCATTGGTTCAGCTGTGATCAAAGCACGAAGCTATTACGAAGCGCGAATTCGACTACGAGAAGCAAGAGAAGTATTAACGAAAGCAAAACATCGATTCGAACGCGCACAAGCCTTGCATGTTGCAGCAAAAGAATTAGCCATTATTTCAGTAAGACTAAATCGAGTTCATTTTCATGCAAAGAAGAGTCTGTCTGGTTTCGAATAGGCGGATTATGTCGATGAAGCAGGAGCAGGAATGTCCAATGAAAATGCATCAGCATGGGGTGAAACTTATCGACAAGCTGTAGAAAAAGTTTGTCCAAAGATACGTTTTCTCGATACATTAAAAATATTTTGTTCGTAGGCTGCCGATGCAGAGCGAGAGAAATATTTAGCTGATTATGATCAACAGCGTGCTGAACGAGTCTATGCAGACATTGAAATGTTAGTTGAAAAATTAGAAAAAGATTCGCGAAGATCGATTAACAAATCAAAGTATAGACATTTATTTGAATATGTTCACTTCATTAGAATGGTGGATTTACATTCATAGACCGTATTACGAGAAGAAAGTTGAATTCAACAAAGAATTAGAAGTAAGGCGAGAAAGAAATTAGTCGGAAATTTTATCAGCTTTCTTTTCAGTTTCAAAGACGTAAAGTATCCGGCTTGGAGAACTGCGTCCAAGAAGCCAAAGCTCAGTATCAACAATCATTAAAGAATCTCGAACTTATTAGTAATGAAATTCATGAACAACGAAAACACGGAAAATCACTCAGCGAACTGGAAGGACCGACATTAGACGTCGTCAGAGAAGAAATTCCAGAAATAGTAAATCCTTCGATTTTGATTCAAACAAAGGAATGCCACTGGATATTTGCTCTTACTTGTAGAAACCAAAACCATCAGAATCTCCTGCTACCGACAATCTTAATACATCACAACGAACAGATTCATCAGATAACCAACTTGTTTCATGTTTACTTCGCACAGAAAGTTTACCAACTGGAATTTTTAGTAAAACACATAGTCAGCTGTCACCTGGACCGATCGAACCAATCAAACATCCAAGCGAATTCAACGACGAATTCTTTCTCAGCTCTAAACAAACCACATCTACTGATGGGATGCGCGATCGAGGCTTCAGTTATTCATCTCAATTGACTAATGACAGTGACGATAGAACTGAGTCGCTTCATGTTCTATCCGACGAACAAATCGGTCATCTATCTTCTATGTATTATCCGTATCCTACGGAAACAGGTATGACTTGCCAATCGTTAGACCCATCGAAAAACATCATTCCCGAATCTATGTTGTATTAATTCCATTCAGACACATTCGACGAACTTATATCTCAATTACAAAACTCTAAACTTCAAGCTACAACATTTTTTCGTAATCTATTCAAAACTAATACTTTAAAAGAGTAAATAACGAAACGTTTAGTTACATATGTGACCATGACTTTTTTTCTTTCAACCTTCTTTTTACTTCCTTTCCTGCATGGCTATGTTTCGGTGCTAAATACTAATTCTCGCTGCATGAACCAATGTTTGGTTTGACACGAAAAAACGCATTAGTGTAACAACATGATTGTTGTATGCATTTATTTTGCTCTTTTCTCGACATTCTATCTCACCGGTGGTTCTTCCACGTACATATATACTCTTTCTAAATACTTTTGTACTTGTGATATTTCTTTCATTCTTTTTCTTTGTAACTGTATTTCGAGCACTATAGTAAAACAAAATATAAAATGTGTCTTTGTTATTCCGTATTATTTTCTAAAACGATATGCAATGCAACTCAACGGATTTTAACTAGATGGAGATCTCGGTAGATGTGTCAATTTTATGCAGAAGTCTATCGTGTATATGACGTGATTTCATGGTTTTCTTTTGTTTTGAGTGATGTGAATTGGTTCGTCAGCAGAGAAATGAGTTCTGCTCATGTACGAAAAAGACTCAAGAAACTCAGAACCCGATAAAACAGCTTCAGAATCTTTTACAAAGCATTGCCAACTGTATCATATCAAAGCTATCTATTCATCATATACTATTTCGCCGTTGAAAATGAAAAACAACCCTACCCATTATACTTGAAATTTGAAATTGTGGAAAGACTGAAAATTTCGCGCTCTTGTGGAACAGTTTTCTTTTGGTTTAATCTGTCTATGCAGCTTCTCAGTATAAAAAAAAAGAAATTAATGTGTCATTCTCACTCATATCCGTGCCTCAAAATGGCATTTAAGACCACTCTATTTATTCTAGCTCCATTAAAATCTCGATAACTGCATCGATTTTATGCACAAGTTGACTTTTTACATTCGATCGTATGTCAATTGAGACGAAACATTGAATCAATTAGAATGAATACTAAATCAGTTCATCATGTGATTGGTCACACTTAGGTGCGATCGAGAGAGAGAGAGTGAAAGAGAGAAAATAAGATGGAGAAGTCAAGCCAGCCATCAGTAAAGTGCCAACAAGCTCAAGCTATCGATAATTCTAATCAATGGATTGTCTTGTCTCCGTAGGTGTGTATGTTGAAATTCGAAGAAGACATATGTTTAATATAATTAGATCATGAGATGATTTCGAGACAGATTGTTTTTTATGTGTTTGCTTTGGAGATAAAGGAACAAGAAGGTGAATAGAACTTAATGAATAATAATAAAAGAAGAAGACAGAAGGTAGAGATCGACTAAGGAAAAAAAGGGAATGACCATGTAATGAAACGTATGCTTATCTTTTCGAGTATACCATGATTGAGGATTCAACAGAATCAACTAATGCAAAATCATATGAACGGAAGAGAAAATGACGATTATCGGATTTTACTCTTGATAGATAATTCTATACATTAGTCAAAGAACAATATTTCCAATAACGAAGAGTTCTTTTTACAAAAATCCTCTTGTAATACTCACGATGATGATTAACAGGCCTAACTACAGTATATTTTTTCTTTCCATCAATAGCAACCAATAAACTCTTTTCTTCTCTTCTCAGCCAATGAAAATTCACATCGCTTCGTTTTATCTCTCTCCCTTTCTTTCTCTCTTGCGAGAGCGCTGCTTTTCGATTCTCTACTTGTCGATTTATTCCAAAGAGAAGTCATAAAAAGGAAGAGAAAGTGCAGTTACACACACATCCATTTCTTGGCAAGACAAACCAGTCACATCATTCCCGTCTCCATCGAAAAGAAAAACAGTTTCGACTAGTTTTATGATTGTACCATGTGATTAAAATCATCACAAAAGAAGTACCTCAATATACAAGTTCTGATTTTTATTGCTATAACCACTGTCAATACCTTTCGATCGATTGATTGTCCGTGAAATTATTATTGACATTTATTGCATCATCATCAACACTTCCCAATCATTACACAAGTAAGTCAAAGTTTATTGATTTATTTCCCTTTTGACATTGTCTATAACAACAAAATCTTGTTATTTATTTAGAAAATGAACAACAATACAATCCTTTCCTACCCATCAATCGTATGCGCAAGCCATGAACCTGCTGAATCCATACGTCCATTCGATTCATCATCTTATCACAATTATTCTTCACATTCAATGACATACGCGGAGTATCCACTATCAACATCCAAATCAGAAACAATAGAATATACTTGCTGGCCAACCATTCCTACACATAATATTTTGAACAATTCCTCGCACACAGTTCTTGATCAAGTTTCACCCCCGCTATCATCACATCCAACGCATGATACACTCGGATCCGTTTCATCTGTACATTTACTTCAAAATACTTTACCAACTACCATTTCTTCAATACAACATCATCAACCTCTGTACCCACAACCATCAGCATCACCTCCATCAACATGGATCGGTTCAGGTGATTATCAAGCATTACATTCGACGGCAATAACAACTCCACCATCATATCGTCACTATTCCACGCCGTGTTCATATTATCATCCACAGTATTTTTATGACCAACCGCCATCACAATGGATATCGCCTGCATCAGTAAAGTTTGAACCATCTTATACACCTCCGCCTTCCTACATCGAGTCGTCGGAAAGTTTAAGTCATTGTCGGGAACAGACATCGAAAGAAGAAGCATGTGAATCTCGACAGCAATCGACATGGACAAAGAAAGACATTTCACCAACACACCTCAATCCGGTTCCACCAAGAAATCTATTGAACGGTAATCAATTGACCTTTCGAAGTAAAGAAGAGCAAGATGAAAATGTGAAAGGGCATTCTATTGAAACACGCGCTTCCACATGGGTGTTACACTTCAATATGAATCGAATGTAAACACACCATAGTTAACAATAATGCATTTGATAAGTCAGTCTGTTTGATTGATTTTCATAAGGAAAAAATGTCGAGTGCCATAAAATAGTACCGAAATACACACAGATTCTTTTATGACTTTCGATTGTTGATACACATATGCATTTGAAGTTGAAGGCAAGATAAGACTAATCTTAGAGTTGCATTTTTTTCTTAAACGAACATCAGAATGTTACAAAAAAAAATTTTTTTCAGGTAAAACACGCACACGCGATAAATATCGTATTGTTTATACTGATCAACAACGTTATGAATTAGAAAATGAATTCATCATATCGAAGTATATATCTATTCCAAGAAAATCAGCCCTCTCATTAACATTATCATTAAGCGAACGACAGGTAGATCAAAAAAACTTTTCTCATTTGTTAATCAATGCTGTTTTTTTCTAAAATTTAGATAAAAATTTGGTTTCAGAATCGTCGTGCAAAAGAACGTAAATTAAATAAAAAACGACACGGTCCTTCGAGTTCAAACCAACTAAACAATTCTAACGATGCTGATTCGCGAAGTGATGGTGGTCTCGAAAGTCCAAATTGTTATCCAAATTATACCTAACATCTATTTATTTCTTCTGACGAGAAAGACACTAGCTCTACTTTTTTCTCAATCTTGAAAGATTAAAAAAAAACAACAAAAAAAAAAGAAATTTGAAAAGAATAATTTGATCATCATTGATTTTCATTCTCATGAATTGAACTGAAAAAAGTACATCTAGTATAGACATGGATGTCTGCCGATGTAGAGACTTGTTTTGTAGTCATTCAGAAAAGATATATCTTTACCTTTTGTCGACGAAAATTCTCGTAGTACAATGTATCATGATTACAATCGATGTATGTATGTTTTCACGTCATCATCTTTACTCTCTTGCATGAATATCTCGAGGTATCATCGTCCAAATAGACAAAACACAACGAGCGGATGTTCATCAGTAGTCGATCTCGATCGTTTTCTCTCTTTCTCTCTTTCTATCTGCCATCGTCGGCCATTATATGTGTCAGTATAAGAAGGCTGATGTACGAATAATTCGTACATTTTCTAACTGTCGTCGACTTGTTTCCTATCTGTTTACAACAACATATACCAAACAATGTCATTTTTAATGTTTGTTTCTTAGTTCATATTTTTGTTTATGAATTCTTATTATCACTGTATGCGTAGGCCACGTGACTATCTAAAGCAGCAATCAATAGGTAGCGATTCTGAAATGGATTTAACCAAACTTTGGTGTTTTGGACCTGATTTCGAAAAACAAACGGTATTCAATTTGCTTAGTGATAATAACTATATCGACTCGTGTCTCACTTCCCATTGGTGGCCATCGAGCCCATCACGATGGAATCATGCTTTAATGCCTGAACCACATGTCTACACACCGCGCTCGGTCATGAGTGAACTTGGATCGCAATCACTTGGAAGCACTGCCTCGAAACTGCCTTTGTCCGATGTCAGCAATCGGTCATCAAGTAAAAGAGACAATTTTTCGTTATTGAAGTATTTATCTTTGTTTGTATGAAGCTGGTCGAACAATGATTAGTAATCAAACAGCACTGCCACCGTTGCCAAAATTGGATTTTTCTACACCCATACGTTCACGTACACCTGATCTATACAATCGATCATCATCGTCGGCGTCGTCGTCGTCATCGTCGTCTTCGGCGATGAAACGTCCATCTGTCGCACAGACATTGATGTCATCTGTATGTGAAACTCTTCCACAACCATCTCTACCACTAACATCGATCGATTCGGCTGAGTAAGCCATTTCATTATGTCTCTATTCGTCTTTATTATCTTTGTACAAATTCTTTCAGACGAGCATTGGAAATTGCTCTGCTACTCAAAGAACATCCGGATTGTACTTGTGTACTTGTCACACTTATTCAACAATATCAAAGCCGGTTAGTAGTTTTTTTTTATTGTTACTGACGAAGGCAAAGATTATTCTGATAAATGTTTGATTGGATTAGATTTCAAAAACCTCTCCATGTCAATGAATTATATACAATGAAACATGTTATCGATATTCAAGATTATGGAGGTAATCGAGTTGCCCGTTTATTACCAGCATTCCGTGTTCGTTTTGATGAAAATCATGTTCATGTATGTCAAATCGATCTCATCAAGATATCCTCATATTCGAATTTTGTTTTATTCATTTGAGTAGAATCAACTCGAACAACCTTATTGTATGATACATTGTTCAAAAAACTTCATTGTTAATTCTGACCTTGACTTGCCTTTTGTCCAAGTTCCATTCAGCATCTTTGCTGAAAACGTTCGTCAATTATTGACCCAACACAATGGCTCAATGCCTTTAGCCAGGTAATCCACATCTTACTAGTTCACACGATACAAAATCTTGTTTTTTGTTTTTCTAGCTTTCCTCAATGTTATACATTTAGCTTCGAACCTTTGGTCGATCATAATGAGGGTGTCCCACTTGAACATTACATTTCATGTAAATTTATCAGAGAGTTTTATCTTCAAAATATTCTGATGAGATATTGTTTGCTGTAGGCATCAAAGATATTCAAATTGTGACAGGACAAGGCGTGATTAAAAAAGTTCAGTTTTCTCATACACAAGGTGTTCCACTTATGCCAACGTCATTCGACACATCGAACAGTAAGAATTCTACACGTTTCTCTTCGTCGTGATAATTTGGAACTGTTTAGTGCATGTGGACATGTGTGCTGAAGTGCAACAACGCTTACAACAATTCTCACGTGAAGTCCTTGATTTGCTTAAAAATCAAGGTTCACATTGTCGTTTACCTGTTTCGAAATTTGTGTCGGCTTATCATCAATATTTTAGTCGACAATGTCGTGTTGCCGATTATGGTTTTTCTAAAATCATTGATCTTCTTGCTGCAATTCCGAAATCCGTTCAAGTCAGATTGAACCTGACGTCCTTATCTTTATGTTCTACTTGTCTTTCTCTCTGTAGATTCTCGGTGATGGTAATAAACGAATCTTGACAATTACACATCGATGTCAAATGAAGCGTTTTACTAATGATATTATTCGTATTCTCAAAAATAAACCGCAACGATCAATGTCGATTAGTGATATTCCAACTGAATACGGTACACGATGAAAGTCTTTTGACCAACAGAATTCATGATGCTTTTCTCTTGCAGAAATGGCATATAAAAAAGCTTTCTATGTTCGTGATTTCGGCATGTGTTCATTGGCAGATTTAGTCAATGAAGTAAAGGATAACAAAGAATTGGTTGTCGAAGCGGAAAAGAATATTATTAAGCTCTACCGAAAAGGTAAGTTCGTTGATCATGAACGATACGACAATTCTATTCAAGGGGAAATTTTAGAAAGAACTGAATTGGAAATTTACGCAACAAGTAACTTCGAAAAAGATGTTGTCGACATGCTTCGCATCCTACCGGATTTTAGCATTCCATTTCAAAAATTCATCCCATCATATCAGTATGTCAAGACGTTTCCTTGTGGATTAATTTCGATATTTTCTTCGATCGAATTTAGTCATCACTTCGGTTATCAATGCAAAGTACAAAACTATGGTTTCTCTCGTTTAATTGATTTACTCGAAGAACTTACCGAAGTTGTCAAAGTAAAGAGATTCATTGAATTCTAAAACCAAAATTCACATCTTTCTCTCTTCTCGCGTTTAGATTAATGAAGATAAAAATGGCGAAAAAATCGTTCAATTAACTGCATCAATGATGACGCGTGCAATCCTATTGAATATTGAACAATTAGTTCGCAAATCCCATGGACCATTAAAACTAAAGGATTTACAAGCACAATACTTGCAGGTGTATCGAAACGAACTTGATCCTGAAGACTTCGGGGTTGCCAGTTTGGAAGCATTACTCTTAACAATGACTGATAAACTTGAAGTAAATCGTGGCCAGATGACTTCATGTGTTTTATTCCTTGATTCTTCTAGTTTCATTATACAGAATCGGATATTGCAATTTCGATTAAAGAACCATCGGCAAGTGTGATGCAATTAGCAAAGAATGCTGTTTTAACATTGATGCTTTCACAATGTCAATTATCATTTTGGCAGTTAAAACAAGAAATGTTGGTTCGTTTTAAACAAGATCTTAGTTTAAATATGTGCCGTAACGAATTACGTGATTATATCGAAGTCTGTTACTCACCCATTGTTTTGTTCATTTATTGACAAAGCGCATACTTTGCCCATTTAGGTGATTGATCAATCAGTTCGTTTGACTCCACCAATGTTTTTTGCATACAATGTTGTTGTTCTTCTGAATTCATCTGATGGTCGTATGCCCTATGATGATTTTATCGTTGAATATCAACGTCGAACAAGTTCAACACATTTACTCTATCCAACCGATTATGGCTTTCCAACCATGCCACGTCTTTTCGATGCAATTCAACTTGTTGCACAAGTTCGTGGCCGTCGAA